AAGAGAGATATTTATCATAAACCAAAAAAAGTTCGAAATTTTAATAGTTTTTGGTTATCAGCTGATGCGAGGGTTGTCTCCTCAACTCCTCTCTCAGTTTTTGTCAATTTTATAGCGGAATCTCTCTGATTATTCACGTAATACAGTTAAAGTATATATCAGAGCAGTTGATATTTACTGTTGACATCTTTTTTTTTTTGGTATTTAAAGAAAAAAAGAAAAAAAAAAATTTTTTTTTATTTATTTTTTTTTTCTCTTATGATATGCGGTATGATCAGCAAGTGATGGCCAGTAAGGTGCCCAAGAGGTCTCGGTCAGACGGAGTTAGCTCACCAGCCAAACAAAGGACTCGTCGCTGCCTACAAGAAATACCTCCAGTGACCAAAATGAACACTTCAGAACCAGAACCTCAGCCCCAACCAGATACGTCTGCACAAGAAACGATTGAAGAATCGCATTTCTTTACTCCAAACCCCTACCAAGTGCTTCAAAATGACCGAGAAGTAATGGAGTCTGCAGCAATACCCAGAGAACCAAAGCCTCCTCCGATATTTGTGAAAAATATAAAAAATTTCCAGATGTTCTGCACCCAACAAAATAAAATCTGCTCTGGCAGTTATTCATGCCTTAACAGGACCAATGACACCAAAATAACACCTGATTCTGCAGAAGCCTACCGAAAAATAGTGAAGTACTTATCAGAAACAAATGCGAATTTTCACACTTACCAGCTGAGGCAGGAAAGAGCTTTACGAGTAGTGATAAGAAATTTACACTCCTCAACCCCCACTGAAGTTATTAAAGAAGAACTAACGACGCTTGGTTTCAATGTACGCCAGGTAACAAACGTTTTGAAGCAGGACAGGGAGCAGCCAGGATTACGAAATAGGATCCCACTACCATTGTTTTTCGTGGACTTGGAGCCATCACCAGGTATCGAAAAAATATATGATATCACAAGAATATACTACACAATGGTGAAAGTTGAGAAGCCATACCCCAAGAGAGACATCGTGCAGTGCCATAATTGTCAGACCTATGGCCACACGAAGACATATTGCCACCATCTGCCGCGTTGTGTGAAGTGCGGTGAACAGCACAAATCTGTAGAGTGCACCAAACCTATACAAGATCCAGCAGTATGTGCCCTATGCTTGGAGGGACACCCGGCCAACTACAAAGGCTGCCAAATTTACAAGAATCTCAAAACGAGACACCAGAAAAACAGGATTCAAGATGAAGCACTAAGAACAAGAAGAGAGAGAGAGCCTTCCAGAATTGTAAACAATGATGTATCATTCTCCCAACTACTTAGAGGTAAGACTTTAACCGATAAATGTCAAGCCTTGCCACAACAACAACCTCAACCCCAACCTCAAAATCCTCTTCATCCTAATACACCTAACCACCAACAACAAATTCCTCATATTCCTCCTCCTTCAAATGCAACAGATCTCACAAGTTTGTTAGCATCTTTCCTCACCGATTTCAAATCCCTTGTTACTCCACTTATATCACTCCTCACGAATCTCGTATCTCACCTCATCCCTCCTTTAAAAAATCCTTAAATGACTCACATCCCTAAACCCATATCCATTCTCCTTTGGAATGCGAATGGTGTTAGAAATCATACAGGCGAACTATCTACTTTACTACTTGACAAGAACATTGATGTGGCACTAATTACTGAAACTCGACTAACCACTAAACAGCACTTCAATATACCACAATACCTGACATATCGTACTGACCACCCTGACGGAAAAGCACATACCGGTACTGCTGTAATTGTACACCAATCCCTCTCCCATCACGTACTCCCATTACCTATACATGATTTCCTACAGTCCATCGCTATCGTGATAAAAACCTTCTCCTTTCCGGTTACTCTTGCATCAGCGTGCAGCGTCCACTTCCCTCTGTTATGGAAACACTCCACTATTATCCTTTTCCCAAAACCAGGTAAACCTCTCAATAGCTCAACATCCTATAGACCAATCAGCCTACTCCCAATCCTTTCAAAAATTTTTGAAAAGATCCTTTTGAAACGAATCCTACCCATTATAGAATCCCAAAATATCCCTTCCCATCAGTTTGTTTTTCGCTCTCAACATTCTACTGTTCAACAAGGACTCCGAGTTGTTGATCATATTTCCTCAGCCCTAGAAAACAAAGAATACTGTTCGGGTGCCTTTCTGGACATTGCACAGGCATTTGACCGGGTATGGCACTCCGGACTGCTCTCCAAGCTTAAAATCCATTTACCTCAGTCCTTGTACCTAGTCCTCCGATCCTACCTCTCTGACCGCTCCTTTCGAGTTCGCTGTGGGACAGAATTTTCCAATATCTACTCCGTTAAAGCCGGTGTTCCCCAAGGCAGCGTCTTGGGTCCCATGCTTTACATCCTCTTTACTGCTGACATCCCTGTTCATCCCGATGCTTTTCTTGCAACATTCGCTGACGACACCGCAATCTTATCATCCAACTCTGATCCCGAAATAGCATCCTTAAATCTCCAAAGTCACCTCACCTTGATTGAGCACTGGTGTAATAACTGGCGCATTAAAGTTAATGAATCTAAATGCCAACATATTACCTTTACACTCCGACGCAATTCCTGTCCACCAGTACTCTTTAATTCCATCCAGCTTCCTTACTCAGACACAGTCCGGTATCTTGGCTTTCATTTAGACCGAAGACTAACAAACAAAGCGCATTCAATCCTTCCAGTCTAAAGTCCTTCGAACAATAGTCGATGCTCCTTTCTATGTAACCAACAAAACCCTACATCATGACCTCAACATCCCATTTGTCCTAGACCTTATCCCAGAAAAATTCTCCAAATTTCACCAGAACCTTACTTACCACCCAAATCCTCTTGCACAATCCCTATCAAGCACCTCCCATCCCTATAATCCTCCAAGAAGGTTGAAACGGCAGTGGTCTCGCGACCTTCTGTAGATTGTATAAATTGGAGTTCTGGCAATGGCCAGATTCTTCACTCAAGACATGTGTGTATGTGGCTAAAGTGCTCTCGACCAATCTCCGCTGGCTTTAGTACCAGTGACGCGGTTGGGAGAGTAGCGCAGGGTTCTCCTGGAGTTCCCTCGCCTGATTGTATATAGGTATGCATGTGTTTTTTTTTTCTTAGTTTTAATTTTCTTATTTTTTTTTAGGTTATTTTATTTTATTGACTATATATACTTTGTATATACTTTTGATTATTATTTTGTTCTATTTATTTTATTTTTTTGTACATATAGTGTGAATGTCATCCTACCTCACTATAACCAATGTCCAACAGACAGATTATAATACTCAATAAAGAAATTAAAAAAAAAAAAATAGTTTTTGGAGCACTGCAGCGAACCCAAAAGGCTTTCAAGAACGGAAACTTAGATTTTTTTTATAGCCACAGCATACCTAACAGTATAAAAAAGAAATTTGAATTACCCGACCTTTTGTAATGTAGACCCCTTTTTTGTGCTAATTTGATTGGGCTATAAATCCAGCCCGCAAAAGTTTCGTTGATTATATTTTTAAATTTTAAGAACTGTTTAAAATTTATTAAATCACTCAAACACAAGGTTACTTGTACATATCTTAGAAAGATCATTTCACAACTGAAGTGTCATTTATATGACATTTTTATTTTGAAGTCAATTTAGTCAGCGACGCCAATGATCTCCATCAATTTAAAAAAAAAAAGCAACAAAAGAAATGAAATACCGCCAAAACAATCCCGTTGTAAATATCATAATATAATAATAAAACAGCCCCACAGCAAAAAAGTGATACAATCGAATAGTTAATCATCATTACATTGTAATAAACTGAAGATTGAGCTATTCCTTTATGTACGGGGTTCCATACCCCGAAATATTTCTGAAGTGGTAGCCCTTATTTATATACCAATATAGCAATACCAATATAGCAATACCAATATACCAATACCAAGGATAGGATATCACCTTCAGCGATTCGCTCCTTCGGATTATCAGGGAACACGTCAGGCTGAGGAATTACAGTCATTAATGATTCCAATTAAAAGAATGCGTTCCTCGGAGCTTTAGAGGAATAGAGAGTAAAACTGCGCGGGGTTTCTGTTGGTATAAAATTGACAAGATAGTAATTTTTATTATCAGCAGAGTAAAAAAAAATAAATAATAATAAAATATTACCAAATTTGCTGTAGTTTGACTGACTCCCTGCCTCCACGGGCGGTCTACGGGGCAGAGGGCTTTCGGTCTAAAGCTCCTCTCCCCCCCCCCCCCCTCAAAATGGTAAAATGTAACCATGCTTTATGGTAAAATAGGTAAAATATATTAAAAAATTATATGTCTTAAAGTATTATTGTTCGTTTCATTAAATTTAATAGGACTTCAAGAATCACTTCAACGCCATTTCATATAGGTAGTTAGTATCTTTCTGTTCTTCCAAAGTAATTATCGTTTTATATATGAAAAAAAAGCTTCCGGGCTGAAGCCCCCTCCTAAAATTAAATCCTGGATCCGCTAGTGACTGACTCCCAACACAATTTTCACTCCTACAAAAATGTGTTAAAGGTTTATTCATACTTTTTCACAGCTAACCAATATATTTCCAAGCAATTGTTTGGTCTTCCTAAATATTTGTTTTGAGTAGATAAAATTTCAGATATGTCCTTCAACCGTTCACATTTCAATAATTGACTTCAATCGTAAACGCATAAACTTAGATGTGAGGAATAATGACAGGACAGACTCAGCAAAAGAAAATTGCCAGCCACGGTCAAACTACAACCGGAACAGGATAAAATAATTTTGATAAACATGATGTGTACTAGTTTTCTTTTTTTCTCTCTCTCTCTCTCTCTCTAATCACTATCACGTCCATGTTTCGAACCCTTCTTAATGGACGTATGCTTCACGGAAATTGTTTGTTGTCATCTGATACCGGCAATTTCGCATTATAATTGGAGTACAATAGAGATAAGATCTTGTGATTTTTTCTTAACCTTTATGGATCTCCGTCCTTCAGGTGCGTTATATATAAGCCAAGAGACTGGAGGAATCATCGTAGTCTCCAAGATGAACCGACCAGTGATCGTTGTTGTACTTGTACTCGCATGCACATTCAGCTGCAACGGGGTAAGTACTTATCATTTCCACTTAAATATTTAAATATAGGACATAAAATGTAAATCATTACGTACTTTTGAAATTTAAAATAATTATTAATAATCATTTCATATAAAAATAAAACACGCGCTATCAGTATTATACACCGATATAAAATTTTAACTTTGCAATAACATTTTTTACAAAATCCTGGATACTAGGGTTCTCAAAAAAGATTTGTTTTGCTGTAATATTTGTTGCTATTTATTATTATAATCAAACAAAAAATATAGTTTTAAAAATAAGGATAAGTTTTCTGTGAACTGGTTCATACCTTTTCAGTAACAAATACATCCCATGCACTAATAACAAAAACAGACCCATAATTTTTGTTCGTAATATTATAATATATTCGAATGGAACATATAGAGCATCATGAATTTCAACGTCCGTTGTCAACCTTCACTTGGCGTGGACACATAGAAGATTACAAAAAATAGCGACAGGCTCAATCGAATTAAAAAATTAAAAGAAAAGATAACTTCTTAATTACAGCATACATCTCGTAAAAAATATTTATTGCAACCTATAATTTATGTATTACGAATGTTTAATTTAAATTAATGATTAAAGAAAAATAAATAAAGTTACATAAACAATAATACCCACTATAAAATATTAATAGTTCGATTTTCAAATAGAGAACTTAGCTAAAATATGTACAAAATAAACCATAATTTAAAAAAAAAAAACTTCATGGCATGTACTAATAACAATGTCATTTACAACTGTAGCGATGAAAAGACAATTAATTCAACAAAAAATGTCGGTATATCTACAGCTAATAACAACAATATCTGATCCTAATAACAATTTAGTTCAGCAAATAGTTTACTATTAATAACTAAAAAACAAAAGTAACTATTATATTTTTAATACAGTAAAATATTGTCATTGATGTCTGAAAATATCAGTCCATTTAAACCTACAGGAACTACGTTAAGAACTCCTGTAAGATTTAGAAAAGAGCAAGATGTGACAGCAACTCTCACTTCAAATATTGAATTAAATTTAAATAAAGGACCAATAATTATAAATAATAAATCGAAGTTTGATTAACAGTGACTGGTTGGTGGTTAGTTTTTCAGCATTCTGAAAGAAGCTATTTAAAAAATAAAGACTAATTACCCCACTCTTCAATTAATCGCCCCCATTTTAAATGATTGACCCTCACCCCTCTGACTATACCGCTATAGAAGTAGATACCTAATACAACAATAAAAATGTATTTGTAAAGATACCTTCAATGATAAAAATGTATGTTAACAGATTAGCCCTGAGTTAAAGACAGCAATTGAAGGATGCAAAGCTGAACACAACATTGAGTCTGGTGAGTAGAAAATACACATTTATTTTATGTGTACATCTTATTCAACATATATCATTCCTTTTTAAAATTCTTATAATTTCCTATTTTTTAAATATTTAAATGGAGTAATAGTATCTCCTCCCTCCCCCCTCACTAGGAGCAATAGACAAAACAGTTTGGATGTAATGCAAAATACAATTTATTTTTTAAAACCTTAAGCTTTACGTGGATTATTTGAATTTACTATATCAGAGAGATTGATTCTTTTCAATAAACTGTTCCATGAATTTTAACTCCGTAAAAGTTATCTCTTTATCACATTTCTATAACCAGTCTGGAAAACAGTCATCGTTATGCTGATGGTTATTAGGATGAGTTAGGATAATGGTGCACAAGGGGAGGAAGTGTAATGTGCAGGTCAGTCGGTCCTTTTAGCCATGAATTGACTAGCCAGAGGTTGTTATTATGCCTAAACCAATTTGGAATTTCCAAGCTACTTTAGATAAAAATATTAACTAAGTCAGGAGGAACATAAAGAATCAAATTTCACTCATCTCGTGGATTACCCTCTGCCCTTCCCCTAAATACAACTGGTAGCTGACACCAGTTATACATACATATATGTTGTTGTGTTTTCATTTTTCAAAATTCTTTTTCAGACCAAATAAAAGAAGCAATTGGAAATAAGAAACTACCAGAAACTGAAAATGGACAGGTAAGAAATGTTAATTTTGAAAAAAAAACTTATTGGAATAATTCTATAAGTAAATATGTAACCAATAGATTTAATATTTATTAAAAAGTAATACTGCATATCATAAATTGAAAACTAAAATATATTAGCTATCATTTACATTGAACTATTTTTTTCAAGAGCATTAGTTTGCATAAAATTTTCTTGAATGATATCAATCAATAGGTTCTCTGAAAACCCAGTTTCTAAAAAAACTTTAGTTATTATTAATTATCAAATAGAAGATAAAATACAACATTAAAATTTTAAAATCACTGTATTTTTTTCTTCAATGTGGTTTATTAGTATAATAATTCATACTTCTCGTTATATTATTGCCATAAATTTGAATAGTTTACTTGAATTTACAAAAACATTGTTACGTATTACAATATATTGCAAAATAAAAAATCACTAATGAATTCCAATAATTTTTATATTAAGAAAAACTATGGGTAATTACTATTTATCATCTAGGATTTTCCACATCCGATCCTCTTACTTACCTGCCTAAGTGCCAAGTGGGTAAGTAGTGCTCAAAACATGCCTTGATGAGGACCCATATGCTTGGGTTGATAGGTCGGCACCAATAAAAAACTTAAAAATGACTGTGTCATGACTATTTATCACCTATGATATGTAGAACAGTCGACTCACTTCCTTCAATATAAGAAAAATTCATTTAGACTCAATTATTACAATTCTAATCAAATAAAATTTCTCAATATTGTTATACAATTAACTATTGTAGTTTATATTATATAAAAATATATATGAAAAATACTAATGATATTGATTTTGCTGTAAATATTTATTCTCCAATTTTAATACATACTATTTTTTTATAGTGCTTTATGTCATGCGTGATGGAAAAAATGGGTATGGTAAGTAAAATTTATTTGATAACATTAAAAAGTATAGTACATTTTTAATTATTAATTTAATTTACAAAACCAATAATTAAAACCTATGTAATCTCCTTTTTCAGATCAAGGATGGTAAAATTGACATGGATAGGGCTATGGAACTTAATGCACAGAAATTCAAGGACCCAGAAAATCTGCAAAAAGCCAATGAAGTAGCAAAACGTTGTGCAGATGGTAAGTTCTATAATCAATATTGTCTCACGTTATTTAATGAAATATTTTTGAATAGATTTTACAAAAGAAATGCAATACAGAGAAAGCCTTATCATTGTTAGTGAATTCAATTTAAACATTTATCAAACCTTTTCTGTTGATATAATATTAAGCAATATTTTTATTTAGTGCAAGCTTCAGATACCAAATGCTCCCTTGCTACAGAGCTATTAAAATGTGTTGTGAAGAATGCAAAAGAGGTAAATATAATATTAATTTTAATTTTAATAATAAGTACTATTAATATATTCAACTTATTATTTTGTTTCACAGGTTCAACTGGAATTACCTAAGGAAGAATTAGAGTAAACCAGGGCCACTAATAATCATCTGCATCTCTAAAGATTACCTCAACTAGATTTTGTATAATATTGATTTGTCCTGTTCTGAATTAATTCTGAATATATTTTCCAAGTAAATTGTTGACTATGAATTTAATGAATAGAACAATGTTATTGTAAAATCTTTTTTTTTTTTTTGTTGCATTCCCTCAACTTCTTCATAACCATTTCTCCTTTTTCTTACTTTTTTACCACCTCTATGGAAGGATCCTTTGTTTTGTGATCTCACACTTCAACTTGATAAAGCATCTGATTTTTAGACAATTTGATAAATTGTTGTGGAAAATTACTTTATTATTTCTTATGTATTACTTGTATCAATGAGATGTGTATTTTATTAATGTAAAAGGTTTGTTACGTATAAATAAATATAAGAATGAAGGTGGCAAAATTGGTTCCGAACAGTGAGAGCTTGGGCATGCTTTGGCTTGGGTCTGTTGGCCAGCGAATTTACAAAAGCAAAACAAAGAAAACAGATTCAATATAAATATTAGAATTATGAAATCATATGATTAAATAAATTCAAACAATGTTTACTTTGTAATGTTCCACTTTTTTCATCCTTTGGTACAACATTAAAATAAAACGGTTATTATCAAATAAATAATAACAAGCCAACTTGGAATTTTTTATCTTTGTTAGATGAATGTGAATTACTATATTTAATCTTATTAATTTTTTTAAATATTAAAACGTACACTCTGTAAAAATGGATCTACTCAAATAATGGCCATTTCGAAAATATTTATTTTGATATTATACTTCATTAAATGTTCAGTTAGTTTGATCCAGAAACAATTGAAGAAAGCCGTTTTTAGAAATAATAATATTAAGAGTGTCCAAAAAGTCAATAATTTATATTTGTTTATTAAATAGCTATAGAAAAGTAATGAAGGTGTAAATTAAAAAGTCATCTCATGATCAGAACGGGGAGCAGGGAAGATAGGCAAAGCTGAACCAAAAAAATAATTTAATTTAATCTCTAGCATTGTAATTCAATTTACTTTACTATTCCTACAAACTTTGTATTTTTCAAAAATTCAATATAACTTTATTTCATTTACATACATTTATTCTTCTATCTATTTAGTTTCAATTCAAATACAGTTGACACATTGACCTAACAAAATGTCAAAACTAAACTAATTAAGAAATGTTTAGTTAGATCACATTATTTTTATTTTTCTTCGTTCTCTAGATGGCTATGTTGGGAAGTAAAAATATAAAATTAGTAGTCCTCCTTAGGTCCTCCAGACTTCCGAAAAGCTTGGTCCCAAGGCCTGTGGGTTGGGGCCATATCTGCCTCCACACATCCTCCACCAGCTGGCAGTTCTGCAGAATGTGGTCTGTGAATGTTAAGTATTACTAAAATCTCAAATGTGTACATAATACTGATGATAATATAGCTTCATGTAAATTAAGTCAATCTGGAAAAACAATTTTCCATAGAACATCAAGCCTTCATATATAAGTGAAAGAAATATCTTTATTGATACAATAAGTATTTGTATTTTTGTACAACTGAATTTTGTACAACTTTTTTGCAGGATTTTAGCATAATTCTTGAGATGTGAAATAAGGTTTTGTTTTTTTTTAAATTAAACTATGATAATGAAGTCAGATTTCTTTTTATTATTTCTCTGTATAGTACTATGTGGATAGCTTCCTTAAACTTTTTTGTGTGTGTGCCACAAATGAAAAACAGTATCATGAATGGAAAAATTACAAATGGTCCTTTTCAAAAAAAGACATTGTTTTTCATTCAATTCATTTTTTTTTTTCATTTTGGAACACATTGAAAAATATAGATATTTGTTTTACAATTATGTATATTTCAATTATGTTCTTATAAATATGTGGCATGTTATAAGTTTTTAAAAAAGAAATTTGCACAATTTCCAAATTTAAACTTTTCACATTAAAATAATCATAAAAGAAAATATGTACTTCCAATAGTAGATACTACCAAAAAGTACTTTTTAACTAATGTTGCACATGGAAGATCACTTGATTACTTAATCAAATTATTATGTTTAGTTACTTGTTCGATGAACAATTTAACAAAGTTTTCAATGGAAATACATGTTTTGAGGTCTCCTGAGTCCAAATAACCCAGTCTCACAAAATGGTCTGTGTGTGCATGTATGTATGTGAACAGTCTAGCTCAAAAACGAAAAGTATTACGAGAGTGAAATTTCTTTCGTAATATTTAAGGTTTGTATATACCTTGCATGTTCCAGCAGCTTTTTCGTAAAAATTGGCTAAAAGGTAATGCCACTTTATGTCAACGGTGAAACACATTTTTACAATTTTCCAACTATTTTGATTAAATTCATTAATTTCAGTGTAAAATCAAGCGATTTTTAACTAAACGTAGGTCTTATTCTTATGAATGTAGGTCTAACGATTTTGAATTAACTCGGTTTAGCATTGTATAATTAAGTGGTCTTTAATATAATTTAGGTCTGATCTCCATTAATGTTACTTAACAGGGCTTAAATGCCCAATGTTCATATATGTTTTTCTTTTAAGTACCTTTAATATGGTTTATTTAAAAAAATGAACCCTTTTTTATTGATAGTAAATATAAAAAATGGCTAAATATGAAGTTTAAAAGAATATGATAATAGAAAACTGGAAAAAAAGAAAGTAAAAAATGCTTAGCCAGGTCGAAAATGAATTTACGGAAATGGTAATCGGAAGGTATACGTATAATATATCGTTGAGTTAACGAATCGGAGGCAGTGGAGACTTTATAAATAATGCTTTAATTCATAATGTTACAGATGGCATCTAACATACAGAGTAATATACTATGGATATATGAGTTGACTACATCAGTTCACTCTAGGACTCCTACAGTGAAGAGTATGACTCAAGAATGCAACGACATGAGTTATTTGGTCTTAGAAGGATGGGGGTTATATGCTCAGGAATAGTAGGGGGGATGAATCAATTCTGGACGGTGTAGGAAGCGTGTGAATGAAGTTAAGAATTGATATCCTTATCTTTTAGAATTGATATGAAGTCTGCGAGAAAGTGCTCGTTTGTTGAAAACGGTAATTACTCCCAAAGTCTTGATAAGTGTCTTCTGTCCAGTCAGTACATTCTAGATAACTATTTATTTGTGTTATAAAACTTTGTGTTAATAGTTGATTAACAGTGACATTATAAACAGTTAAACAAGTTAAACATTTTTAAGTTCACGGATAAAGAGTAGTTTGAAAAGATAGAATCTTCGCTGTTGTGTGAAGCGGTTCCGCCGCCAACAATGGCTACGCCGTCGTCCTCTGACAACATAACAGTTATAATGGACACTTTAGGACCAAACGAGGTGAGAGAAAACGCATGGGAGTTGGTCACCGGAAGGAAAAGATCAATCACAACTAATGAAAGGGACCCGAGAAAACAACTTAAAAAGGTTAGTGAGGTTACCATCACTCAAAACAGTTTCGAAGTTCTAAACAACGTTGGATAAGAATCAGAACCTAAAATAACACAACCTGCTCGTATAGTTCCTCCTCCCATACACTTAAACGATGTTCAAAATTACTCAGAACTGGTTTCATACCTCCAAACTGTAGGCGGTGTCAATAGTTTTAAGCTAAAGACAACAACAAAAGGCGTCAGTGTATACCCCGAAAATGCAGATATATATCGTACACTAGTGGCTAGTTTAAGGCAGGGTGGTGCTGATTTTCATACATACCAACTACCAGAAGATCGAAGCCCCAGAGTAGTATTAAAAAATCTTCACCATGTAACACCAGTAGAGACAATTAAATATGAGCTTAGATGTCTTGGTTATGAAGCCACTAACGTTGTAAACGTAATATCACGTTTTAAGAAGCCATTACCCATGTTCTTCATAGATATATCAAAGGCAACTTTCAATGAAAAAATTTCCGATGTAGAATTTCTATACTACACGAAAGTGAGAATTGAAGAACCCAGAAAGAAGAGAATAATCCCACAATGTATCAGATGCCAGCAGTACGGACATACTAAAACGTACTGCAATCACGCTCCGAAATGCGTGAGATTTGGCCTAGGCCATGACAGTACTACTTGCACCAAACCAAGAGAAACAGCCGCAAAGTGTGCCAATTGCGGAGGGTCACGCCCAGCAAATTACAGGGGTTATAAAACGTTAAAAGAATTAAGGGAAGCCAGAAATCCCAGGAAAACATCGAAAAACCCTGACAAAACACAAATTAGCGTACCTCCAGCAATCCATGAGTTTCCACCTCTACCTGAACTTCAGCAGTCTCACTCAGCTTCCTTCACATCAAATTCGCAGCATCCGAAGAGACAACCTCCACGAACAGTACCTGAAGCAGTACCAGGTCACCAACAGCAGGGATTTTCAGGCATGAGAAAGGGAAAACCTCTCGCTGACATTCATCCAGCATCGGCTCAGCTACTCAACTTAGTAAGTGGGTTAAATAATCTCATCCAGCCCCTTTTCAGTCTCCTCCAAGAACTTTCACATGTCACCCAGGCCTTATTCACTGACTATGGCAACTAATCAGCTGACTGTGGGCTCCATGTCCGTTCTTCTTTGGAACGCAAAAGGGGTTAATCAACATAAGACTGAACTTGACATGTACTTGCACGAAAAACGGACTGACATTGCCCTTATCACCGAAACACACTTAACTCCACGTACTAAATTTTACATTCCCGGTTACAGAATATACAGAACCGATCACCCAGACAATACAGCTCACGGCGGCACAGCGATACTAATTAAAACATCACTAAAGCACCACTCACTACATTTACCCATTACACCTGATATACAATCTACAGCCATTACACTATATACTCAAAACCAAACCATTACCTTTGCTGCAGTGTACTGTCCTCCGAGGTACGTGCTCACACCTGCGATGTTTTGCAATTTCTTCAGTCGTCTGGGGAGGTGTTTTATTGCTGGTGGCGATTACAATGCCAAACACCGGTCCTGGGGATCACAACTTTGTACTCCTAGAAGAACAAACCTAAAGTCTGCCATCCATCAGCTTTCATTAGACACGATCTCACCTGATACACCTACTTACTGGCCAACTTCAAGACAGAAAACACCAGACCTACTTGATTTTTTCGTCACTAAAGGACTAAGGACTGTACCATACACTATAAATGCAAGCTGCGATCTTTGTTCTGATCACTCCCTTCTCAGCCTACGAAGCTTACTGTATGATGAGCCATGTACTACAATGAAACGACCATCTCTCGTAGGAGGAATTATCGATTGGGATGGATATCAAGAAAAGCTAAACGAAATGCTCTCTATTCCAATGTCTCTAAGGAACGAATATGAAGTTAAAGAAGCTGTGGATAAATTCACAAACAGCATTCAACAAGCTACATTGTCTTCTTCTGTCCCAAGGTCCAACAGAAATGAGTGGCTTCCAACATATCATCAGTACATAAGAGATTTGATCAGGGCTAAGAGAAGAGCTCGCAAAGTATGGGAAACTGGTCGACTGCCATCTGACAAACGGACATTCAATAGACTTAACAATGAACTAAAACGACATATTCAAAGTTATAAAACTACAATTTACGACAACTACATCAGAAATCTCTTCTGACGATGGGAGCTTATGGAGGCATACAAAAAAACTTGTAAATCATCGTGAAGTGTCTGCACCTCTCCGAAACGAGGATGGTTTCTGGGCCGTGTCAGATATAGAAAAATCGGAGCTATTCGCTATCCATCTTTCTTCTGTTTTTACTCCACATACTGACTTCAACAACATTGAACACGAAGAAAAAGTACTAAACACTTTAGACATTCCACTACAATTAGAATTACCTCCACCTTGTTTCACTCTGAAACTTGTTGCAGAACAAATTAGACAATTACCTAAAAAGAAAGCCCCTGGTCATGCCCTGATAACTGCTCAAGTGCTCCAGAAAATGCCTAGAAAAGCTCTAGTTTACTTAACATCTATTTACAATGCAATACTCAGAACGACCAAATGTACTGTACAATGGAAATACTCACACATTACAATGATCCACAAACCAAACAAAGACAAATACACCCCTTCATCATACAGGCCAATTAGTCTACTCCAAATATGTTCCAAAATCTTTGAAAAACTACTATACAAAAGACTTATGAACATATTGACGGACGGAAAAATAATACCCGACCATCAATTCGGATTCCGACGACAGCATTCAACCATCCATCAATTACACAGGGTGACTGACTACATTGCAACTGCACTGGAGCAAAAATTGTATGCAACTGGAGTATTTCTGGATGTCGCTCAAGCATTCGATAGAGTATGGCATAAGGGTCTTCTCTTCAAACTTAAGACGATACTCCCTCCTACCTATTATCTTATACTTCAATCCTTTCTTTCTGACCGATTTTACTCTGTCTGCCAAGGCTCAGAACTTTCTTCAATAAGATCAGCCTTAGCAGGTGTTCCTCAGGGGTCAGTACTAGCTCCGCTTTTATACATTATATACACACACGACATCCCTAACAGCGTCAGAACTATTATAGCGACTTACGCAGACGATACAGCTATTCTGACAAGACATAAAAATCCAACACACGCCACACAGACTTTACAACATCATCTAACAAAACTAAACGACTGGTGCAAACTCTGGAAAATTCGACTCAACCAAGACAAATCACAACACATCACTTTTACTCTTCGACATGGAACATGCCCTCCTATTTACCTTGATAATGCCGAAATTCCTCAAACAGATAAAATACAATATCTTGGACTGACATTCGACAGAAGAATGACATGGGGTCCACATATCAACAAAAAAAGAAAAACATTAAACCTCAGACTACGACTGTTATACTCACTTCTCTCAAGACGCTCAAAATTAAACCTAAAACAAAAACTGAACACTTACAATTATCTACTTCAGCCTATATGGACCTACGCTTCACAAATTTACGGAATAGCCAAAACGACACACATACGAAAACTACAAACTTTTCAGTCTAAAACTTTCAGAACCATAACCAAAGCTCCATGGTACGTCACAAACATTACACTACATAAAGACCTTAAAATACCAACAGTTAACGAAGTTTTGAAATGACAGGTGTGGGTGAATAAATAAAGTTAATAAAAAAAATAAATAAATAACAAACTATTTCTAAGCTATCATCAGAGATAGCTTGACCTGGCTATGTATAAGGCTTTGTGCCTTAATGCTTTGTTAAAGGTCATGAGTAAGTTCAATGTATGATTAAATGATTAAATAAAAAAAAAGTTAATATTAATAGTTGTTACGGATTAAGTCCATTCCGTAACTGTTGGAAAGCGAAGAAGTTTAGAGAAACAATATCTATAATAGAAAGTTGTAGAAGGTAACGAAGAGTGGCGAAAACAACATAAATAATAACATGTTTTCAGGTAAATTAAATAACATTTTCTTACTAAATGTAAAGTTTTAAATTTTTTTATAAGTTTGAAGAAGTACTTAAAATCCACGGATTCAAGGCAATAACATTGTTTAAGATACTATTTCATTGTACTTGTGTGAAAGAAGAAGTGAAATATAAAAATATTTCATGGATATGTTTATAACCTAAAATATATTTACTGTAGTTTAATAACTCTGGATCTGATATTATATTTAAATAATTGGGTATCTATCGGCAGTTTATTCCGAAAAATGATCATGTAATTTACTTATTAAAATTTACTTTTAGAAATTCAAATTAGTGAATAATTTGATGAATTTTCCCTTGGGATATTCCAACACTTACAATTAGTGTTACAATTTTTGACCTGTCTATGACAGACAATGCAAATCTCTGAGTTCCATTTTAGTAAACTTTGTAATGTAAAATTACAGTTTAATAACTAATAGTCGTAAAATCCATAATCAATCAGTGATATAATAAATAGGAGTTTTGTTATTTTAATGGTATTTATGATTTATTAGCTGAATTATTAACTGATCAGAATTTTTTTTTAGCTTTAGCTCTGTTAAAAAAGCAATTCAAATATTTTATAATAGCCCAACATGGCCAGAAAATAATTTCTATTCAAAGTTGAGCGGTAAGAGAAAGTTGAGTGTTGCGCTCACCAGATTTTTTATTTTTGAAAGAAAAAACTGTGAATAAAGTAGCATTCACTAGGTAGGCCTAGTGAATGCTAATTTATTCACAGATATTCACGAGTTATATCATGAGTAGTAGTAGGTATATTTTAAACAGCTATGTGTTTTATTTATTCTATGCGGTCTTTTTGGGAGGGGAAATTTCATTTCTTTCCTCTCCTGAGATTCTGCCCAGCGCCGGCCTTAGGTCCGGAAGGTCGCTTGTGGGGGGCGCCGGCCGATCTTGAGGGGCGCTCGCCACTTGTTATGAATACAAAACGTCTTAAAACAATAAATTTTATCAATAAAGCAACTTTATTAGACAAAAATATTGAATGAAATAAAATTCAAATATTATATAATATAATACTGCTTAAAAAGTAATTTTTTTAGGGGATGGGAGAGGTGACGTCATTGCCCGGTGGCGCCGAATGTCTAAAGCCGGCACTGGTTCTACCAATGTTTTTTGGTTAACTTAAATAAACACTGATTACCAGGCGGTGCAGTTACTAGCGGCAGTGCCTCTCGAACTCCTCCTGCGAGAAGATATGTTCAGATACATATATAAAAAAGAATGTTCAGCAGGTCTACCGGAAAATCTCGAAGAGAGAATCGACGAAAACCCCAGAAAATTAACAGTTAATTTCTTTCTTTTTTTTTCAAATTAATTATCGTTATATGTATATGAAAAAAAAGTATATTTCGGGCTGAAGCCACCCCCAAAATTAAATCCTGAATCCGCTAGTGATTTAAACCGATTCTATTGATTTTTTTTTCATCATTCAACGTGAACTTTCTTAAATAAACTCATCAGGAACAGTTTGGTTTGACCCTATAAAACAAAAATTTAAATTTATTTGTTTGGCTTTCTGAAAATGGCAGATGTCCGTCTTTGAAATTAAGCCACTCATAGTTCCATATGTTTAATTTTATAATTAATTATAAGTATTCTTACTTTCACTTACGTATATATGTAATATATAGTAAGGGTAAGTATTGCGATCGGGAAAATGTTTGAATCTGAGTTTTCAATGGAAATACACGTTTTGAGGTACCCTGAGTCGAAATAACCAAGTCCCGCAAAATAGTCTGTGTGTCTGTGTGTTTGTATGTTAGCAGTCTAGCTCAAAAACGAAAAGTCGTAGGAAACTGATATTACGTATTTAAGTTATGTGCCTTAGCTGCGACAGCAACTTTTTCCTCAAAATCGGCTAACCGGAAGTGTCACTTTATATCAACGCTGAAACACATTTTTATAATTTTCTCAAAAACGGCTCTAACGATTTTTATTAAACTCGGTGTATCAATGTATAATGAAGTAATCTTTAATACCAATTAGGTCTTATCCTCATTGATGTCACTTTACAGGGCTTCAATGCCCAATGTTCATATATGTCTTCCTCTAAAGTACCTTTAATATGGTTTATATTAAAAAGTTAATCATTTCAAATTATTCAGAGTTGCGAAAAAATGCTAAGTATAACTTTTGAAAGAATTTGACAAGTTAATAAAGGAGAAAAAATAAAAATGCAGAAAAACCTGCGTTGCTGTAGACTGCAACGGCTAAACGAATGTACCGATTTCAATGAAACTTTGTCAAAGTCATTTTCTCGACACCCTTTAAATTTATCTATATAACACACTTCAACGAAAAGAAGCTGGAAAAAAGTTACGAGGGATGGTGAAATTAAATTCTGAATAACCCAAAAAGTATACACTTGTTTGTAGATATTGTATATAGTTTTTTAAATGTTTACGGAATTTCCTAAAAAACAAAACAAAAATCGTTAAAATCGGACAATTAAGAGGAAAGATATTGTCTCTAGCTTTTTTTTTTAATATGTTCTGCTTCAAAGCTTATATCTTTTGTTTTATCAACTTACTCACTGCCTGCATAGATAACTTTTTCAACTGAAAATATTACTAAAGTGACATTATTAAAAAATGTTGAAATCGGAATTAGTCATTCTGTGGTTTATAAAAGCAAAGAAAGTTGTGTGGTTTGTAAAAGCAGATGGAGTGACTAAATTTTTATTGCCTACCGTCGATAGATTAAATAGAAATTTTGTAATTATAATGGTCTTAATGACTTGTTATCTGTAAGCTTTAAGGTTTATCTCTGTTTAAAATGCACTTCAAAAAATTGTATAATAGCCCAGCATTGCCAGAAAGTAATTGCTATTCAAAGTAGAGCGGTAAGTGAATGTTGTGTGTTGCGCGCACCAGATTTTTAATATATTGTTTAATTTCCAACTTTGTGTTGATTATGCGGCATAAATATGGTAAATAAAAATATAAATGTTTGTTTGTTAGAAATCTTAAATCTCGGAATGTTTTTCACCGATTGCTTTGAAATTTTGGCTTAACGTGTTGCATTTAAATACGCGCTTGGTTTTATGTACCTACTATTATAAAATGTCAGGTTGTCAGGTTATACATATATAATATATATATATATATATATATATATATATATATATATATATATTACACAGCTCCATCTGTTGTATGTAAAAGTAAAACATGCTGTTCAAAACATTTAACTATACCATTTCAATATTTCATATTTACAAATATTAAACGTGGCATTGCATTGAAATTGAGCTATACCGTTTACCATGTCGTTCATTTCGTGTGCATTAGAACAGTATTAAACTTCCCCCTGAGGTATTAATTACCCGCTTCTTCTTAAAAACAACTTGATTAAATGTAGAGTTATAAAAATTGTGGTAGAAAAATAAATCTTGCTCATGAAATAAACCCTATGATAAACAGCATAGCCTTATTCCAATGTAATGTTATAGAAAATAATTTAATAAAACATAAAATAAACAAATCTATGTAAAGCCTATTTCTTAAAGCAATCTAGAGCATAAACGGCGATAATTATTATTCAAGGTTTCACTATTTTAAAATAATTTCATATCAAATATTTGAGATGTATCATACTATTTCCCGAACACATTGGGGAAAAAATATAAATATGAATATAAAAAGCGTATAATATTATTTACCTACACAAGGAGAATTATACCACTTCTTCAAATAATTATAAAGTAATTATAAAGTTTTCGATTAATCAACCTTCCTCCCCTACCCCCCAAAAAAAGATAACGATCTATGACGAAGAAACAGCACTAAATGTTTAAAAGATTATATCTCTGCATCGAATCGTCCGATTTCAATTTTTTTTTTAATTTGTCGGGTATTCAGAAAGGTTTAAAAAAATATGGGTATAACGAAACAAACATTGTGTAGCTTTTGAGTTGTTCCCTAATAAAATTCTGAATTCATCGTAACATATTTTGCATCTTGTTTTCTGGAAAGTATGTTATATACATAAATTAAAAGAGTTTCAAGGGAAAGACTTTAGCCCAGTTTTCTCTAAATCATTACAGCCGTTTTGGAGTGACAGTCTATGCTTTTATACTTTATATACTTTTATCAGCCACTATTTCGAAACGAAAGGCTGGTTAGTAATGAATTGGTCATAAAAAGACAAACAGACATATATATATATATATATATATATATATATATATATATATATATATATATATATATATACATATAATCATATTTTATGTTTAAATAATTCATTAATCTATCCTTATAATTAATTAATAAATTCGTTTCCTGTTATAATGGAAAAAGAATGAAACAACGAATGAAGAACAAAGAACCATTAAAAATATAATTGATAGATATACCATTGAAAATATTTGCTTACTGAAAGTCTATTGACAATACGAACCGGATTCATAAGCCTAAGGCACTGTAATTACGAACCCAGAAGAGAAAAAAACACACTTCTTTCGTCCACCACGTCGGATAAAAATTGCTCAATTTCATCGAGTAACAATAGGGCTTGGCTGAGAAACTAATTACTGGCACTATTTTTCAAATTTTCTCTAATGAAGGTAAAGTTCCCGGAAATGTTCAATGCCTGCTATAGACCTCAGATACAGGCAATCCAGGCAATCAGGTAATAATAACATTTCAAGGATCTCAAAGCTTTTTTTTTCTATTTTTTATTAAGGCTTTCTGGACATTATATATAGGCTGCACAGCTCTGGGATTCACGTCAATCGACAAGATGAACAGAATAGTGATTGTTGTTGCACTTATCCTCGCCTGCATCTTCAGCTGCTACGGGGTGAGTACCCACCTTTTGTTAATTATTTAAATCAGATTAACATTGTTCAAAGCAATATGGACATATGGGTTCAATTTTAGACCACAAAAGTTTTATCAATATTGTAGCATGCCGCCCAGTCAAGAAATTTTATTGATTTCTTCTTCTTAAAACGGTAATAGCGAAACTAGAAGTAAGAAAATTAGTTCATATACAATTACATCTTCTGTAATTTGTCTGTTCCATATTTTACCCCTTGTTTCCTGGTTTAAACTCCACGCTGATATAGCCAACCCTTCCAAAAATTCAAACCACAGCAAAAACTAATTTGACACCCATATCTCACAAATTCTTTCATTTTTTATGCAGTCCCTCTTTGTATAACCGACTATTCTTCAAAAATATCTCGTTTCAGGCGATGTGATCTTTCTTACATGCTTTCCGAGAGTTGTCATTTTTCCGACCCATCCAACAATACTGATTTGGCATCTGTACTAACTTTTTACTTTCCTATGGTTGTTTTGAATTCTGATAAAAAATATTAAAAAAACTTAGATAGAACGTCCAGTGATAAAATATTTCGATGAACTAATACAAATTTTCGTGTCTTTCCTTTTAAATGTCGGCTATGTGCAGTCACCTGTCCAGTTCTATTTGTGTATAGTGTTTGGTTATTATATAAACTAGATGGATATATGTTTTTTATGGATATGTTTTATCTGCAAGAAGTGAGTAAATTAATTTCAATTTTGCTTTCCTTTTTTTCATATGAAACGGTTTGGTCTTCCTAGTTTTGATGTATCGAATTCTGTAAATGCGAATTCCATGTCTTTAGCAAACAGTCTAATCTCGCCGCTCAACAAACACCGCAGTTTGCTAGAAAAAGACCTGTTTTGCATGATTTTCACTTTTTGTCTAATTCACACATACCTTTTTTTTTTCTTAATCCTGACAGATGCCTTTAGAACACTTTGGATAGTTATGTTATTGTACCTCATAATTATACAAAGATTCATTGGAATGTTTAACGAAAATGTGGAACGAAAAAACGATATCAACTTCCTCATAGAGCTTACTCTATTCTCGATACAGAGCCGGTGCAACGCTTCTCACTAATACAAATAAATAAATATTTCTTTCTAAAAAAAAGTCACTTATGGCAACTGTGTCTATAATGCAAATAGTAGTCTGTGGGCCAGACCCCCTTACCGTGCACCTCCCTCCCCTCCCCACATCCCTATAAATTGCATATCGTTGTGTTCCTTGTAACAAATTATTTAAAAAAAGCCAATGTTCCCACAAAAAAGTGAACGCACTGCCCCAAAATGGCGTCCAAAGATGGCGGATTGACGACTTTGACTTTAGTTAGTTTTTTGGTCACTGAGAATCAGCATTTAACTTAATTTCCTCATAGTTGGTCTTTTATTAAAGCTGAATAGTCATAGAATAATAAAACATGAAGAAATATTAAAAAATAATTGGCTTAGGCTACGAAAAACACCAGTAAAGTCAATTTTTTTTTCAAAAAAATTTTCAAGTTACGAATCAAGCGTCGTTTGTAATTAAACGGCCTACAATAACGCAAAACGTGCTGAAATAAAACATCTGGAGAATATATTTCTCTTTCTAAAACGCTGATTATTTTTTAAAACATTTTAAACAGTTCCGTAGAAAATGTACTTATGCGGTATAAGGTATAACTTTCTCGATATACCTCTCTATATTCTGCTTCAAAGTGAAGATAGTCCCGATGTAACCCCCCAAAAAACTAACTAAAGTCAAAGTCGTCAATCCGCCATCTTTGGACGCCATTTTGGGGCAGTGCGTTCACTTTTTTTTGTGGGAACATTGGCTTTTTTTTAATAATTTGTTACAAGGAACACAACGATATGCAATTTATAGGGATGTGGGGGGGGAGGGGTGCACGGTAAGGGGGTCTTGCCCACCGTGTATAGTTTATACTTAAAACTACATGATAACACCAAAAACAGGAAACTCATTTAAAATAAATTTCTTAAAAGTCTATCTTTATTTTAACTAAATTGAAATAACATATACTTTATTTTTAAGTAATATATTATTTTATAAACTATTTTAAGCTCCTTGTAAAAAATTACAGAGTTGTGAGTTATTAATTTTAATCAAAACACTTACCTATTACTACAAATCGAAACAGAACAAAATAATTGTCTTATCCTTTACTGAATTATTATGAAGAGAATCTTTCCTTCACAGATAATCCAAAAAATAGATATATTAAAGTGCTTAAATAGTCCTATATTCATTGTGTTTGATTTTCTACGCTTTTGTTGGAATGAAAACGAGAAGAGACTGATATGCCTGGACGTATATTAGACAAAGTAAAATAATTCAAAAGTATATCGTAAACGTAATTCTGAATTTTTTTTCCTGCTAGATTAAATCTCTGGCTCAAAGCCCCCTAGTCTTGGTAGTGAAGAGACGAAAACTGGATTAGTAGGTTACTAACAAATTTGGAATGATTTAATATTCAATCATTTTTCGCGATAATTCTTGTTTAAAATTTAAATACATTTTCTCCTAAAGTGTAAAAAAAAAATCAGAAAATGGACGTATAAAAATTAGTTAAAATTTATTTTCCTCTGAATCTAATCAGTAGTAAGTAGATAGAGAGGATACTAATTACATTTTTAAAAAATATACTTTTCATTTACTTTATTTATTTTTTTGTTGTTGCATGTTTTTACATAAGAAATACAATAATCTATTGTAGATTATTTTATTTGTTATCCTATTATTTTTTTAACTTTAGATACATGTTTAAATTAATACCTAATTACCTGTTATAACATTTTCTCATATCACATTAACAGATTTCACATACTCTACAATTATTTTTATCATTGATCCGTATTGTGTTTCAAAATAATTATTTATATTGTTATTTTAATAATTGTTTTTTAATGAGTGTATGTGGCCAAAGCACTCTCGCTAAATCTCCACTGGGTTTAACCCCAGTGACGCGGTTGAGAGAGAAGTGTAGGGATCTCCTGGAGTCATGCTTTTTCCTCCACAGTTGGAGGAACAAGTTTGGCTCGGAGTACTCTCGCCTGATTGTAAATAGTGTATATAGGTATGTCTGTGTTCTTTTGTATTTATTTATTTTTTAGGTTATTTTATACTTTTTATATTGTATATATATTATTATTTTACATAGAGTGTGAATGTGATTTCTGAACACTATTATAAATGTCCTTTGAGACAGATTTAACAATGTCATTTAATCCTTTATTAATATTGAAACATTAATCTAAATATGTGTGCATAAAATATGCAATAAATCGAACTTTGCTTGAACAGTTGAGCCCTGACATGAAGGCAGCTGTTGATGAGTGCAAAAACCAACACAACCTTGATTCAGGTGAGTTTTTTTAAAGCAAAATTGTATTATATTAATGTTGTTGTTTTTTTAAATAAAAACACAAACTTAAATTGTTATTCACCGCCTGCAGTGAAAGTAAGAGATAAGAATTTGCAGTTCCGACTCATAATTGCAGAGTTTATTATTTTATAGCCATTTAAGCCCTGTTAAAAAACATCATGAGAATAAAACCTAGAGTATAGTAAAAACTACTTAATTTTACAATGATGTAATGGATTTTATCAAAATCTATAGAGCTTTTTTCAGAGCAGATTTTGACGAAAAAGTTGCTGTAACATCTGAGGTATATTAAAACATTAAATATGCAATTTCATTTTCGTACAAATTTTCGTTTTTGAGCTAGACTGTTAACACACACACACACACACACAACGACATACACTCACACACACACAGACCATTTTGTGAGACTTGGTTATTTGGACACAGGGAACCTCAAAACGTATATTTCCGTTGAAAACTGAGATTCGAAAATTTTCACGATTGCAATACTTTCCTTAGGCATGTGAAATTAAAAAAGGCTAAATATAACTTGTGAAAGAATATGATAATCGAATAAAAGAAAAAAAAAATGAAAATGCTTATTTAGCTGGAAAAAGAATCTCCGAAAATAATATTCAAAAGGTATAATATCGTCGGAAAGCGACGAATTTTAGAAAAACAATATCTACTATAGAAAGTCGGAGAAGATAATAAACATGACGAAAAAAATATAAGTAATAATTTCTGGAGACTAATATTATTTAACGTAAATCACATGTTTCTAAGAAAATTAAATGCAATTTCCCAAATAAATATGGACTTTTAAAAATATTTTTAAGTTTGAAAAAAGTTTATAAAATCCACCGAATCATAGCAATGATATTGTTTAAAAATTATTTCATTGTACTTGAGTGAAAAAAGAAGTGGAATATACATATATTTCATGAATGTGTAAAACATACGTTTATAAGCTTCAATACATTTATTGTAGTTTAATAACCCCCAGATATCTAGGACTTCCGCTTACGCACGCGCAAACGTATTTTTTTAGATATGCCAATATTTCAGAAACGACTCGTTCGATTTGGCTCAAAGTTAGAAAAATGGTATTAATTAATAAAAGTATTAATAAAAAAATAACGTAGTATAAATTTCATTGAAATCTGTCCTCTACTTTCTCTAATACATGCGTAAATATGTTTTCCTTGATAGGTCAATATCTCTTAAATTTTAAATTTTATTCAAATTTGGAGCGAAGTTAGGGATTGGTGAACAGACTATCAAGTGTGTATGAATTTTATCAAATTTTAACCACTACTTCCAAAAAAATACTTCCGGTTTCAGACCAGGAAATGTATTATTTGATACATTTATAGTTCGAAAATGGCTCATTTGATTTGACCCAAACCTGGAGGAAATTTGGAGAATAGTATAGAAATTAAATAGTATCATTCATTGAATTCCATTTAGTAATTAAGATTAATATAAATAATTGTTAAATATATAATGGCTGTGAATTGTGGAAGACATTGATCATATGGAGTGGGAGTTAGGTCAATACAATATTTTTATGGGGTTATAAAATTTTAGGTTTTATTCAATATGTTAATTTATACTATATTATTTAGTCGATTCCAAACGTTACTGACATGGCAGTTACTGGCGCTACATAGATTTCGTGTAAATGTCAGTAAATTTAAATTAAATTTTCCTCTGCTTTAGTAAAATATATATATATATATTTGTGATTATGTTTTACGCATTTTTAATATTCCAGCTTAATTAGTTTTGTTCTGACTGAAGAAAAGTATTAGTTTCGTTAACTCCGAACAAAAAAAAAGTTTCATTTTTCCTATGAATTTTTGTTCTATCTATTTTAAAAGTGAAACCATACCTATTAATTATATATCACTACTGTTAGTGCAAAAGGTGATACGTAAAATGTTTCAATTTTATTCTATATTTGACATTTTATTCATAGTTTATTCTATATATCTGTAACTGAAATAAGTAGTCTGCTACTATGGAAAATATTAGAGGGAAAATAAAATATGAAATTATACTGATAAATCATGGAGAAATTATTAGTTTTTATGGTCTCCTGTAAAAGACTCAATTTTTACATACGACTTTTTGCACTAACAGTAGCAATATGCATTTTCAGTATGCACAGGAATTATTTCATTTTGATCACGAACTACCAAATATTCAATTTGGAAATGCGGAACTCTTTCGCATATTAGTATACGCCGAAGAACAAAACTCATGGAAATCAAACTCGTATATATTGAAGGATTATTTAATGTTCGAAAACGGCTTTTTCCAGAGATTTTATCCTCATACGAATAATTTTAGATCTTGTAATAGAGATATTTTGTAGCCAATGTAAATGGTGAGGAAGCAATACTGACCTTACTTGGCAGACTTTTTTTTTTTATAGCTTTTCAGTTTTTATACATAAATATAATTACAATTCAGCTTATAGTGTATGTTTTAGAACTAATTTTATTTCTGATAGCATAACTATAACAAAAATCTATCCATTTATCATAATTGAAGACTTTTCTTGCTTTTTAGATCAGATAAAAACAGCCTTTGATAAGAAAGAAATTCCAGAAACAGCTCATGGAAAGGTAAGACCAGATAGCAATGTTTATGGTCGTGATTATAAGATTAATAAAAGTTAATCTCACATTAAATAAATAGGTATCATCATAACCATTTAGAAAAAAAAAATTAAATACAAAAAGCAAGTATCTCATTAAATACTCTATCTTTGTTTTGTTTTTTCCTTTTCTCTTTTACCTTGCCTTTTTGGCTATACGGGTTTTTTTTCTGGGGCATGTGAGAGGGCTAGGGATTAATGCTAGCTCCCGTAAATTAGAGAGTTAAGGAGTACATGTTCCCGGCACCAGGACTCGAACTCGTAATCTTGATGTTATCGTTTTCAGATTGCCAAATTATATATTGTAAACAGATCAGCCCTTCGGCCGCCCTGCCAAAAAATTACTAACTTATTTATTATTAATCATAAATTTAGATTTTAAGCTGCGAAATACCGGATTTTATTCATTTTCCGCTAAAAATTAAAGCCGAGAAAAAAAAATTATATAATTTCAAACAAAATTTACGTTTATTTATTTTTGCCTTTGATTTGCTGGGATTTTTAGATTAGATTGATATATCAATCATTTTGTTGTTGTTGTTTTTTTTTGTGCAGAATAAGAAAAAAATATTAACTATTGTATTAAATGTATCATAAATAACAACAAGTGCTTCCAATAAATTAGGCTAAGTAATTTTTTGTTATGAAAAATCAAATTAGATTCCTTTTTAAGGGCCTTTAAAACTCTTAAATACGAAATTTTATATAAATAAAAAAATACAACCTTTAGTACTTGCTTTTCTTGGAGGAGCCGTTTTTGAACCAAAAAACTATTGTACATATAATAACCTAAAAATTCGAGCAAAGCAAAGGGAAAAATAAACAACCTAAATTTTGTTTAAAATTATATAAAAGTTTATTTTTATCGGCTCCTAGGGCCCATTGAAAAGAAAACCGGAAAAAGTGTCTAATATTTTCCGATGCAGTTTCACCAAGAAAAAAATTGTTTGTAATCGATGACCCACAGATTGTATCCTCTCCTTGTAACAGACCAATTTTTTATCAAATTATTGGATGATTATAAATCATCCACCGGAAACTTCGGGGAAAGCTTCGTCTTATCGTAACCTACAACTATTTTATTTGCGAAAACTCTTTGAATCGGGGCGTTTTAAATTTGGAGACCGGCAAACTTTGTCTATTTAATTATAGGTACTAAAACTTGTAAATATCCATTTGCAAATAGGAAAAAAAAGATGGCTTACCAAAATATTGGGCTGTTTGGCCTATATAACCTCGTTATTTTGAGAGTGTAAGCTCCGCCAGACGCTTAATATTTTTGAAGGCCACATTTTCCCTCGACTTTGTGCTCAAATTATCTTACGATTCAAGTGGAAATCAAATGGGTATTTACGAGTTTTTCTTACCTATGAGAAGAATCTATTTACAAAGTTTCAGGCGGACTTTACTAATTTGATAAAAAGGTTTCTGTACCACGGGCTAAAGTATTTTTTCCTTTAAATAAGAGCATATTGTATCGTGTGCCACAAAAAATTATCTCAGGGCCGATCATTTTGACAATCCTGACAAATGGCAATAAAATAAAATATTATTAATATAACGAAATAAATTATGCTTGCATACTAATAATTTTTTTTTTTGTTTTTTTACACTCTGGTGAATTAAACTGCATGCTCAAACTTAATTTTAGTTAAGAAAAATAAAGAAAGATCCTTTATAATAAAAATATTTCTTTACAGTGCTTTATGTCCTGCGTAATGGAAAAAATGGGTGTGGTAAGTAGTATTCCTTCAATAATACTTGACATAGTCATCCATCATTAATAAAACCATTCACTGTGAAAAATATAACATTGTTCTTTTAGCTCAAGGACGGTAAAATTGATTTGGATAGGATTTTGGAAATAAATAGAAAGAAATTCAAGGATCCAGAAAATCTAGGAAAAGCCGATGAAATTGCTAACAGGTGTGCAAATGGTAAGTTAAATGGTCAAAAATCCCTTGGACTAATAGGAAATGTATATTAAGGATGACTATTTTGTTCTTTGTTTAGTGGAATCTCCTGACAGTGAAGAATGCTCCCTAGCAACAGAGCTAGCGAAATGTGCTCTCAAAAATGCAATTGAGGTGAACTAAATATTAGTAAAACATACTCCTATAATTATCCCAAGAATAATTTAGAAAGCTTTATTATTTATATTTTGTTTTTTTACAGCTTAAATTAGAAGTACCAAAGGACGAAATTTAAGTACCTAAAGAAATTGGACTGTTCATCTGTACATTGAAAGATTACCTTTAGTAGATTAAACCAAATGAATACTTATATTTTTTAATAGATTACTGATAACAAATTTAATCAAAATCATTTATGACTCCCTTTCTTGGCCTTGTAAATTCCATTTCCTTTTATCCATTCTAAACATTGTGAAAAGATTATTTTTTCAATTGAAATATAACTGTTTTTATAAAAATAAAAAAAAAATGGAGCTCGCATCAAACAACTTTCAATTATCACTCTTTTTTGAGTAGAAATTGTTTTTTGGTAATCTTAGGCTATTAGAAAATTTTGAAGTGCATTTTTAACGGAGCTGAAGCATAAACCTTAGAGCTTACAAATCATTAAAATTACAACAATCCTATTTATTATATCGACGGTAGGTAATAAAAATCTCGTTACTACATCTGTTTTTGTAAACCACACAACTCCAGCCACTGAGCTATATATGCCTAGATAGATTTGAAAGTACATTTCTATATTTGAGTAATAAATGATTATGGACTATTGCTTATTAAACTCTTATTTTCCACTGTGGTTTCTAAGTTTACTAAAATGGAGTTACGATGATTTCATTGCTTGCCATATATAAGGCTAAAGTTGTCAAATAATTTAAGTGGATAATGTAAGGATTTCACTAAGAGAAAATTCATCAAATTATTTACCAAATTGATTTTCTAAAAGGTTACATGATTTTTAAAAATAATAGATACGATGATAGTTACTTAATTATTACCCGACTAAGAGAAGCGAAACGAGGGTTGTGTGTTTGGGTGGTAGCTATGTAAAATTAGATTAAAAAGTATATATATATATATTATATTTATTAAAAGTATATATATATTTTTAATGCAGTATTGAATCAGAAACAGTCTTCAGCATTATGCACACAGACATTGATTTAGACTATAAATAAAGTAATGCTGAAACTATTTGTCATCTGGTGGGACTGAAACTCTGCTTATCCAAACCTCCCTCTTCTATATCCTACAGTGAGAGTTTAAACGAACTTTGAAATTTTACTAGGCCATTTTCAGGTCACCAGCTATCTATAAAAAGGATGTTATATTACATTTCTCATATTTTAAAAGTTGTTTTTGTCCTGCATGTTCGGCGATCGGCCTCATTGTGCGTCGCTCGAAAAATCTTTACACACCTTTTATCAAATCAATTAAACATATTTTATTCAATTATTATCTATTTGATTAAAAGATTAAAATCGATCCATCCGTTCAATTTAAAAACCGTTACACCCCTTTAGCGGACAACCTAAACACATAACGCTCGTGTCGCTTTGCTTTCAAAACATTCAGGAGACTTCACCAAACAATTTAAGATATCAAACAAAAAATCTACCCAGCCGTTTACTTTAAAAATCGTTATTTATATTTATCAACACATTTTATTTAATCACATTTTGTCTTTTTAGCTCAAATTGTTTTAAAACACTCAGGGGATCTAAATGAATAATTTGAGCCATACTTAAAAATTGATCCTACCGTTCGCTCTAAATAGCGTTACAAATCTTTTTGCATATTGATTAAACACATTTTATTTAATAACGGACTGGTATTTTAAGTTCAAGTTGTTTCCTACACTCCTCCTACTAGAAGAAGTGACGAAATATTCATACAAGATAGAAGGCTCTACAGTACTTTCGGACAATCTACAGGTAAGGATTATGGAAGCGCCTAATAGGTGGAAGAAGATACTCCGGGAGAATACAATTGAAGCATGGAACCGGCGGTGGGTAACCCCTAAATGAAATACATTGAGGAAGTACTTTCCCACAGTACAGTCGAGGCTTCAGGCAAAGTCGGTCCTCCCGGACTACTGGATTTCCCAGTTCCTCACGGGGCATGGAGGATTTCGAGCTAAACTTCATGGTCTGGGCATTGATGTAGATCCTCTATGCCCAATCTGTAGTGTTCCGGAAACTGTAGAGCACGTGGTCACGACCTGCACCGCGTTTGAAACGTTAAAAGCGACAATGACAAGAGCCGCGGGAATCTATGTCCTCACTGAAAATGAGTTTCCTCAGTTAGTCAGTGAGGAAAATTTCCCGCGGTTTGAGGATTTCATAAATGGATGGAAGACTGCAGTGGGGCCCGCTCACTTCCATATTGGTGCTCGCAGAAGAAGAGGACAAGCCCCAGGAAGATCTTCAGATTCTGAAAGCTAGGCCGAAAGAAGAAGGAAGAAGATAAAACAGAAGAACTATATATGTGCATATCTAGTATTAGTGTGTTATTAAGTATTCATGCCTAAAACACACTATTGCAAACACCCGTATTGCCATTGTGGCATGGGAGGGTGGAAATAAATAAATAACGCGCGATGATGTGCACACACGTTAGCAATTCGGACAACTCGCCCCCCAACTGAACTAGTTCAATAAGTTGAACTGCAATAGCAAAACCCCAGTATCCTCCCATTTGAGCCGAGGTCTTCCTCTTCCTCTTGTCCGGTGGAGCCTCCCATCCAGCAGAGGCCAGTCCACCGCGTTTTTACCAATCTAATAAACCTAATTATGTCATTTTCGCCATTAAGTTGGTAAATTTCGTTGTTCGTCCTCCGTCTCCAGTCCTCTCAGTTTAATTTTTCAAAATTTTAAATTGCGGTGGTTTTCATAAGTTGAAAATTTAATACTACAGTCTTAAGCTGGAATAAAATATCATTAAAATTAAACTTTCTTAAATTCAAAATATTATAAAATAACATTTTCTTTCACTGAGCTTTTAGATTGCAAATAAATTTTATTCAAAATGTATAAAGATGTTATAATACATTATTGATACTTTTTTAAATTATTAATATATTTGTTCATTTATTAATATTTAAAGAAATAAAAGTTACATTATTATGATTTAATATGCTTCTATTTTTACTTTCCCTTACTATATATTTCATATTGCGATAGTGAAATTTTTCAAATCTCATTTTTCAACGGAAATACACGTTTTTATGTCCCATGAGTCCAAATAACCAAGTCCTGCAAAATGGTCTGTGTGTGTTAACAGTCTAGCTCAAAAACGAAAAGTCATACGCAAGTAAAATTGCATATTTAAGATTTTTACATGCTAGGGATGTTACAGCAATTTTTTCGCCAAAATCGGCTAACCAAAAGTGGCACTTCATATCATGTACAACACATAATTGCGATTTTCTTCACAATAGCTTTTGGTTAAATTCATCATATCAGTGCAAAATTATGCAGTTTTAAATAAACTGTAGTTTTTATTCTGATTCATGTTTTCTAACAAGGCTTAAATGGCTAATTTTCAATATTAGCTTTCCCTAAAGTACCTTTAATTTTTTTTATTTGAAACAAATGGCCATTTCACATTAATATCTAATGTATTAGATAGTTAAATATAAAATATGAAAGAATTTGATAATTAGCTAAAGGAGAAACAAGATATCGTAACGGAGAATAGTTGTAATTGAGGAACCAAAGGAATACGAGCGCACCCGAAAGATTAGAACATGCTTCGATATGTAACATGAACATAATATAATTAGGACTTCGACAATATTATGTAAATATACATATGCGGTTTTCATAGATGCTATTGTTGGTATTATTTAATATTTAATTTTATATATTATAGCGATATAAATACTAAAATTTGTTTATATAAGGGTACTTATAAAAATAAAAATACCCACAATGAAATATAAATCAATATGGCGTTTGTAATTTTTTACTTTCACTTCCCCTTTGTCTAAAAATATTTAGTTCTGCTAAGAAGTATGGTAAGTGAAAGTTGTGTGATACGCGCACCGCACCAGATTTTTTAAAATCTTTATTTATTGATTCTTTTGTTCTAATTTATTTTACTATAATGTTCTTAAGTCCATCTATTCCTGTTTTTAATGTTATTCTAAAAAGACATGTCTCATAGAAAAAAAGAATAGATTTTTATTACTAAGACCTACACCAGCTAATTTTAAGAATCTCTTTTAATCCAATCATCCAATGCAAAAAAAGTCCATTATAAAATTTAAACATGAAAATAAATAGGTACTTCAAAAGGAATTATATAATAAATAATGCAAGCCTTTATTTAATTACATCATATGAAAGTAACAATTTTTTTATTTTTTTATAATAAAGTAAACAATTTTTGTTACAAAACTTTATAAAATGACTTTTATAAAATGATAATTTAACAATAAATTTATGATTATATCATTCAGTAGATCATAAAATACTAGAACACGTTAAATACATAATACATTGCACCAAACATAACAATATTAACAAATAAATTAACATTTCAGGAACAAAATAGTTTACCACACCTAATTAATTTAATATTATAGTACCTATTTACAAGAATGTATAATACATTTTTAATTCATTTCATTTTTAGTTCATTAGTGTTTCTAAAATAAGGAAACAGTGCACTTAAATGCCTTATAAATGCTATTCTTAATAATCATTACAAATAAAAGTTAGTGCACCATTTAGATACAATACTTGCTTTATCTTTTGTATAATTATCAAGTCTATGGTCGATGTCTTTCTAATAGTTATATAAAATAATCACCCTTATAAATATTCATAGTTAGGTATATAAAAGTGAGGTAGATCATTTCAAATTAATGTGCAGTCTTCAAAAATAAAAAATGCTTATATATACATTAATTACTAAAATTAAGAACTAACAATAGAGAGAAAGGTCGATTAAAGTGACAGGACAGTAATTATCAAGAGAGATAAATATAAGTATGCACATTCAAAGAAATTATAAATAGATCCTTGTAATTATGAGAGAGCTAACAGAGTGTTTTACCATTAAACAACTAAACCTAAAACAAAGATTATAACTGAATTTGTGAAGTTAAGCAATTTACCTAAACTCTTTAATTTAACAGTTATTCAATAAATAACAACAGGTCAAGCAAACTTGAGCCAAGTACAGCAACAGGTGAAGAGACAGTAAAAACTTCACAACTTCTTTAATATTTTCAAATACATAAAAACAAAAAAAAAAATTATCTATTTAATTTTAATTTCCTGGAAAATTTCCTATCCCTACTAAATGCAGCTAATACTATCATAAAAATAACAAATAACTTAGGAACGGATAACATTTGTTATTTATCACTTTTTTCTCTTTGGGTAGTGTATACTGTAGATTGGTGAAACTGGGCATAGAGACAAGCAAAATAAGAAATCCTGATTTCGGGTACCTCTTCTTCAATATTCTGACCATCAGAAATTTATTCCTTAGTCATTTTTTTAATGAAAGCTTCAGCAATAGCAGCAGTTGCCGTCATGAGCGATTCCTGTATAATAGCATCGGCTATTCGGTTTTTTATTATATTTTCCTCTTCTGAGTAGTCTGTCCATTCCCATTCTTCTTCTTGACTCTCTTTTACAAGGATCTCGTCCACATGATCCCTCCTCTTGCGGGACCAGCGGATAATCAGATTTTCCCGACATTCTCTTTCTTCAACACCCAAATAGATCTTTGCTTCCTTTTCAACCTCTTCAAGAAGATCTTCTTTTGTTCTGGAAATATTCAAAACATCAATATATTTATATTAGGTAATTGCCTGAAACAAATCATTCTATTATTATTATTTTATTAGTAACAATTATAACAACATTATTGAAATTTCGGGATGTTTCCCAATCTTCATCATTTTTTTTTTATATTCTGAACATCTACCACTTCAGAATATCAAAATAACTATGTCAACTTATCTGTCCAATAAATTCATATTTATTCTAATTTCATTTAAATTTAAATTAGAAACTAATAATTTATTTTTGACATACAGACATATTTTTGAATAGAAATGTTTTTCAGATTATGAAAATTCGAAAACAATCCTTTACATAAGGGGTCTCCAAACCATGGCCCGCCAGCACCTGCAATCTTTTCTGCGAAAGCTTATTTGATTACATAATAAAATTTCAAAAACTATTTAAAAATATAACATTTAGTAAATCATTCAAATACGAGGCTACTATTCATAACATTCATTGCATGAGTTGAATTTCTCAGAAAGCTCATATCACAACTGAGGTGTCATTTATGAAACAAACTTGTTTTCCCAACAATCCATGGCTTGCGGAACTTATTAGAGGATTCAATGTGACACACGGGACAGACTTAGTAGGTGTCTTAACGTAGCCCGTGAGCCAAAAAGTTTGGAGACCTCTGCTTCACAACATGGATAACCAGATTATACAGCTCTCAATACATTAGAATCACCTGAAAAGCTTTTAAAGCAGAATCACAAGTGTCAGTAAAAACAACATAATTTAAAACATAAGGAAAGAAGTGTGTAAAAAGTAATACAAAGTAAACATAACTAAATATAGAAATAGAGTAGGATGATTATTTAAAACTTAGCAAACATATTTTTCCTCAGGCCAACTAAAATTTTTAATTTGTTAAATAGAGCTCAACACACTCTTGCAGATATAGAGGCAGATGATTCCATGTTCCTTTCGAAATACCTACAGTGATAAGCATGTTTTTACAAATTGGAAAACATTTCTTTTTTAGCCAACTAAAAACGTTAAAGTTCTTAATCATTTTATTGTTTAACATTACAGATTCCATATTCGTTTTTAAAAATATGGATAACAAAACCATACGGATGATATTGTATGATGTGATCATCATGAAATTTCTTTCTTTTGACACCTTGTTTGTCAAAATACATTGCTCTTGAGGGATGGAAAATTTTATATTGGATAAGCCCAGATCAGATCTTCTACCTTCCACCAATCCAACAAGTTTTCCAGAGGGACAAGCTGATTACTTATTATGTAAAATATTATTTTAACACAATAATTCTTAAGAAGTAGGTAGCTTCACCAAATTCGCTTGTTAAATAGACTTACCTAATAATAATATTGTTAATGTGAATAAATATATATTCATTATTAACTCTTTGATTATTATTTAATATGCTAGTTGAGCATGATGAAATAAAGAAAACAATTTAAATTTAATTCCATAAACGGCTAAATAAATGGTTCAAAATGAATTATGAGACAATTAACAGCAAAATTATAAAATAGCAATACAATAACTAGCTTTTAACCTGATGTGCCTCTTAGGCCTTCGCCTTCTAATATGTACCCAGGAAGGCTGTGGTGGTGGTGTGGGAGGACGCACACGCATAACTAGTTCTGCAGCGAGGTCCCAAAGAAATTCACGTAAATGGCAGCCAGCCATGAAGGAAGATGGTGCTTCAGTCCTGCCATCCCAGATCTCGCCTGCAGCCTCTACTACGCTGGCTACCAGGCTTGACCGACGGGGAGTGTATGGAGGAGGGGGTTTGTCAGGGATAGGTCTGATATAATAGTACCTTCTAGCTTCCTCTTCCTCAAGCTCCTCTATCTGAAAACAAATTTTTAAAAAGTTACTCGCAAGCCTATTGTTTCCATAAGCCATTAGGACAATATTGGGTAGAAAGAGCTAATAAAGCATATTACATTGAAAAGTAAAATAAATGATCATGTTACTTAAAATTCATGCCAATACATACATTCATTTGTTTTTTTAAATAATGCCCAAAGCCTCTCTGCTTGATCATCCAACACTTTTTAACCAAAGTAAAGAAGACTAAGGCAAAAACAGTTTCACTATTACAGAATTCTTTCAAAATGAAAAAGTGAAATGTTTGTTAAGTTCAAATTGCAAAATCTTTATTTGTTTTATAATAAATATGAGGAAGACACCATTTTTATCTCCTTTTTTAAGATTAAAAATTCAGTTTAAATAGCAATTAAAATTGAATAGCTATAGTAAAACAGAAAATCAAGATATTATAATTACAAATTAATATTAAAACAAACAACCTATTCTAAACAGCTAAAAACTTGAAGATGACTAATGAGCTATTATGCGATTAGATAGATATATAGATATATAGATAGATGCGATGAATTAGATTTTAATTTTATATTCGATATTCATAACTGAAAGACTTTAAAGCTCCATAAAGATTTTTAGATACTAAGTTATTGAAAACTAAGTTAACTCACACTTCTAAATTATGTTTTTAAAGAAATTAAGTAAGGAAAAAATTGTTATTTATTATACAAGCACTTTAAAAATCATACTAATTAGTTTGCTTACCAGCTAAATTCATTTAAAAATTTTCCATATATAGATAAATAGATACCTCTTTGTCGATGCGGAGCTGCTGGAGACGAAGGACCTCAGCTTCTGCTGCCTGCTGCCGATGCAGCTCTTCTCCATCCCATTCTTCATCATCGCTATCACCCACCTACACCACCATTCAAGTAAATAAAATGATTCATACTTGATAAATCCTTCATAAAACCACAAGATGTTAATGAAAATTACCGTTATATTATGAAGAGGGAACAAACCATATATTAAAATTTGTTTATTGTCAAAATAAGAATGGGGCACTGATAATAATATGAATAATTTTAATGATGTCTCGGCTTCAAAATTCATAGAATAAAAACAAAGTCATGAAAAAATAATATTAAATTTTTAAAAAAAAAATTACTAAATGGAAACCAAAATGTGATGGGGTGCTGTGTACACTAAGATGAGGGGAAGAGACAAGACTGTGTTTTGTACAAACCTATTGGCACCGGTCCAAATCTGTCTAATTCTGTCACACCCACACATATACATCCTCCCTCTCTCCCTATGTGTATTAATATCCTTGACTAGGATATTTTTATAAACATTCATAAAGATTAGAATAAACAAATAAAATAATATTTAATAAGAAACTATCATTAACAAGTAGTAACAAAATACGCATTTAAAGTTCCATTTTGTTTAAATATGAATGAGTTTTTAAGGTTTGATTCGTTACTTTATAAAATAGAAATAATAAATAAAAAGTGTCATAATTCTCTACAATCACAACAAAAAAAAAAGGACTAAACGTCTAGAAAATTATTATTTTTTAAACATTATTATTTGGGCCATATAATTCCCCACTATAATGTAAAGAAAAAATTATCAATTACAATAAAAACGTATTTATGTAAAAAAATCAGATTTGAAATTAGAATATCTTGGGTGACTTACCAATTTATTGCTTTCAGTAGATTGCACACCTGCAGCTGTAACAAAGTAATCATCATGAAGTTTAGCAGTGTAAATGAGCTTAACCACAAAATGCATGAACACTTTATACCAATATCAATACCCTTAACTATTTTTTTTTTTTTTTTTTTTTTTTATGAAAGATATAATAAATAATATTTTTATTTATATAACAATTCAAATGTATACACAGCAATATGTGATATTTGTTGATATAAAAGGATGTGCCAACAACATCAATGATGAACTTATCACTTATCCTAACAGAACGAATACCAAACATTAGGAAAACATAACAAGATTGATCAGGAATTGGAACAGCTCTCTGGGCCAGTCAACATAAAACTAAAACAATGATCTTGTGCTAGGTCATTACAATCTACACATTAAAATTATTTTTCAAAATATACGCTACTAATGTCAATTACATCTTTCTGACAGAAGTTAATAAATCCTCACACACTAATTTGACATCTTCATTGTTTTTGAAGCCCTGGGCTTTTTACACAATTGACCAGAAAAGAATATTGTCAGAAGGTGAAATGTAAGAACAGTGATACAATGTTACTCTTCATTTCTGAAAATTTTTCTTTGAGTAAGTGAAAAGGATTACCAAAGCAAGGTACTTCTCTTTTGAAATTTCATATACTCTTTATAATTGTTTACAGTAAAGTTCACTGCCAATAACCATTTGGAACCATCTCAAAGTGTAAAATACCCTCTTAATTCCACCAAACACAAAACTTATTTTTTTTCTGAACTGATCCAGGCGAAATTCTACATGAGCTTATTGGGCTTGCGAGTACCCATTATTTTTGGTTAATAGAATTTTTCAAAATCTATCATCTTCTGGATTTTGACATTTTGGACATTAAGCTTTTTCAAGGGATGTCTCAACATAATTTTTGAAACTCCCACTTCAGATAATTTTTGAGCCATCATAAATTGAACCTGGCTGACACACACAGCATCATTCACCTCTAGAAGATGTCATGACCCAGCCTAATCTCGAAGACTGTCGTTCCCAGAATTGAACCGTATAAATCAAAATGCTGCTGTTATGGCGCACCACATATTCACTTCCTAAAGCAGATAAAAAAGGAGTGTGTTTCGTCACATTAATCAAATTTGAGGGCAAAAACTGAACACACAACTAAGTATATGCAGAAGCATTGTCCTGTTGGAAGGTCTCCTGCCTCCTTGATCCAAACTATGCTGAACCAGTGTCAGAGAAGGTTTAATGTGTCTGAGAATATCTACGTAGAAGTTACCATAAATGGGAAAATTTTGAAGGAGATAATATTGAATTACTTGATTAAATGTAAAATACATTTTTTCTTCAATTATATTAACTTCCTTGTAATACATTATCAACTCAAGAAAAAAATGTAATGTTACCATTCACCAGACTAACAAAACAAACTGAAAAATTTTTTGGATAACAACCATTAATAGATTCTATATAATAATTTCTCTTTTTGTAATATTTATGTACTGTAGTGATCAATATCTTTATATGCAGGGTGTGGCAAGCTAACTTAGATCTTTTAAATGAGCACTCAGAAGCTTAGGGGAGTTCCAGGTGAGGGTGGTCTCATTCAAGAGAGTGAATCCTAAAGTTTTGTGACCTTAAGATTCATCATGCGTTAGAGTAAAAAGTCTGTGTTTGCTGTACAGGCTTATTTTTCCAACAGCCATTTGGAGATTCCAACTCAGTGTTGCCTTCCGAAATCGCTTCAATATTACTGCATTGGGTCCTGTTCTGGACTGATAATCAATTCTTTTGAGGGAAATTGGTTATGTGCAGGAAAAAAGAAATGGAAACGCACATCCTATCAGATAACCTTAGAACATCAAAGCAATACGTGTCTACACTTGGAATTTTCTACCATTCACTAAGGCAAATTCAGAACTTCATTTCTATCTCTAAAAATACACCATTATGCAGGAATAATCCGAACGAGACTTTAGCACTAGAACATATATGTGTGGAGTATTTAACTTGATGTTTCAATAATCAAAATATGTGATACGACTCCCGAGAAATCTATCAGAGGCCTTTCCATTCATCACATGGTTCCTCACCTTTCTATCCCATCGCTCTCAGACAGTTGTTATTCCTAACAAATGTCCTTCCTCATCCCTTCAATTGTCTCAATGTGTTCCTCAGGACTCTTCATTCTCTTCGACCGACTATGGTTGCTTGGTTTATAGAGGGCTATCAACAAGAATGGAAGCAAGACAGAAAAGACTCATGATGAATTGCTTCATAAGATTCATCTTTGGGACTCCCAGGTGTACCCATGTTTCCTCCCTGTACACCGAGTTGAAGTGGCTTTATCCTACTTCCCGACGACAGCAATTCCTTCTTGGTGTTTTCCTTCAACCCATTTTCAACAACCCCTCCTTCAAGGGCATTAATGGCTGTATTGCAAGGCTACTAATCAGGGCACCTAATCTCTCTGAGGGGCGATTTAAAATAGTAAGCTCATTCATCTGATACCATATCTATATCAACTGTCCACAGATCAGAGATGGGTAAATGCTACTACTGTGAGTATTGAGCACCAATTATTTTAGTCAAATAATGACCTTTTTTTGAGTACCGAAGAATTTAATTACTACTTCAGTTGAAGTCAAACAATTAACTGAAGTCGTGATTAAATTTCCGAAAGTGATCCAATTATAGTAAAATACTTGGTACTCAGTACTCAGAGTAGCATTTGCCATCTCTGCCACAGACTACGAAAGATCTGAAAAGAAATAGTCAGGAAGAAACGGCCAACATATCCATCAATATGCTGGAGAGTGATGAGAAACAGCAGAATTCAGTTTGTGGCGGCAGATTCCCGCCATTTGCTACTAGGGACTAATAGTTCACCTGCCCACTATCTGGCAGCGCCACACAAGCTCACTCATGCAATGTACCTAAAAGATGTATTTTTATTTCTTATTATTTTATAGTAAAATATTCAAATTGTAAATTGAAATATATATATATACATTGTAAATACTTTTTATTAATAAAGTTTGTTGGTGATAACATATACTGATCAAACCTTAAAAATAACTGTAATTGTAACTGCTCTTGATAGCCTATTTAGTCATGGCGGAATGATTACCGTAGTCCTTCGACTAATTTGCCAGGTCCTCGGGTCTCCGCCCTTCATGTTGTAAACCTTATACGCAGTCGTTCAGTATATGACACATATACGCTTTTTTGCCTTCAACCAACTGCCTTTTATTTCACTCTGTCCAATAATCTTTTTTCCTACTCACTCTCCACAAAAGTCTGAATACTGATCAGTCCACTTGTGTTCCTACATACTAAGTCAGGAGATTGATCTCTCCATTAGTATTTCATCATCTTAAAAATTCTGGACTATTGATCCCTCCATTGGTGGTTACCATCACTGCGGAATGTTAAGGTGGATCTCTAACACCCCAGACTGAGAATGATTTGGGTGCTGATCCGCCTGACACTTTAGGTCATCCTTCTCTTTAGGTCATCTTCCTTCATCCACTTAGTCATCTAAACTCCTAAATTGAACAACGTTCTGTCGAGGCCTTCTGGTAACTGCATACTCTGTACAATACCTCGACAAGTTCCAACAGTGTATGGATAATGGCGGCGTCATTTACTTATATGATATTAAAATGAGAAATAATTAAAATGTATCTTTAATACTTTTTTTTTATTGTAATGTGAAATAAGGAAGTTAGTTTGTCACACCCTATACATTAATAAGTCGCAGGATAAAAAATAATCTATGCCGATTACCTTTATTTAAAAATGTTGAGATAACAAGATCTGTAGCATCATTGACAGCAGCATCAGCTATACCCCTCCAAACTTGATCTATGGCCGAATCTCCTTCCCTCTAACAGGTATACAACATTATATTCAAAGACATTGATAAAATAACAAAACAACTGATAATTAACATTACATTACCTATTGTTATATAAATTACTATCCTCATCAGGAGATTAGCAATAATGAAAATCAATTTTATATGATTAATAGTATTTGAGTAATAAAAAAAAATAGGAAGGGTACATAAGAAAACAATCACATTATAAATTGCACTCAGTCAAATAGAATGCATAGTTTAGAAAAAAAGTTATATCTTAGTAATAAAAACAACTGAATAAGAACAATCTCTTTGAATCATATCAGTAAATACTTCAAGATTTTCTTAGTACAAGGCAGAAAACTTCCTTTCTAGTAAATTGGGTTTAGGAAAGCCATAATCAGCACACTTTTGATATAATGTAAAACTATCAGATGTCAAAAAATATTTTTAAAAATAGAAAATGACAAAAAGTCAGTAATGAGTTTATTGTGTAAGGCTATTGATACCTGATAAAACAATGAAAAAGCAATACTGAGTAATTACCTGTAATGCATCTATCAGCGGAGCTCCTGCTCCTCCTTCTCTCTTATCATTGTTAATAAGATTGTACATCTCCTTATCATCCATAAAAGAATTTCCACTCTCACAGCCATCATCATGCTCTATTAACTTGGTTTTCAGAATAACCCTATTAATATCTTCTTCTAATGAATCCTCCTGATCCTCAGCTAAGCTAGCATCAACCAAGCTCTCGGTAATACTCCTATCTAGGTCTAACGCTTCTTCTACCTCTTCGATAGATGATTGCTTCCCTTGAGATCTCTTGAACTCAGAATTTATACTATTTAGTTGCTCAGTAATCAGCTGTTTCAGAGACTCTTCCACATCTGACCTGACTTCTTGTCCCTGGCTTAGTTCAGTTTTGATCTCTTCCATTTCACTTTTGGCTGAATCGACTTCTTCTACAACACTAGATATTTGCTTCTCCACTGACACACTTCCAGAATGTTCACTCTCTATTTCAGATTCAACACTATGTTGTTCATTAGAAATGTCTTGAACATGGCTGATTTCTTCAGCTACATTAGATAGTTGTTTTTCTTGTAAAGTGGTTTCGGAGACAGCACTCTCTATTTCAGATTCAACATGTTGGTCACTTATGTCATCTTGTTCATTGCTGATTTGTTCATTTATTGATTCATCTTTCAGGAAAGAAGCTTCTATAGTTTTATTTTTGAAAGTCGGTAAAGGAAAGGATGCACTAGAAGATAATTCTTCTGAGTTAATTGATGAAATTGGATCTTCAATCGATCTCTCCTTTAAAGACAGAGATCTTACCATAGATGTCTCGACCTCTTCAACCTCATTTTCAAATGATTCCTTCTTATTATCTAATGGTTCACTAAATATTTCTTCCATTTCTCTACTTTTACTATGATGTACAGAATCACTGGAGGCATCCTTTACCCTGCTCAGGCTCAATAACTCCGAAATTTCTTCCTTAACGCTCTCGTCTCTACTCTTCAAACTTCCTCCTGGGACTTCGCTTAACAATTCTGAAACCTCTTTGGTACTTTCTTCCTCTTTGATGCTTTCCTCCTCTTTGATGCTTTCTTCCTCTTTAATGCTTTCTTCCTCTTTGATACTATTCTCCTCTCTGATGATGCTAATCTCCTCTTTGGTGCTAACATCTTCTTTGATAGTATCCTCCTCGGTAATATTCTGATGTATTTCATTAAGGTAACTATGAGTAGGGGTATCATATTTATTACTGAGTATTTCTTGTGCATTGCTATTTGATAAGTTCTCTTCAATTTCTGTTACAATAATAGAGGTCACACCATCTTTTACTTCACTATTCTCTAATGAAATATGAGCACCAGTCCTATAACTACCGTCATCTATATCTGTTTTTAAAAATTCAATTTTCTCGAGAGACTCTATTCCTTTTTCTTCCCTTTTAGACCCATGGTCACTTAAATTATTATTGTCATTTGTTTCATGACTATTTTCAGATGTTATTGGACTATGTTTTGATTCCGGCATGGATAAAATTGATGCTTCTTCAGCACCACTTGAATCAAAAGTAATTGGTGGTACTTTCTGTTCATTGGATTGTACACCTTGTGAACAAGTTATGTCTTTTACAGGAGAAGTCTTTTTGGTTTTGCTTTGACTCAATATTGCATCAACATTAGTGTCTACTGATGAGTAAGAGGTTTCACTTAACTTTTCATAAAAATCAATTTTTTCTTCAATTGTGCTTCCAACGAATGATTTCTCTTCATCGTTATGTGAAACAAGATTGATTGAAGACATAGCATCATTTTTGACCTGTGAACATGCTTCTAATGAACTTTCACGATCATAAACATGTCTTGATTCGAGTAACGTTTTTCTGTCATTTTCTCCTCTTCCGCAACCAATCATTTCAGTGGCAGAAACAACAGAGCTGACAAACTGGTCATCATATTGTAATCGAATACTATCACCAACCTCGTGTAACAAATCTGTTTTAAGAGTAAACTTTTCTAATGCCTTGTTATCTAAAAACCTATCATCCATTTGATTTTTATTGGGATATTCATTTTTCTTTACTAATTCACAGCTGTTGCTACCAATGGGCCTGGAACTATTTTGTAAACCCTTCTTTTCCTGGAGTAACCAAGTGTCACTCTTTCTACGCTCGCAAGACAACTTGGGATGCTTGATGACAGGTTTAACAATTTTCACTTCTGTTCCATCCTTTTCCTTATCAAGCTCTTTTTTCACTTGTCCAATGTACATATCGTAGGCCTAAAACATAAAAATAAAACCAGAATTAAAGAAACATATAAATATATTAAGAAACATTTAAATTTAAATAACATGCTGTACTTATAATCTCAATTAATTTAAATTCTTATTCATAAAAAATAAGTAAAAGATTCCTCTTATTCTATTTCAAACTTATTTTGCTTTCCTTTAGTGTGATTTAACATATATATTAATTTGGCTAGATGACTAGTCAGTAAACTTACTTGAGAATAGAAAATGAAATGATTAATATCAAAAATGATCAAAAAGAGAATTCACCTGGATCTGACTAAGAAGGGACTGCTCCTTAGCAATGAGCCTCTCACGCTGACTCTTCTTGTATTCTCTGTGAAGGGATTCCAGCTCAGCCTTCCTCTGCTTTAACTGCTGCTGAAGTGCCAGCACCCTCGTCTCCATATCGCTTGCATCTGACTGTGTCTCTAAAATTCATTAATTTAATCATTTTAAAGAGCCTAATGTTTTTTTTATAAAATACATACATATATTATCCATTTAAGCTAAACTACTAAAAACATCATAAATTAATATTTCAAGTTTTAAAAAATCACCTGCTTGAGAGAGCAGCAAGGATTCATCAGAACCACTAGAATGTCTCCTCTTAAGAGTAACCCTCGGTGATAAGGGAACCTTCAATGCTATCATTTTACGTGCATCTTTGTTCTCAAGCTGAAAACGTTATGAGTATAATTTAAAATATATATATCTAATTTAAATCTACACTTCAATACAATACCCCAAAAAATTAAAAATATGCCAATTAATCTACAAATATAAATAATGGAATTTGTTGATTTTAGAAGATAATAACTAGACAACCTTTCATTTCTTCTTTACAATGAATATCAATCCATTCCAACAATATTCCAGACTTATCAGACTTATTGACCCAATAAATGATGATAAATTATTTTTTTAAACTGTTATAATGTTGATAACTTTTCTATAAATTTTTTTTGTAGAATTAAATAGCGATGCACAGTGTAATAACGACCTATGGACTTTTACAGATACCACACAAAGAGTAACAAGTTCACTAAAATATGGGATATCCAGTAGCCAATATTATATTATCCACAGGAAATACAGCCACATTAATTTACTTGTAAAAATTTATGATTACTTGCAGTACAATTAAAATGATTTCTTAAATAAAAGAATACATGCATCTGGTTTTATGTTAGGAATTACTGGAAACCCATAAAATTTATCTGTAAAATATTAACAAGATCCAGGTACTACCTACTTGTGGAAACAGGATACCGGGTAAACATATAACCAGGTAATCATGGTAACGGATAAAAATCAGGTACCTGGCACATTAGTTAAAAACATGAGAATAATCCTTGACAATAAATTACTTTAAAGTAATTTTTTAATAATGGATACATAAAATATAACCAGGATACACATTACATAGTCCCCTCAGTGGTTGAACTAGGAGAAGAGACAAAGCAAACAATTGTCCTCTGGCTGACAGAATAAGAGGGTAGCAATTTTTGAGCAAAATACTTTAATTTTATGAGATAACAATATTTATTTCTAAATATATTACTTCAAATAGTTGACTTTTAATGCAGAAGTGAAAGTTTTAGCAAAATTAAGCTTGTATTCTAACCTGGAAATAATTCCCATTCCGTTCCTAGCCCCATAGATTAGATGAATTGTAAATATAGAGAGTTATAAGAATGTGTAAATAAGACAAAAAGAAACATGTCACAATCATTTGATGGTGGGTCCCAAAATTTTACAACTTTTGTGGTAAATTCATGAATACTTGTATTAAATCTATTAATTGCGTAAAAAAAACTATTTTTTAATTCACTAAAGAACTAAATAAACTAATGTTAAATTTTCATATTCCTGGAATTGCGATATTATATATAATTGTATATTACATATAAGAAGTGGAGATATTACATATAATTGGAACTTGAGATATTAACATGCGATTCAAATCACGCGTCTCATTTATTTACATCAGCTATATTTAAAATTTTGTTTATATTGGACAGTTGCACTAAGCAAACTGGTAACTTTGGTTTATTGTTTAGCCAAATCGTAGCCCAGTGGGCACACATTTAATTAAAATACCGGTTGAACAAAATTGGTCCTTTACTCCAAGTTTCAGTGGACACCCAGGATAAATGCACATTCTCAAGAATTCATGAATGTACATTGTCACAAATGTTTCTCAGAATAGGCAATATTTAATAGAAATAAAGCAATATCACTGTAGTATTAAAAATTATCAATTTTTTATCTAGTTTCTCATCTGGAGAGTTGGAAGGGAATGTACAGCCTTCAATAGCAAATATATAGATTTTGATAGCCATGTGAGAGTTTTAGTGCCACTATCATAAATATCAGTTCTGATATTAATTAATAGTTAATTATATAAATTACAACGTTAAGATTAGAGAGATGGAAAAACATGGTGAACCTCGTCAGCAATGTGAGGCACTATCAGATAACAAATAACGTATCGATAGTACCATTGAATTCATTAAGAACATAGGGCTAATTTAACTAATCTGAACTAAATTATTTTTTTCTCATAAATTTACGATATATTGACTTAATTTCTATATACTTTTGTTTTTCTCATTTATTTTTTTTTTTTCGATAGTAGTTTATATATACTTTTTTTATTCCTTTTTAAAACATATTTACTTTTATAATAGTAGTTTTTAGACTGAAAAATAAATCAATTAGTAGAATTTGAGGGCAATGATAACCGTCAGCAGTTTTTTGCTCCTAAACCCAAAACAACAACAATATTAAGAACATTTAAATACCTATGCTTAAACAAACAAAAATATCTACTGTAAAATATAAAAAAAGATATAATGGCCTTTTGAATCACTACCTAATATAAATTTGGTATCAAATGACAAAAAAATGCCTTGCTTACCATATAAAAATAAGTATCCAATATATCATGATTCCAAACTAAGACAAAAGCATAATACAAAGATGGTGTATAAATAAATCTACCTTATCATGCTGGGAAGAAGTAGAAAGCTGATCTATTGTATCTGAGTATGAACCATCTCCTTTTTTCCTGTCCTCATCAGAGCTCAATTGTAGAGGAGAAGTTCCACGCTCAACAGTCTTACCAAGTTTCATATCTTTTCCTAAAACAGAAATTAAAAAAAAAACTCTGTTATTGTTCAGCCATAACAAAGTTCTATCAAATGTATTATTAGTTTAACCTTCCAAATATACACATATCTATGCAGAACAGTCTAGATAATCCAAAACCTCTGGTAATCTGAACAAGAAAGAAAAGAAATTTAAGTAGCCTGACAAGAGAAAGTAAAGTCAGCAGGATATTGGTCAAATGAAGCCGGGACAATACAGTGGTCCCTCTGTTTCTCCAGACATATTACTGGAATTGCTTCATGCGGTAGTGGTAAAATCGTATTGTGGTGTCTCTAAATGAAAACAAGGCTCCAGAAGTCGAGGAATCTCTTTATATGTAGTTATGTAGCAGAGATCAGAGAGTGTCCAATTTCTGAGGATATATTACCTTAAAAGGCAAAGTTTTTCTTTAATAATTTTTTTAAGAAGGATGTAAAAGCAGATTTTAATGCCAGTAAAGGTTGGCTTGATAATTTCAAAAGCGGGTATTAATATATTTTTATATTAATTTTTATTTCACTGAAAATTTCTTTACACTCATTTTATTTTTTATTGTAGATGAGTCATAGAAACTTCATAAACCATTTAATACTTGCTTGGAGTGGGCAAATGGAAATTTGAGATATCAGGCATTTTCTTTATTAACAAAATCAGAGACTCGACATACATTATATGATCATTTCCATATTTATATAAATATATATATCATTATATAAAAACCATTGATAAATTTACCAATAGTTCAACCAAAAAGTTAAATAAATAAAAATTAAATTACCAAGTGAGGAATGTTTGATTAGTTCCTCCAGTTCCTGAATTCTCCTCTCGCCCTCTTCCAATTGCTGTTTCAAATAACTCCTGTTATCTTCACTTTCTTCAACCCTAAGGAAATGGAATAGCTTATCATAATATTGAATTTTGATTCAAAAGCAAATTTGATATATAACTGTCATTCAAACAGACTATTTAATTTTATGAAAAATAGACTAGCGAGGATAATAAAGAATGGCAGGACCTGAAGATTACGATTGAAAAAAAATTAACCTCCACAATTTATTGTTTAAGCATAACTTTTGTGGTGAGATGAAAGCTATTTTTTTTTTCAAAAATTCTTCCCAGAGTAGCTCGTCAAAATAAGGCAAAGCTTCCCTTCCAATGGAGAAAACAATGATCAATTTTTAAAATGCATATGTTCAAACACAAAAATAACCAATAGTTTATCTATTCCCCAAGCCTATATAAAATTACTTTTTATCATGTTGTTTCAGAAATTATGCTCACATCCAAAGGAGAAAATTCAAAACTATAAATGAGGTTTCAATAAGAACATAATCAATATAAATAATTATTCCAATATGCCAGTTTTCCTCCAGCTGATAAATAGAGCACTTAGGACTAAAGTAGTCAGTGAAATACAACAACAGTGAAATACAATCTTTTCTTATATATCAGGAAATAGATAGTTAGACCTTTAAGTTGAAGTACTGAGTTAGACCTACAAAAGAGTTTTAAAAAATAAGCAACATGAAGATTAATTCAGAAACATGGACTCCCTACTTAGGAAAGACAGAGCAATTTACATCTCCATCAAACCATGACAATTATGAGGATGAATAATAGAAAACTGAAACTAAAAGATGTACGACTAAAAGAAGATGAACATCAGCCTTTAATAGGCCAATGCGAACCATGTAAAATACTTGATAGCCATCTATCACTTTAAGAATTATTAACATATTTAAAGTGTGAATAATGATGTTCTGTAACAGATGCAACACACCAATACATATGACTGGAAGTAGGCAGTGAGGCAAACCCACTACAACTTCTAATACCAAGGCGAAGAAGAAAAATAACACCAGTACCATGAAGACTACAAGAGAATCGAGGCTGTCATTAGGTGAAGAGGGGAAGAATAAAACATTTTTTTAACAAGACCGAGTTCCATATCCCTGGAAGGTAAAAAAAAAAAAAATCAGTTAAACGTTGATGTGATACACTCATCCTAAAAAAAATTGTTTTTTTGAGATAAATAAAAATTACCAATACCACTACAATCCAAGAAGAGTTTTGGGTTTAAAACATTGTAAGGAAGTACTATCTTTAATACAACAGTAGTGGTAAAGAAGTAATTTGGCAAAGATCTCACTCAACAATAAAGGGTACTCTTTTCATGAGGACAGGGTGTGTCTCCGACATATCTTCTCAAACAATATATATAATTATATATATATATATAATTATAATTATATAATATATATAATAATATATATAATTATAATATAAATAAAATATAATTATAAATACTACTGGACTCAAACCTGGGCTAGGTGGCTAAGAGTACAGTTCCTTACTCACTAAGCTACCCTACTCTTATTTGGAAAAGAAAAGAAGTGACAGTTCAAATACTAAGTGTGAAATCAATTATAGCTTTTGATGATGTAGAGATGGTTGACCGTTGATATAAGATGAGAAGGAGTTAATTGAGGGGTGCAGTCAAATAAATACTAAATTAAAATATAGTAATTATTTAATTTTTGCAGACGTTTCGACCCACTTTGCAGGTCGTCTTCAGGGCATAGGATGTAGCACTGCGGGGGGCAGTTGAAACACTGCTAAACACCTGGACAGTGTTTCAACTGCCTCCCGCAGTGCTACATCCTATGCCCTGAAGACGACCTGCAAAGTGGGTCGAAACGTCGGCAAAAATTAAATAATTACTATATTTTAATTTAGTATTTATTTGACCGCACCTCCCAATTAGCTCCTTCTCATATAGCTTTTAATGATAGATTAATTTTTATTTTGTTACATCCAAACAAATGAATATGTCATATATATTAAGTGGCACATTAAAAAAAAAAAGTCATCATAACAAGAATTGTAAAAGAATTACCACGGAATTCAAAAAGTAAAAACCTGAAATCGGTGGGTACCATGTGCAGCACTAAGCCCTTTAAGATGTCAATACTAAAATATTTCACAAAAAATGTGGATTTGACATGATTAAAAGATAGTTAAAAATAAACAAACTTTTTTTTGGAACAAAGTCCCTTAAGAATAACAAGTATGTAAGATTAAACATAAACCATATCTTACCAAAAATCCCACTAACAAAAATTCCAAAGAATAAATACAGTATCTCCAATAACAACGTATAAACATTTATACAAGGTATACAAGAACTAGCATGAGTATTATTGAAAGAATAATTAACTGAAAATATATGAATAAAAGATAGAATTTAAAAACAGAAAAATACAATTTTTTTCAACAAATGCTTGAGATGGACAGTTTAAAATAATAATAATAGAAATTCAATGAGCAGTACAAACCTTTTTGGGTTTTCAGCAGTTACTGGAACAGTCACTCTCCTCTCCAGCGCTTCCAAGAATAGTGGTTCTTTAATAGCTTCAATAGAAGATTGTGAAGTATCAATTGTTAATTCTTTCTTTCCCTAAAAAATCATATTTGCTATAGATTTCAGTTTATTAAAAAGCTTACTATTATCTAAACTTGCAAACACAAAATAAAATTATCTTCAAAAATTATTTTGTGACAAACTATTGGATTTCTAATAGAAGAAAAAAAAAAGGTCCTATTGCAAAACATACTGTACCCTTTTTTTTCAAAGCACTTCTTATATACTGTCAAAAGATCCAGTTTTTTATTTTAAAATCTGTCATCAATGTTATAATTACATTTAGCTAGCTAAATTGATAAAAATAAATAGATTTATAATATAAAGATGATAAGAAAAAATGTCAAAGGATTAAATTAAATATACATAGATAAAGCAACTAATTCATCACCAAACCTTTCTTTCAGATTCCATCTGCTTTTTTAATTGGTCCCTCATAAGATCTATTTTCTCCAAAAGCAGCCTTCTTCTTCCTCTGTAGGCAGTTTTTTCCATCCTTTTCACTCTATTTAATCAAATAAAAATAGTTGCTAAGTTTCTAGATTAACGCATAATAATGACTAAACATAACAGAGAAAAAAATAATTATAGGGTTATAATGAATAATTATATACCAATAATAAAATAATATAATTTGTAAATTGATTTTGTCAAGTATAAAATAATCAGAGTACAACTTTCTGATGTAACAAAAGGGAAATAAATCAAAGTTCTTAGTGATTTGGGGTTATAAACTGACGATATGTTAATATATTGGTATAAGTAATCAATATATCTAGTCGATATAATTTTAAATACGACTGCAAAAAAATTGCTTCATTAATTTAAGATTCCTTATTTCTAAAACTACGTGAGGAATACATAATGTAACTGTTGCAAATAGACTATTAACAAAATACCTTGAAACATCTTAACATAATTTTTTGGGAGAAAAAAACTTTAATCGATCTGAAGCTTTTAAAGTATGTACACAACAGGATACACAACTATTGCAACATATCAGTACTGTTGTTTTTTTTTCAGAACGTATTAGAGAGACCGGAAAGTAATGTCGTTTCTGAGCATATATCTACATATCTAAAAAACTAACAATCTTCCAAACATACAACCTCTGGATCAAGATTAGAGATAGATCCCCTCTCTTTACATACTCTAAATATAGTGGATCTTTCAGCAGCCAAACTAATATAGCTAAAAACAAATGAAGAACAAGTTAAAACAGTTCATAAATTAGAAGAGAATGGTCTTACAGCAGAGAGTTGTGATGAACTAGCTACCGTGGCAGAGGTTATCTGTGCTACGGTAACAGAGAGATATCCTTTCACAGCTTCTATTCATTCTCCTTCTTCATGTTTTGCTTTTTCTTCTTTTTCTATAAAATCTTCTGTTGTACCTCTCCTAACTGAGCTTAAATCTCTTCTATTCCTATTCTAGAATTTCTAACTAAACTAGTTTCTGCTTTCATCACTATTTGATTTTCATTTGGCAGCTCATTGAGTACATCAAGATTATTTGGCAGAAATACGATAAAAAAAGTTACATAGAGTATTACATCTTTGTCTTAGGCCTGGAAAAAAATTTATCTGAAAATATAATGTTCATAGAACAAAAAGTACACGGTTTTTTTCATCTCCTAAAAATTATTTGTTTGTGTTCTTACAGGCTTTTTCAGTGTGGCTGCAATAGAAAGAATGTATAATAATACAAATGTTATTAGATTCATAAATATTGAATGGCTTTCTTGAGCAGCCCATGTTGCTCGAATGAAGAACGTTGAGATCCCAAAGAAACTTTTGGAAGAAAGGCTGTACAACAAGAGGAGAATTGGCAGCCCAAGACTGCTGTGGGCTGATGGAGCGGCAGAGGATGCATGGTGCATCTTGGGAGTAAAACCTGGAAGGCAGTGGCAGTGAACTGAGAGGACTGGTGGTTGATGTAACTGGAGGCCTTGACTCTCCAATGAGTTGTAGTGCCAGAAGGAAGGAAGGAAAAATCCATGATCATGTCCAAAATAGTTGTACTAATATAAGTAATTGATTTTACAAAGGAAAAATTCATCAAACTACTCAGTAACTTAATTTTCTAAGATCATACTCAATAACTTTTTGTAATAAATCAATGATATCTTTTTTAAATAAATTAAAAATAAGTCACTTACAATAGAAGGTCTTCCAAATTCTGTTGTAATTTCATAATCAATCCTCGAATTTTTTTTCTTGTATTCCGCACACCATCATCATTTCCCATGAGCTTAAACTTCCTGAACAGAGCAGCAATTACATTAAAACAAATAACCTATGGATTACATTAGACAATCCAACAACAAAGTGGATCATACTAATAAATAGAGGTTTATTTGTGTGTGTATATATATATATATATATATATATATATATATATATATATATATATATATATATATATATATATATATACATATTATTATTTTTTTTGCCTTAAGAAAAAATATTTTGGCACAAAGAAAACACTGAGCTCTGTAATAGAATTAATATCACAATAGAATACACTAGTGATAAAATAATTCCCCATATTTTAACTAAATTATAAAATAAGCTAGAGTGTCTAAATTTCATGACATTTATAAGGATTTAAACAGTGACATATCAGATGTAAATAAAATGCATTTTATTAAAGTTATATTTAAATTGCGTGGACAATTATTATTTCTAAAAAATAGTGTTATGAGGAATGAGCAACAAATATTGTGTAGCCTTTATAATTTAAATGAAATAGAGGATGAAAACCACTATGTCACTGTTTTTCGGACTTTACAGGAATATCGAATCAAATATTTTAAGAAAAACATCATAAACCGCAATGAACTTATAAACATACTCAATGGTAAAATTTGGAGCAGTTTATATATGTATCATATTTACGCTTATAAATATAGGATGTTTTTGATTCAGCAATACAACAGATAACATTCTTCAGTTATATGTAAAAAAACACAAGTATAAGATTAAAGTTACGCAACAAAAATTCTTTCTTTCTTACTTTTTGACAAATTAAAGTTTATTTAGATTATATGCATCAGGTAATTTTAAATAACAAAAGGCTGTTTAATGTTTCCAAAGTTAATTGTTTTTATTTATTTTATTATTATTATTTCAACTTATAGTTTCAACTTATTTTTTATTTTATTTTCTTGTTATTTTTATATATATTTTGTTTTAGGTTTGAGTGAGCACAATAATTATCTGTCAAATTACAGTTTCTACCTTGACAAAACATTTTTACCTAGGAATTCCAAAACTAAAGAAAATGATAAAATATTTTTTTTTTTTTTTTTTATTTCAATGGAATTTACAACTGTATTACATAGAGAATACAATAAGTAAATGAGAAATTTGTAACATGGCATGTACAACATGAAGAGAAACTACCCATTGGTAGAACTCAACGATAAAATATTAAAAAAAAAAAAACATACCCAAAAAATTAATTGGTTGAATTTTTCTGAAATTTTGGAGCTCAGAACTGAGGAGATTAAATAGGTTTCTGATATCAAAAGAACTGCCATGAGCAAAATTTAAAAAATTGGTGTTTAAAACAACATTTTAGTTTAATTTAAAAATAAAATAATTTATTTTTTAAGATTTTACCACAAGAATTGTCAAAAACATTGCAGTTCCTCTCTAAAAAATATTGAACTAGAAACTTTTGAGATCATTCCTATTTAACTAATAATATTATAAAACGTTTGTTGAAATACTAATGCATGATGAAATATAAATAATTTTAATTTTCTTTTAAATTATTAAATGATTTTTATTAAATATTTCAAAAAAAATCTTGAGATTTTTTTCCTGCTCATTTAAATATATTAGTTTAGTTAAATAAATATCTTGTTTAGAAAAATACTTTTAGTAAATTTAAACACTTTCAGATCTATAAAAAGCAATTTATATATATATATAATTTTTTTTTTTTTAATTTAAACACATACAAAATCTTTTTTCGATCACAATTATCTAAAGGGCTGATGATCCTAACTCCTATAAGCATTGCCTAATACTACTATAAGGAACCATTAGCAGTCTATACAGAAATGTGGGTGCCAAGATCCCTCAAAATCAGTGGAATAATTCTACAAAGATGATTAGTCATCAGACTAACTCAATTGCACCACCATTGGGTTTATGTATTTGTACCAAATATTTGATTAACAACAGTGAAAGTAAATAGAAGCATTTAAAAAGTAAATAGATTTTCTTAAAGAAAACAAAATAAATTGGCACTGGAGTTAACAAGAAAGTTAAAAGGAAATAAATAATACTTATAAAAAGAACATTAAATGATACATTTGAACATTTGAAAAAGCAATTTTTATCAATATATGCTACTACAGGATAAAATTAAAATTAATTACTTCTTTTCTAGCTCAAGATATGCTATTTCAGCCTTAGTTTTGTCAATGATTGAAGTTTCTCTCATCTTGAAGTGGGACTCTTGCTGTTTGTTTCTTAAGTTTTCCTCCTTCAGTAAGTCGATGAACTGAAAAAATTAAACAAAATCCATTCAGTATATTGTTGTTAATTAATGAAACAAGAAAAATTTAATAACGATATATATTAAAATTTTAATTTAACAAAGAAGTCATACATATTTTTTCCAAAATACAATATTTTCAATTTCCATCTCCTAAAAGCTCCGATGAGAAACCAATTTGTAGAAGGCATTTTAAATAGCATTGCCATTAAGAAAAAAAAAATTCTTAAAACTAATAATTTTTCTATCCAAGTTGGATATTTGAGATCCATTAATAGCCCAGTCAAAGTAGACATGTTACCTTGTAAAAGGTTGGGCAATTAATTTTGTTTTTTGTTAGGTATGTAGTGAATACAAAAAATCCAAGTTTTCCCCTCAAAAGCACTGCGAGTTCGCTGCAGCGCTTCAAAAACCATTAAAATTTCCAACTTTTTTTGGTTCCTGCTAAATATCTCCCTTTTAGAGCGACATAGATTAAAAAATGTTTATACTCAATGTTAAACAGCTTTAAATTATCTAACATTTTTGTATATAGATTTTTTTATAAATCCAACAGGAAGCGAACTATCGAGCTTTCAAAATTTACCCATTTCGATTTTTTCACAATATTGTTCTTTCTATTTTGAATGGAAGAATTCCTTAATTTCATTTTTGGATCTCATTCAGAGAATTTAGAAGTTTTTCTTGAAGATAATAAGCTACTGACTGGAATGGTAGACGGTAGTAGAGAGGCCTTTGTAAATGTTGTTTGAAAAATTGGGCCAGACCCCCTACCGTGCACTCTCCCTCCACATCTCAATAAATTTCATTTAGTTGTGTTCGTTGTAAATATTTATTTAAAAAAAGCCAGTGTTTCCACCAAAAAGCGTGGCCGCACTGTCCCAAAATGGCGCATTGATGTCTGCGACGAGTTAGTTTTTCGGTTATTGAGATTCAGCATTTAGCTTAATTTCGTCATAATTGGCCTTTCATTAAAGCTGGATAGTTAGAAAATAATGAAACATGAAAAAGTATTCAAAAATAATTAATCTTGGCAATACAAAACAATAGTAAAGTTAATTTTTTCATGATATTCGAAATAGAGTTAAAAATCACAATAACAAAAACACACAAAACAACAAAATAAAACATCTCGAGAATACAATATATAGATTACAATGTAAAATACAGATTACTTTTTAAAATATTTACAGCAGTTATTTAGAAAATACAGTTAATCAGCGGAAAAGCGCCATTGGCATAGGCGTCTAGAGTCCTATGGCACATCATTAAGTACTCATAAATGTTTAAGTTATAGTATGATATAATGATTGTATTAATATTTGATTTTATTAATTAACAAATATTAATATAACAATTTAATTTTCAATTTCTGTACTTCCTTTTTCAAAACTACCTCTTTTGAAAACTCGATATTTCGCTTTCAGTTGCGTTTAGAACAAAATGTTATATAATTTAAAGCTGTTTAAGATTGAATAATAACCATTTTTTATCTATGCCACTTTAAAAAGGAGATATTTTGCATAAACCAAAAAAACATCCAAATTTCAATGGTTTTTGGAGTACTGCAGCGAACCCACAATGCTTTCGAACTTCCTCCCAAGGAAACTTGGATTTTTTATATTCCCTATATACCTAACAATATAAGAAATAAATTTGAATTACCCGACCTTTTGCAAGCTAGACCCCTTTTGTTGTGCTATAAAGAAATCTCAACAAAGTTAATTAAATAATCAAGAATTTATTAAATTTTCACAATAAAATTTATCAACATTTTTAAGCCATTTCTAAATTTTAAAAATTATAACTAATAACTTTCCTAATAGCAAAAATTATATAATTAAATATAAGCAATAATTATATATCAGAATCACAAAAATTGTAGGTTTATTTTTTTTTATTTATTAAAAGTAATTTTATAATTGGTAAATGGTTGAATGTCGTGGATAATGAAGAGAAGAATAGTTGGAGTGGTCAGTCAAAAAAGGAGCCAAGTGAAGGGGTGGTCAGCCAAGTGAATTCAAATCTACGTGAGTCTCAATGCTTCAGTAATGGCGGAATGTGAATAACATCTAAGAATTGTCTTCAGTATGCCCACAAACGGCAGCAGTGTAAGTTGACTTCAATTTATCAAATGGGAAGTTCGATATGTTCCCTTAACAGCACTCTTTGGGTTTTGAACATTTTAATATTAAATGCATAAGTATAAAAATTACAATTCTTTTTATTTTAGTGTAATGTTATAGATAAGCTATGGATAGTCTTCATAGAACTAAATAATTAGTTTGAGTTTTATAAAATTATTTTTCAAATTACAATAATGTGATGAATAAATTTGAATAAATAAATTTTAATACATACTTTTTTAAAAATTATAATTGCTGGAACTTTCTAAGAGTCCAAAATGTCCAATTTTAGGAGGAATGTATTCAAAAAATAATCTAAAGCTTAATTATTGAATTCTCCAATCAATTAAGAGAACTTTACAGATAACAGTGAAGTGTAATTTAATTTATTGTTGTAAAATAATGACACTCCAAAAATTGTAACTAATGTAACAGTTAAATTGTACTTAATTAATTAATATTAAATCAAATATACAAAATGCCCAGAAAAAAGAAAATGAAATAGTAAACAGCAGATGACATTAAAATAAAATATAGTCAAATTAAGAAAATTAATCACCATGTTCAATGAAAATTTAGCGAAGTCCACAACACCAACTTCATCACCCTTAACATCGAACTTATGGGATGTCTTATCTGAGCTGGTTTTGGTACTGGTTGACTTAGCCACAGACGTATCACCTGTACCATGAATATTTCGATTAATATATAAAAATTGAATTAGATATTTGAATATCTTTATAATTGTTAAAAACATCACATACGTGAAGCAGCCAAAGATACATCATTCAGATTGTAGGTCTTCAAGCCCAAATGCTCATTGAAATTTAACTGTAACAAATGAAAAAATTAGATATGTTTATATGTCATTTTTAACTAAACACTGTAACATTTAGGGTGTGTGAATAAGTTTCTGTAATATTTTATAAAAATTAAAACTTTATTAAAAAAAATTGTCAGATTCAGGTCATTCAAAGATTTTTTACCACTAGCCTCAACTTTCTCTCACCTTTCAGGTAACATATGTATCCCATAAAAGAAATGTCTTGAGGAAATCCAGTCATCAGAAGAAGTGGTAGTCAGAAGGAGCACTTCTGGTTTGAAATTTTTTTTGTCTCTGGGTGGAATAGTTTTATTTCCAAAAGACTTCTTCCATCATAAGATTAATAAAGTTGAAGAAAAGCGGATGGTTTTTGATTAACCTACGTCTACCGGCGAAACACTACCACTACCGGTTGGCAAATAAATTTGTATGGTCCCTGGATGGACTAGCTTTATTCAGGATAGATTTCAAAAATTCGGAATAAGGCAAATTTAGAAATAAAAAAATTTGTCACTATAACCAATTTGATCTTGAATCGCATATGCCGACGGAATCCATCCACTTCCGGTTAGCAGACTACTGTTTTTTTGGTCCCTGAGTGGACTTCTTTTGTTTAGGAAAGGTACCAACCATCTTCAAATAAGTCATGTTTTGATAGAAAAAAGTTGGTTTTTAACGCGTATCTGCCGAATGAATACAACCACTTCCGGTCGGGAGACTTCACTTTTTTAGTCCTGGTGGATTAGTTTCGTAGAGAAAAGGTTCCAAATATCGAAAGTAGCAAAAAAAGTAGGTTTTTGACTCTGCCGGACGAATACATTAACTTCCGATTGGCAGACATCCTGTTTTTAGACCTTGGGGTGGTGGTCTGTTTTTGTTTAGAAAAGGTTCCATCCACCTTCAAATAAGTCAATTATTCAACAAAGTTGATGGTTTCTATGGCCCATAAAATTTTATTGCATCTTATCTATGGTGGCAGACACCCATATTTGCAATCTATAGCTAGAGTAATTCCGGAATCCACGGTCAAAAATTTCCTTCAAACCAGACCACCTTTTCAGCCTCAGCTCCCGGACTAGAATTTTGGAAGAAATAAAAGGCCCATTATGGCAGGCAGTAAATCTCCAAATTTTTTAAGATAACAAAAAATAATAATCTAAAATTAAAAGTTTTCAATACCTTGCTATCACCCCTTTGGTTGTTTTTGTCACTATTGTGCTTATCAATAGCAGCTCTGATACAACTGTCAAAAAGATCTAGCCTTCTAACCTCAGACACAACCTTTCTTCCAACAATATGGATATTCTTCATCTGAAATAATTAAATTATAACACTAAATTTTAAAAAATGAATTGTTATGAACCTGATAGTACTTGGGCAAACCACATAAAATCTTGCCATTTATATATAAGACAAAAGATAGATATTGGTGAAAAAATAATGTGTCGATTTTATTGAATTCTGTCTACTATTTTCTCTTATATAAGCACAAACGTGTTTTCCTAGATACGTCTATATCTCTAAAACCGCCTGTTCAATTTGGCTCAAATTTGGAGAGAAGTTAGGGATTGGTAAACAGATGATCAAGAGTGTATGAATTTTATCAAGTTATATCCACTACTCCAAAAAAAATTCTTTCACTTTCAGATCAGGGAATTTATTATTTGACACGCATATAGTTTGAAAACTACGCGTTCGATTTGACCCTAACTTGGAGAAAATTTGGAGAATAGTATAGAAATTACGTAGTATCCATTTCATTGAATTTCATTAAATAATTAAAATTAATATAAATTGTTAACAATATAATGGCTGTGAAATGTGGAAGGCATTGATCATATGGAGTAGGAATTAGGTTAAGACAATATTTTTGTGGGACTATTAAATTTTAGGTACAAAAAATAAACTAATTTTATATAAAACAGTAATCTGCCCTTTTATCACTTATTCTGCCTCAATATGGAGTTACACATGCGAGACTAATTACAAAAAACTCGAAGTAATTCAAAATATGTGTATGAGAATTATAAACAATTATCCACGTTATACCAAAGTATCTATTATGCTAGCAGAATTACAGCTTCCCACAATAAAAAAATATATTTATTTTAAAACACAGAGATTTTTTGAGCTAACACCAACGTCTGAAAACCCTATTATCCGAACAATAGGAAACTATGACAAAACATCTTTGAAACAGTATACACACAGACGGACTAAACACATACTACTAAACGTCTAAATCAATCAGTTTATTTGTGAAAATTTAACGGTTTCTTATCAATCACCAAACAAGTAAAAATAAACTCAATCACCCCAATCAACAAATTGTATTTATATGATGTGTGTGTATGTATAAAGGTGTGTGTGTGTGTGTGTGTGTATGTATATATCTATATATATATATATGTGTGTGTGTGTGTGTGTTATGTGAGTAAGTATGTGTATGTATGTGTATGTATGTGTGTAAATATATATAGTTTCCTTTTGCACATAAATTATATTTAGTTTTCTTGCACTTTTAATGATTTTAACATAATTTTTTTTCATTTATATCTTATGTAGGTTTTTATGAGATTTTTCCTACTATAAAAAATTAATTTAAATTTTCTAAGTAGTATTCGAACCACTATTATGTCATGTGTAAGGTTACTACAACCATAAACTTGTAACTTATCTGTATGACATGTTGTAATGTATATAAAAAAATAAATAAATAAAAAATTAGGTTTTATTCTAAAAGTTAATTTATAATGTACTGTTTGGTCGATTCTAAACATTACTGGCATGACACTGCCGTTACATAGATTTTGTATAATTTTCAGTAAATTAAAATTAATTTTTACTGTTTGTAAAAAAAAATTTTTGTTTGTGATTGTGTTTATTTCTATTGAAGTTCCACCAGCTTGTCGTGGTCTCGATTACTCCTTAAATATCAAAGTTGTGAACTTCACACATATTTTTATGTTCCAGATTAATTAGTTTCCTTCTGACTGAGGAAAAGTATTGGTCACGTCAACTCCAAACAAACAAAAGATTGAATTGTTCCTATGGATTTTTTGTTCCATCCATTTTATTAGTAAAAACATACCTATTTAGTATATATCACTACTGTTAGTACAAAAGATCATGTGTAAAAATTTTAAACTTTTATTCTATTTGTGCTAAAGGTGACATTTTGTCATTTGCAACTGACAGAAGCAGTCTGCTACGATGGAAAATCGCAGAGGTCAACACATATGAAATTATACTAATAAATCATAAAGAAATAAGTAGATTAATGATCTCTTAAAACACTAAATTTTTACATATGACCTTTTGCACTAGCAATAGTGAAATTAATTTGAATTTTTTTATTTAATCACGAATCATCAAATATGCAATCTGCAAATGCGGAACTCTTTCACATTTTAGTGTTCGCCGATGAACAAAACTCGTGAATATCAAACCTGTATATGTTGGAGGAACTATTGAATTTCTGAAAATGGCTTCTTCCAGAGATTTAATTCTCATACGAAATCTTTTAGACATTGTAATATAGATATTTTTTAGCCAATGAAAACGGTGAGGAAACTATATTGACTTTTTCGTCTTAAAGGGTTTCTGATCTTGATTGCTGCATAGTAAATCATCAGAGGACACAATTTTTTTTCTTTTAAATTCCAAAAAAAATATAATAATCAGGATGAGGTAATAAATAATTTAAAAAGGAAAAAAAATAATTATATGTTTGATTTCACTTTAGGTCTGGGGTACCTCAATCCGTAACCCCTCAATCCTGTAACCCTAATAAGTTCAAGTTATAAAACAAATCCAAAACTATATTACTCTGAGGCACAATAAAAACAGGATTTTTTTTTCTCAAAATAGTTAAGTTCCTTAGCAAATTGGATTAGTCTAAATCCATAAATACACTACTCAACACCAATTCATCAATGAGCATATCCATACAAAAACAAAAAAAAATTAGATAAAAATAGGAAACAGTTACCTGGCTTGAAACTGCTGAGGCTATTTCAGATTTAGCAGCTTCAGAAAGTTTTTCATCAGGATGAAAATCATGACCAACTTTCCTGTGACATTTAGAGTTTATCTTCATTTCTAAAGACTTGAATTTTTCATCTTGTTCACCTGATGCCACTGTATGTAAGTCAGAGTGTTCATCCTTAGACAAGGCTTCTAAGACTGGATGAGTCTTGTCAACATCATTGCAATCTACATTTTGCCTAGCTACCAAACTCAGCTTACCAGAAATATTCAATGGATCTATAGAGAGGTTTTCAGACACAGTTGTATCCATACGCACATCATTATTGGATTCCTTAGTTCTGCTGTACACATAAGGGTCACTCACCCTACCTGGCAACAGTATAGTATTTGGCTTCCGCAGTCGTTCACTCTGAGTGAGTTTCACTTCAGAACAACTGCTAATACTGCCCAATTGATCACTTGTGCTACTAGCATAGCGAAGTTCTTCGAAATCAACCTGGCACTGGACTCCTTTTTCATCAACTTTTTTTGTCTCAGGAATTATTTGATTAAAACCAAAATTATCAGAAGAAGCTAGTTGGCTTGTGATTTCAAAGTTGGGGTATGTTTTTTGTTGTTTTATGAGTGACTCATTTTCAACCTCTTTGTAAGCCAATCTTTTGTTAGATATTGCTGCAAGCATGTTATACTGGCTATCAGAAAATAATTTAGGTGAGGTCGTGAAGAATGGATAGTTATTATCATACAGCATAGTTGGTTTTTCATTACTTGAAGCATAATTATTTTTTTTCAACTGAAAAAAAAACAAAACATATATACAGAATAAGAAAGAATGACTGAATAAAGCTTTAAGGAGGAAATTCAGTTATTGGTTTTATTATGTATATTGTAATGTAAATACTACATAGTGAATTTCAATAGTGGCGCGAAAGTGACGTCACGAACTACTTTTAAAAAATGGACAAAGAGGCGGAGGAAGACAGATGGAATGGGGAGCAAGCGCCATATGTTAAAAACAGAAGGAAACCAGCCGGCGAGGAAAGAGGATCGAGAGCGACAGAAAGTGACCAGTCGGCAAGTATAATATTTAAACTTACATATTACAGTAGCTAGACGAGGACATGAAAATGTAAGACTAGATAAGCCATTTGTAGAAAATTAATATAGTAATACCTTCAGCAGCAATATAGAGGAAGATTCACTGCAGAATAAGATGAGTTCAAAATAAATCGTGACAGTTAGAAAGCGCCAAGAGTAGACCCCGAAAAAATGGAATTGAAATTCATAAATGTTATACATATAATTATAATGTATGCTTTTATATTATTTAATTGAGGAATATGTGTTTATTGTCTTAACACAACCTGAGAAATAATTGGAGTTTAATAATTTAAAATAATAATGGGAAATAAATATAATTTGGTTAAGAAACTGTTGTTTACTTTTCAACGCAATCTTACAACATATAATATATATATAACTTACATATCTGTCCTCCTTAAAATCAAAAGCATTAATACTATGTAATACTAAAATTTATGATTTATTTTATATAATTATATTGTTAATTAAATTAGTATACCTATGAAAGAACTCTAGCATTAGACAATGATACATATTAGATATTTAATTTATTTCTCCATAATACAAGCAATATTAGGGAAACATTTTTATTTGTACAAAAAATGTGTTATTATTAAGAAAGTCTATTCAACAAACACAACTGGTGCAACTATATACTTAATAATGTCTATATTCCGTTAACATTTTACTTAATAAAATATTCCTTCAGTTATAACATTAAGAATATGATTCAGCTATCTGTGAACTTATACAAATCAAGTATAGTACTGATTGAGAAATATTGGATTAGTGCGAAGCTAGTAGAAGCTAGACTTAGATAAGAACTTCATCACTGCTAAGGTAACCTTATCAACCAAGAAAATAAAAATAAATCCACAAAACATGTTTATTTTCGTTTAAAATATTAAAAACTTTCTTTATATTATCCAAACGATCTTTTCATGCCTATTCTTCTTCACTGACTTTTTAAATATTTATTATTATTTCAATATATACCCCCATAGCAACTGCAGGTACATAGCAAGGCTTAAAGAAAGCATATAAAAAAAAACATTTCATTTCAAGGCTTTAAAATACAGAACCCAGAACATTCCAAAGGAACTTTTTTTTTAGTATTTAAATAACCTGCTTCTCAGTAGTAGGTAAAAAACATTGCTTTCATTACAATCAATAGCAAACTGGAGAGCAAACACTTCCCAATAACTTGTTAAAACTTTATCAAAACAACAAATAACCATTAGAAATTAGAAATATTTACCTGTGACGAAAATGAGAGCATTTTCTTCAAATCATCATCTTCTAATTTTTCAGGCCGATCAGAATCTGAAAGTAAATATCAAATGTTGGGTTAACAACTTGAATAATTCAGTAAGCCTACCACATGAAATCAAAATAGTTTATAAACTGGAACCAGCCTGGGTGACACAAGAACAATAATCGTATTGAAGTGGTGTTTTTATTAAATCAACCAACAATTAAATCAAATCAAGTAGGCCATAATTGCTAGGTAAGCTATACTGCAATGGAGCGCACCGGAACTATACCATGAAAGGAATTATACCCACTTTTACAATTAACACATCAAAGCAGGACGAAATATTTTTGACAATTATGGAAATTGTGAATCAGTGTAGGTCAGATATTTATAATTTTTTTAAATATGCTATAAGCAGGATTACATGTTTATATTAGATTAAAGACCCACTTAAAATAGATAATATAAAAATAATGATGTAGAGATGATTGACCATGATTATAATATGAGGAGTTGGTGAGGGGGTGCGGTCAAATAAATATTATTTTAATAGATAGTATTTATTTGACCACACCCCCGACCACCTCCTTCTCATAATATAACAATACTTGCCAATATATAGCTATACTTTACAATATTTTAAAAACTAAAAAAATATATCAAGGCAGATCTGGATGAAAAATACTATAAAATACAAAGTATTTTGTTTTTCTAAAATACAATTTTAATCACTTAGTATTTCATTCAATTACTACTTACTTTTAAATTACTTCACTTAATTATATAATATAATAAGTATTTAAATTTTAAATACAAAATATCGGAAGGATAGATAAGTTCGATTTTTGTTAGTATTGCAAATTGTTTTTAAATACATCCAATTCTCTTTGCTTTATCTGACAATAACGGTACTTATCGGAAAGTTCAAAGTCCCCTTTCTCGTGTTTGGCTTGATTGGTGTTGTTTATGTTGCAGCGTAGTAAATATGTCAAATGATAAAGTGCATTTTTGACATATTTTGCTTTTTTATTTCATAAAAGGCAAGCAAGCTTCGGAAGCCCACCAATGATATGTAAGGTATACAAGGAAGATGCTTTAACAGAACGTACAGCTCGAAAATGGTTTGCCAAGTTTTATTCCAGAGATATGAGTCTCAAAGATTCCCACCAAGGTTAATTTAAGTGATATCAAGGCTCTAATCGAACAAGACCGGTCACTATAGCTACAAGAAGTTACTGAGACACAGAAAATAGATTTTGGAATCGTTCAAAGGCATTTAAAACAGCTTGGCTACATGTCCTGCCTCGATGTTTGAGTTTGAAGGAGGGGAGGAAGGACTGTTCAGTATAATATTAAAGTACTTTGAAATCTCTATAAAAATGGTCCTATACATTTTTTTTATAAAATCAATAGTTTCAGAGATATTTACGAGATTACATTTATTGTATTTTCACTATAAGCAAAAATTGCTTCAAATCATATAATTGATGTTGTCCAAGTTTAAATTGACATTAATTTCATACAATTGATAATATGTGATAGAAGACATTAAAACTTATAAAAATTTACTATAAACCATGGACTGATTATATACAGAGAACCATAAAATTTAAATTTTGTAATTTTTAAGCCAACCCTTGTTTTATGTTAAATAAAAAGCAATAACTATAAAAATGTTTAATTTAGATTACAAAAAAATAATTCATAGTAAACTAGATTAAATCTATATTAAATACAAGTAAATCTTTTTTATTTTAAAACCATTCAAAGGGGACTTTGAAGCAGTTCTGTAGAACTGCTGAACTTGCTGTAGTTTAGCTGCTTCAACCTCCCCTTTAAATGGGTTTAAAACAGACAAGATTTACCTGTATTTAATGTAGATTTAATCTAGTTTACTATGAAGTAATTTGTTGTAACCTAAATTAAACATTTTTTTAGTTATTGCGTTTAATTCAACATAAAACGTGGTTGGCTTAAAAATTACAAAATTTAAGTTTTCTGGTTCTCTGTATGTAAACAGACCATGGTTCATGGTAAATTTGTATAAGTTTTAATACATTCTGTTACATATTATAAATTATATGAAATTAATGTCAATCTAAACTTCATATTAACATCACAGAATTCCCCCATTAATTGATACCGGATATAATTCTGTTGTCAATGACTTTTTAGAACCATTAAAAGAAATAAACTTTAAATAATAATAATAAGGATCGAAAATGTTAAAAAATTAATTAAACAATCATTTTCTTTGAACAATAAGTAATTTTGTAAATATTTAGAATGTAATATCAGAAATTAAGAGAAAGAAACAAAACATTAGTTTTAGCATATAGCTGGATGAATTTGCCATGGGACACCAATAAATTGCGGTCAAACTATAGTAATTCAAAAAATTTTAATTTTATAATTATTATATAAGAATTTTCTTATAATGAAAAATAATAAATTGCTTTTTGAAGAATTTTACCTACTTTACCAGGCTTTTCAAAATAATATAACGAAACTAACGAAATTCTGCTTAATGTGTAATATTTAATTTTGAAAAAAACATTTGACAGTAATATTCAAACACACTTGAATGTATTTAGTAACTTATTCAAGATATCTTAAAAACTGGAAGATTTAGATCATGATAAATCATTTATTGGTCCATCTTACATTAATATATGAATTCCAAGATTTGAATAATATTTTTAAAATACAGGATCAGAAAATATCATATATATTTATAAGCAAAAGCTTGAATATTGTCTACACATACACACATGTTCTACAAATTTATACCAGTACTACCATGGATTATAGGAGGATGAGTTTGAGTGATGGATGATCTTGCAAAAAATAATTCAGCTTCACTAGCCAAAGGTGTCACTTCTATAACAGAATGTTCTCTGCTTGAAGATTTACTTTGCATAGGGGAAGCTGATAATGTTGGAGTCAATGGCTTTTGCAAGGAAAATTCCTTCAGCTTCTCAGGTATTGATGAACTACTGCTAGGCCTACCCGATGAACTGCTTAGCTGTAAAAATTGTATTATAAGTTATTAAATATTATTATTATTAATACCATGATAATAATAAATTGGAATAATAAACAAATGGAATGTTAATATTATGGGTGGGTTAATATTATAGGCGGGGTGGCCGAATGGGCTTTAAATCATATATAAAATTGATTCATTTCCACAACAAATTATTAAATATATTTTCAATTTTCAATGAAAAATAAATTCATTAATTTTATATAAAAATAACAATTAATTAAACAATGGTCTATTGATATATCATAATTACTAAAGGCTCATTAACTAATTTGACTGAAAGGTCACAGATATACAACTGGAATTCCAGCAAAGTGGCTACTTTAACACTTACACATTGCTAGTAGTGTCAAATAATTCATGGGAGTGTGAATGTTTAATAATTTTTGTTTACAAGAAAATTATAAATGGTGCTAAATAGATAATCTCAAAAGTGGCACTTCCAGAGCATTGATTTTAGTTAAAAAGTTACTGTAGCATCTCAGATTTATGCCTACCTTAAATAAATAATTTAATTTTAATAAAACTGTCCAGATAGTAGTTACTTTTCATTCAAATATAAGTTGTTAAATACAGCGATGGGCCAGTAAACACCACTGACTCAAGGTTGATTATTCAAAACTGCCTAAAAAAATGTATGATACATTACACTAACATATGCCTATTACATATTACTGAAAAGTAGCTGAACCATATCAACTTCTTAGGATATATGTTTAAAAATTACATGACTGATTTTTTGTGCAATACAAGTATGAGTAATATAGATGGTTGAACATAGTTTAAATCATCTTATGAATAAGTTAAATCTCAGGTTATGAAATATAAGAGTTAGTTAATTTCAGGGTTCATAAAATCAATAAATCAACATAAAATAAAATAAATTAAATAATAATAAAATGAATTAGTATTAAATTAAATTAATAGAACTAAATTAATTACTCAAAGGTAAAAAAAGGAGATTAATGGAGTTTTAGCATTCCAATAAAGCTGTTCTGAATTATAATAAAACTAGCAGGCCCATGCAAAAAATTCAGACAGCATAATGTTATCAAATTCCAAATTAATCAGAAAACAAAATAAAAATTAATTTAAATCTTAATTAATGTTTGGAACCAACATTTACAAATTTCAATAAGCTGTATCTTTTCTAAAAATTGTCCGATTTCGATGAATTTGTATGCCTTTTGCAGGGAATTTAGTAATCTTTTATATAATCATGGACATAACCAAGGAGAAAATGTGTAATTTTTTAGTTATTCACAAATAAAGTTGTTTTTTTTCATAACTTGTTTGCCTCAATTTTTGGGGTGCTTGGACTATTTTACCGCCTGAAGGAGAAGGAAGCCTTTGAAATTGGTGGCTCAATCTTGAGATTTGGTGAAGAATTAACAATGATATGGCTTGCCGATCAAAAACACCATCGATAAATAATAAAAATTCCTCCTCTCTCGATCATAGAGGCCTCAAGTCTACGAAATGAGACATGTATTCAATGACAGTACTAAAATTATCGTAAGGTTGTGTGGATGCGAACTCTATGCCTTGCGTTCTCAAAAATAGTATGTTTTGGGGCTTAAAAACGCAGGGTCCGGATCTTGCTGTACGCATAAAAATCTTCCAGGTTCAATTTGTCCCGTATCGATCTACAGACCTACCACCGTTCCAGTATTGAAGCCTAGCAAAATGTTTATATCAAATTTATTTATTTTAGAAAGAAAAACAGAGGTGGAGAATATGATTCACAAACCCCCTCTGAAATTCTGAAACCAACGGTACCCCATTCATGGTATTTAAGCATGACAGGAGCTTATATTTGGTACAAAATTGATTTCGAGCCTTACTCTAATAATATATGTGGGGATAAAATGCAAACTGAATAGTTTAAAAATAACTGAAATAGAAAATTAAAACTAATTCTACCTTGGTTGGTGAAGAGAGTCTTGTTGATGGCAAAAGCTGAACTCCTTTAACTTCATTAATATCTAAAGGTAAGCGATCCCATCTATCTTCTGTTGGTGGAGGTACATTCTCATCTAGAAAAAACATACCAAAAAATTAATAAGTCGATATGGTCATACATAAACAAATTTAATTTTTAAGATAAAAGCAATTTAGAACAATACAGAAAATCAAAATTAAACAAATAAATTTATTTTATAAACTTAATGCAGATCCTTCAAATCTATAATTATTTATCAAATATCAGATGTACCAAACATAAACTAAAGATTTTATATGTATTAATTGGAGTCCATCTGAACTTGTCAGAGGTATTTCCATGATTATTGTCTGCAGCGTCACAGTTTCTTCATTTATTGGATTCATTATATTATTTATATTACCATTCATTTTTTAATTCAGTATTGGTAAATTACAATCAGGGAAATATGAAGACAACAATGAGTTGGCTGTAGAAAGATAACTGTCCTGTGACGTAGCCTGCCCGTCTCAATACTCCCTATTCCTGTTTCAAGGCAGAACTCTACTGATAATTTAAAACAAGATTACTTATTATTCACACTATTCTTTAATTTTAATAAAAGACAGCTTTAACACGCTAAGATACAACGCTATATCAGATATATTGTTCCAGTAATTAGTTTAAACCACTCAGATTAAATAAAAACACAGATATGATCTGCACTCTACTGTAGCTATCGATAAACTCAATGAATAAAGTATGAGAAAATTATATTCCTTTATCTCTAATATATGTAATTATAGAGATTTGTTGGGGTACTCTCAAATATTGCCTTTTAATAAACTGTTAATTTAATTTTAAAATATGATTTAACATTAATATTTAAAAAAATAAAATGTATTCATTGTTTTGTTGTTGTTTTTGTGTTCTATTTAATTTAAGATTTTAAATCAATGTTGATAATTATCTTTATAATATAATACAACAGTTTTTTGCTCTAACAATCTTTTTTCCGGCTCTCAGGAACTTAATGAATTTGCAATTTGAAAAAACAACATATAATTGGAAAGTCATCTATGGCATGATTTTATGCCCATTTTTAATCAATATACGCAAGATTTTCTCTATCATGTAGCATGTTACACTGTTTATCAAATGAGATACCAACTTAAAAAAATGAAATGATCAAAAATTCATCAATTGATGTAAAACCATAAGATTTTTGATGAAAATATTGTAATTTTTGGCTTAAATATTTAGGTAAATGATTAAAAAAAAATTGTACAATTTTTTTTCCACTACTGGAATGCAACTTAAGAAACAACAACAAATAGAATCTGAGTATATGCTACTTTTGTCAATTCAATTCCCCGAAAATGATTTCTCTTGGATTAAACTTTTCATTCTATCATGGACTTCATTCAGCTTCGATAATATATACAATTCACAGTTTAGACGCTTTGTTTTATTCATAGGATTTTCGTTGCCAAAAATGTGGATAATTTATAGTGCATAATCTGCCATTAAGTAGATCTGAAGTAGAAAAGTATAACTTTTTCTAGCTTTCTTGTATTTAGATAGGAAAAAGAAAAGTACACCAAACTTCCATAATATTTTATTCAATTGCAGCAAAGTATTAATTCCTGTTGACTGGTTGTAATTACCATATCAAAAAATTCATAATTCCCGACCCTTAGGTAATACTTACCTAAAAACCTAGACCTGAGCACTCAAATCAAATATACAAGCATGACAGCCCAGTCGATTATAACTTAAAATTCCCTAAAAAATATTAATTCAAACTAGAAGCTAAGCTAAATTGAAACAACAATAAGTAAATGAATCAACATATAGGTATATTACCTTGAATCCATCCAATTTCAGCTACAGATGAGGCATGGGGCGACGATTTAGAATCCTTAGCAGAAGTACTTGGTTTGCCTCTGTATAAATTAGAAAAGAAAAATTAGCAAAACAAAATAATCAAAGCATCCATATAAATCTTAAAATATTATTAAGACATTAACCGGGAAGATAAAAAAGGTATTGCTCCAGTAATATGGGCTCCTGAATAATCTGGTGGCTCGGCCATTTCTCTTGATAAAGGTTTTTCCTCTTGTTTCTTCTCTACCAAGCCCACCCAACTTTCTTTCTTCCGCAATTGCTGTTACACATAAAATCAATTACAATTAATAAATTATAAAAAAATTAACAACAGATAAATTGGAAAAGAATCATGAACATCATAAATCACTTGAACTCCTATATAAATAAAATAATTACTTTTCAAAAATATAATTTTTAGGTAAAAAAAGCTAATGAAACGGAGTAACTAACTAGCTACTCCAAGCTAAGAATCAATCTTTAGAAACTTGCAACGTACGGTAACATTAAAAGAAATTTTTGAATGACTTTTGATTTAGAATACTGAACCCGAATATTAAAAAACAAAAATAAACATAGAACAAGTTACCCACCATTCCTTCACATTTCCAAAAAAATGAGAGACCCCCGCCATATAGCCATCCAGATCCATTTAAAATCCAATAATATTTTCAATGGATACTTGCAATGTTGTTATAACTTGTTGTTGATTATGTAATACAGTAAGAAAATAATACTAATATAATGAGTACACAACCACCAGCTGCAGCTTCACTTATTTCACTGAGGGTACAGGAATCAACACTTTACAAAAATTCCCTACCCAATATATCACTAACAGTTGGAAAATTTAATAAATTGATCCTTTTTTTTTTTTAGTCCTCTCCTTTCAGGCTAAATGGGGTTTTCCTGGGCCAGGGTATGAGGATGGGGTATTAATGGCAGAGTTAAAAGGCCTCCGGTACCAGGACACAAATTGCTAATTATTTTATCAAATTATCTTCCATCATATGTGCACGTATGTTAGTCCGTCCGGTCAGCCACCCCGTCCCCTCAAACTAACAGATTTATATCAAGCTATGGAAATTGTAGAATTCAAAGTAAATCTATTGTCTAAAAGTTATTTTGCTACAATTTGTGACAGATGTATACATTCCACAGGAAAGTTAAAACCTTTTGAGAAATATCAAAATTTATAAGAGCCCATATAACATTAAGCATTGGGCCAATCAGTTCAGTTTAAAAAGAGTACTTGCTTTAGGTGGCTTCTTAGAAGAATTGGCTAAAATACGATGCTGAGTCTCTTTCAAGCGCTCCATTCGTGCCCTCTGCTCTTGTTCAGCTTTCTCTTCATGCTCTTTTTGTTCACGGAGCTGCCTTTCTCGCTCAACACGCTTACGATGTATATATTTTCGTGCAGCACGCCTCTCTTCTTCTGATTTTTCAGGAGTATTACCTACTAAAAAACACTTAATTGTAAATAAATATATTTTTTCTAACTAGGCACCTAATTTAGTAAATATTTGTTATCAATTTAATGACTTTTTTTACATTAATTTATCTTATAACCTATCTAACAATTACTTTATGTCTCATTTTGAGTTCTTGCTCTTATACTATAAAAAAATTTCAAATATTAACTTTAATTTTATTACTTCTATTAATACATATGGAGGCCTGAAGATGGCTTACTGACTGAGGCCAATACGCATAGGCTCTAATAATAAAGAACAAATACTTTTTCTTTCTTTTTTTCATGTAGGGTAAAACCTAAATTCAATCAATCTCAATCAAATTTTCACATTAATGACACTTCTTGAATTCGCAGCACTACAATGAATACAAGGCATTAGTAAGAAGCAAAGCAGGCAGTAATAAGATAACACTTTCCTTAAACAATATAGTAAAATCAACAGCCATCAGAACGGTAGTATCATATCAGACTTGTGTATCATCTAAGGAAAGTGAAAGGGTTGGAAGAATAAATGAATCTGTCTGTGAGAATAGCCATTGGAGAATTAGAAAAATTATGGGCAAGAAGAAATGTTTGGAGGACCAAATACATTTATTAGAAAGGACTAGTTAAGGTTTCTGAGACATGTGGAGTGGATGTTTGTAGTTAGAATTACCAAGAAATCACAAGATGATGAGGCTGGTGGACGAAGAATTTTAAGTTTTGTTGCATCATATTACATATTTTTGAGCTGGATTAGATGATTTATAAATATATGAGTGTTTAAATATTTATCTTTATATTTTACTATCTTGTCCAAATTAAATTTATAATTTTTACGAAAGAAAAATATGAGAAAGATAAATAATTCTGTAACCAGAAACAGTTCAAATTCAACGTTACAATAGTAAAAAGTAAACACAAATGCTGAATATTTTTGGTATAGAACTTGCTTGAATCATCGGACAACAATAAAAAAGTACTTTCCCAAAATAAGCTGTTTTGTTAGAAAGACATTTATTGTTATGGTTTTGACTTAACAACAAAGTATTGAATTCTCACTCATTCCTCAGCCCTTCAGTATATCTTATTGTCTGGTTTTGAAGTGAATTGTAAAAATTTCATTATTAACAAAAATTTAAAAAGTTTGAATAATGCCAAAAGTAAGATCTTGTCTCTTGTCAAAAATTAAATTATGGATATTAAATTATCCCGAGTCAAAATTTAATTGGAAAATTTGCTGGGAAAAATGCTCTGTGAAAAATCAATCCGGTGTCACAGGAAATCATAGATAGACGCTTATTGTAAAAAAGGTAAGAACAAACATTTCTACTAAAGATTTTTTTTTTTTTTTTAAATAAGAGCATAGGTCCATAAAATATTTTTTATTTATCTAGAAAAACAGGAAAAACAGTGTATTTCTAAAGCTTCCTTTAAATCTTAGAATTTCATTTTCAACTATGTATTTTAATTTTTTTTTTCTCGTTACACATTATTTTGATTAAGAAGCTCAACACAAGGTTTGATTAGATATTGATGTATTAATGTTATAAATTAAACAAAATTGATGATTTATCCACATTTTTAGGTATATAATTTTAAATATTTATGATTTTTACTGCATGAATTTGCACATTTTTCGCATTTTTACTACATGAAGTTCCGGTCTATAGTTATGTATGATATAGTTTTTAAAAAAGAAGAGAATTTGAAAGAAAATTAAGAGTATTTATCGAAAGAGTTCAGCAGGTCTCGCAGCATGTAAAATATAATGGTCAATGTCTAAGAATTAGAGACATTTATTATCATGTATGAATGATGCACTTCTACTTTTTATCATATTATTCATTTTTCTTGTAATTAATATTTTGAATGAGATTAATATATTATTATACATTTTCTTTTATAATTTCACCAACTTAATACAGAAACTTTTAAAAAATTTCTTAATAGAGTATAATACTATATACTTCTATTATAAAATCAAAAGAACAATTAATAAAGTTTTATTACTAACAAATAAAGAAAATTACCTGTTTTTAAACTTGGTGCAGGTTCAATAATCTGCTGCACCTTAGCAGGTTCATTTAGTTCAAGTTTTTTTTGGCAATGCAACTTTTTCCGAACTGTTATATGTCTTTTTTGGGGTGATTTATCAATCTGGGAAAATATGATAAAGCTATACCAAACCATTAATACTCAAAGAAAAAATGTCTTGAGTTTTTTACTAAAAAATAAAATATTGCTTTAATCCAAAAAGACATGCAAAGTAGCCTGTTCAGGTCAACCATTAAAATGAAATAGTTAAAGAATGAAAGAAAATACATCATAAAATTTATATAAAATTTAATTCATACATAAATAATTAAAATTACATACATTAATTTATATTATAAATTTATAATAGTATAACTTAATATTTTAATAATAAATAGTCTACTATATATATAATAAGATAGTAAAGATCCTTTTCCGGCTCTCAAGAGCAATGGATTTTGATGAATGAGGTATCAAATAAAAGAGAATTTCATTAAGTGAAGAATCATTGACACATCCCCCCAAAATTTCTTTTAAAAAGTTAAGATAGCAAAGAAACTTTTTTTGAAAACAAGTCAAAAAGTATGCATTTTTTTCTTAATTAGACAAAAAAATAAAACTTTAAATTTAAAAAAAAAGTTCAATATATCAGCTATTAAGCAAATGCAAAAGTGCAAAGTCAAAAATTGGAGTTTGCAAATTCCAAGTATTGTTGATAGGTAGGTAGAGAACACATAATTTTTTTTTTTTTTTTCTTCCCTAACTCGCCTTTTAGGCTACATGGGATTTCCCCGGACCAGAGGGTGAGAGCAGGGAATTTAAAATCCCCTCTGGCACCGGGACGTGAACTCGTGACTATTTTCATATCATAGAATCATATATCCGGTTGCCGGGCAACGGCGGTGAAGTGCACACGCGTTAGCCCATTCGGCCACCCCGCCCTCTAAGTAATACACTGTATCCATAGATGCACAGAAAAAAATAAACTAAAGCTGAACGCACATAAAACCAAGGCAATCCTAATCGGCTCCAAGCATCTCATTAATTCCCTTCCTTTCTCTCCTTTACTTTACCTCAATAACCGTCCCATCCATTTCTTTCCAACAGTCAAAAACCTTAGAGTGATCTTTGATCAGAACCTCTTTTGGAGAGGAAGAGCCACATTTCCTAGATTACCCGTAAATCCATAACTATCCTTAAACAATTCCTTCGATTCCATTCCAAAAAAAACCAGACAGCTCCTTCTAACATCCCTATTATTATTATTATCCCCCCACTTCGACTACGATTGCCTGGTGTATGGAGGGCTGTCCACAGAACAGGAGGCAAGACAGAAGAAAATTATGAATTGCTTCATAAGATTTATCGCTGGGATTCTCATATTTCTTGTTGGTACATCGAGTTGAAGTGGCTATATCACACTTCCCAACGGCAATTCCTTCTTGGTGTTTTTCTTTTTCAAGTTCTCAGAAGCAAAAATCCTCCCTACATCTTCCTTTAGTAACCCAGTAAAATCACTTCCTTCCATCAATCCTTCGTCATTCATGCTACCTCCTTACCCATCTCCATACGTCAAACCACGTCCATAAACTCCTTCAAACAACTCCTATTCCACCACTAAATTCTAACTTTTGCAAGCTTGTAAAAATTTCTGGGTTATATAATTATGCTGGTCATTAGCATATTTTGTAAACTCTACTATTATTCTAAGGGGACTTCAGTCCCAGAATAAAATTATTTTTTATTTCAATATCCCTTTTATTTATAGCGTTTTTATTTATATCCCTTGAGCAAGCATAGTGAGCCAATTCATTTTTTATTAAAATTTGACTATTTTCGGAATTCCATCAACAGTATAATGATAAGTGATACTGGTGAGCTAGTGCTTAGATGAATAAATCAACGACTCACTTTACTGGATCTGGACTCAGCAAATGGGGAAAACGAACTTGACAGTGTAGACTTTAAAGGAGTAACGTTGTTACCAAAAGGAACTGAAACCCAAAAAGATAAAATTAATCAAATTAACATCACCTAAATTTAAAATATTAGAGATGGGTAACCCAATAAATATTATTGTGAATAAATGTAAAATAATTGATTGTTTAATACCTTTTGTGGGTTCTGGCACTTGAGCTATTTTTACATTACTTATATGCTCACTTATATTTTCAGTTACCTTTTTGTTTATATTATCTTTAAACCCAGGTACATAGACACAATAACCTCTCCTTCGGGACACTGAAAAGATAAGTCATTCAGATATCAAATTTTAGTAGACTAAATGAACAAATAAGGGAGTTAGAAAGATAGTGTTGTATAACAAATTAATTTGAAGATTGTGATGGCCGAGCATTTTAAAGCATAAAATTTAACATTCTTGTTTCTACCAATGCTGGTTCAAATCCAGCCTGGGCAGGTTAAAATTTATTTTGTGGTGAACCCATGGAATGAATCTCGACCTTCTCACTCTGGTTAGAATAGGATTGGTTGTACCTCTAGAACAAACCCCCATATACCATAAATGACAAAGTATAGGTATCGTGGAAATAAAATTTTATTTTAGTCAAGGGAGTAATGTTTCATAAACGTACATGTGTATTAAAAATAAGATTAACTTAAATATTATGTATACAATATGCATACATCATTACACGATATTTACTGAAATAAACCAAACTTGACCTACACTACAATCATTGTAAACCCTCAAATATTCATTGATACTTACTGTCAGAGGAGCTATGTGGAGAAGATGATGGCAAAGTCCAAAGAGGGTCTTTTTTCTTCTCAGGAGATTTGATAGTAGAAAGAGCAGGAAAAGCTGAAATTTTCTGAATCCATTCCAACTGTGCTTTTTGAATTTCATCTGCTGTAGAACAATATCTCATATCCTCCATCCATTTTCTCTGAGCATTTTCAAGTGCACTTAACTTTTCCTTAGTAAGAACATTTAAATCTTTTAATGCTGTAGGAGTCTTCGGACAGTCAGATAAAAAGAAGGGACTCTGATCCTTCACACTTGAACTCTCACTGAATAATGATTTACGTTCTCTTTCATTTTTGGCGCTGTATTCTTTATAATTTTGCTCCATTTTTACACTGAAAATAAATTAACTAATAAGGGGGAAAAAATAAAAGTTTGTCTTTAAAATTTTAAAGTGTTTACCTTCTGATAATACGAGAAAAACAATATTATAAAAGAGACCAGAAACCGTTGTGTGCAGTTTTTCTTTTTTATCTGACATATCTTGATAACACCACCACGGATTTTTTGAAACTGAAACTTCAATTCTGTGATAAAATATCTAACGGTCAAACGGAAGGTAATGTACAAAGGTTAGTTTAGCATGAATAACAATGTATTCTCTATGGTTTCTGTTTACCTCATATATCTAAATACCCTAAAATTGTACGAAAACTATTAATCATGTTATTACAGAAATCTGGAACTCTTGCAAAATTAAAACAACAACGTATATAATAATGGAAAACTTTTAAACAACATATTATCCAATGTAAACAGTTAAAAAAAATATTCTTTCAATTCAAATATATAATTTTAAAAACTACATTGGACAAAAAAGAAGTGCAATATTATGAAGCATTAAATTATAATTCATTATCATTCCTATGCTTAATTTTTAACATATTGCATATGTGATGAGTCCAACATTAAATATAGTAAGTAATACAGTATCTGCAATTTGTTTCCAAAAAAATTGTGATTTCAATAAAAAAAAACTCTTAAATAAGTTTCTGTTACTCCACTGGACTCATACGGCAAATCAAGTTCATACCAAATAATAGCTGAAGATTTATTATCATGATTTATTTCATGAACTGGCGTAGAGAGCCACCACGGCAGTTGTCGGAGCCCGAGGCTAGATTATAATAGACACACAATCTTATCTATCACAAATCAGTCAGTAAACTGTTTTCTTACACAGTAGTGGATTCAGGATTTAATTTTGTGGGCTTTTCCAAAAAGATCGAAACTTTTGGATCAGATCCTACACGCAGGAACCCCTCACACTGCTTCGCGGTAGAAGAAGACAAGATTAAGTAGAAAAAACTGGTATTGTACGGGTTTTTACTTTCACTTACCTATATATGAAATATATAGTAAGAGACGGTATTGCGATCGTGAAAATTTTCGAATCTGAGTTTTCAACGGCAATAGATGTTGTGAAGTCTCCCAAGTCCAAATAACCAAGTCCCGCAAAATGGTGTGTGTGGGCAAAATGGTTTGTGTACGTGACAGGTCTAGTTGAAAAACGAAAAGTCGTACGAAAGTGAAATTGCATATTTAAGGTTTATATATACCTGAGATGTTACAGCAACTTTTTCGTCAAATTGGCTAACCGGAAGTGGCACTTTATATGATCAATGAAACGCATTTTTACTATTCTCTCGAAAACGGCTCAAACGATTAAATTCGTTATATCAGTGTAAAATTAAGCAGTTTTTTAATGTTTTGTAGGTTTTATTCTCATTGATGTTCTCTTACAGGGCTTAAATGGCTCATTTTCAATATTAGCTTCCTCTAAAGTACCTATATATTTTTTTTTTTGAAACAATTAACCATTTCGCATTGATCTGTAATATAAAAAATAGTTAAATGTAAAAAGAAAGAATTTGATAATTAACTAAAGGAGAAATATGAGACCGTAACAGAGAATAGTTGTAATGAAGGAACCAAAGGGATACGAGCGCGGCCGAACCCACCAGAGCTGGCCCTAAAATTAGAACTGGCTTCCATATATAACATGAGTATAATAAAATAAGGACTCCGACAATATTACATATACATATGCGGTTTTCTTAAGTGTTTTCGTTGGTATTATTTAATATTTTTTTATTTATTGTTACATTCCGCATCTACCCGATCGGGTCATTAGCGGCTTTTAATATTTAATTGTATAGATCACAGCGATATAAATATTAAAATTTGTATATATAAGGGTACTTAACCAAATAATAGATACCCACAATGAAATATAAATCAATATAGCGTTTATAATTTTGGTAATAATTTTTTTTTTTCCTTTGTCTGAAAATAATTATTTCTGACAAGAAGAGGGTGGTAAGTGAAAGTTGTGTGATGCTCGCATCGCACCAGATTTTTATTTTATGTTACTAATCATTGGCTCCTAGACTGTCGTGTGGGTTTTTGGCGCCCTAGGAGAAATTTGGTATTTATATTTATAACCTGAACACTGATAATTGTGATAAGGTACTGATAATCCCTATCTTCAAATTTTAAAAATGACCATCAATCGGTATCTTTTTTTTTTTTTGTTTCCCTCTTCTCCTCTATCTTGCCTTTTTATGCTATATGGGGTTTTCCCGGGCCAGCGAGTGAAGGCAGGGAATTAAAAAAAAAAAATGTTGTTGGTTACGTTTTTTGGCCGTTCTGTCTTAAAGTAGTATTTCCATGTTTTACTCTTTAATTGGACAACACAGCATACTTCTTCATTCCACCATTCTGTGCGCTTTTTTTTGTTTGATATTTTGCGCAAACCACACTTCTAAGATACAGGTCCTGAAACGACACCAATTGAGTGTTGTTTCACATCACCATTCATACTCAACGTTCTTAGTTTTATTTCCAGTTTTTCGTTGTAGAAAATTCTCTTCCGGGGCCATCTAGAACTCTTATATTTAATATTCGGTAACTCTAGACAAGCCGGTTGACAGGTGCTGAGATAAACTTCCTGCAGATATCATTTCGAAAGACCAGAAGGGACTGCTTTAGAAATGAATAGATAAGGAGAGAACTGGAGATGGTGGAGCTAAAGACTAAGCTTGAAAAAGACAGCTGAAGTGGTTTGGTCACGTTGGTGGAATGGAGGATGAAAGAAAATCTCCGTCGGAAAGCGTTGGAAGTTGGAATCTCCTATCAGGATTACATACATCTGATAGGAGGAAAGGGAGGAAAACTCTTCAATAACCGATGCAGCTTAGCCAGGACCGCAAGGCATGGCTGCGTTGGACTGAGCGTACTCGACGCTAGACATGACATAATGAGGTAGACAAAGAAAAAGAAGAAAAAGATTTTAAGCGACAAATAGTCAGGAATCAGTCATTTTTAAGGTTTTTTATAAGTGCCAAAGTTTCAACCCAAGCATGTGGGTCATCATCAGAGCTGAAAATTGTTGAATACAATCAGAGATATAATACTATAAGACAGATAATGGTTAATAATGAAAAAATGGCGATGGATGATACATGAAATAGACAAATGAAATATGTAATAAGTTATACAAACTAAAAAATAATGAATACAATCAATTTATAAGTAATGTAATATTTACTTTTACTAATAGTGTTTCGTGCACTGAAGGTGTTCAAGTACTTTGATAGGTAAGTAAAAGGATCAATGGAGGATTTTCCAGATGTTAAAAAATAAAAACGTGTTATACTTATTCAACATAACATTGAACATTTTATTTTCTAAATATAAGTACATGTTCCAGATGTCTTTTAAAGGACTCCTTATATAGTTAATAATATTGAAGCAACATAATTGAATGCAATATATTGAAGGGGTACCTCACATTGTTCAATTATATTGAATCAATATTATATCAGTAGAGATCTTGCTTCCACTAAAGAAGGAGGTTTCCAAAGAGGTAATCTTTCTTTTTCGTGGAAATGAATAATAATGAATTTCCTAGGCTTTAGCATTAAAGATATATATATGTTCTTTGTAACGTTTATTTTGTTCCTAAGCATTAAAACGTTTCTTGTTTCAAATTAGTTCTGTTCTTGCTTCCTAATTATTTAATTTTTAAACCATATTACCATTACATCATTTTAAACAAAAATTCGGGGAGAGGGCGGTTTTCCCATCCAAAAAAAAATTAAAATTCAAAAAAGTATTACCCATCTACCCTAACATATTACCGTTTTATCTTTTTACAAAAATTCGGAGGAGGGTTCTCTCGCCAAAAAAAAAAAAAAAAAAAAAAAGTATCGCCCATCTACCCAAACATATTACTATTTTATCTTTTAAAAAAAATTCGGAGGAGCGTTAACCCCTCCCCAAAAAAATAAAATAAAAGTAAAACTAAGTACCACCTATTTACCTAAACATATTGGCATTTTATCTTTTAAAAAAAATTCGGAGGAGAGTTAATCTCCCAAAAAATAAAATAAAAGTGAAACTAAGTATCATTACCACATAATGCCATTGTACCTTTTAGAGGGGGATAAAACCTTCCCCAAAGAGAAAATAAAAATAAAAGTAAAATAAAGTATCACCCAATCAGTAGCAGATCCAGGATTTATTTATTTATATTTTTTTTGGGAGTGGGGCTTCAGCCTGAAAGCCCTCCTCCCTCCTCCCTTAGATCCGCCTGTGCACCTAACTACCCAAACATATTGCCATTTTAAGTTTAAAAAAAATTCAGAGGGCAAGGGGGTTAACCATTAGTCCAAAAAAAAAAAATTATAAAAGTAAAACAAAGTATAATCCAGCTACCCAAACATATTGCAATTGTATCTTTAAAAAAAAAAAACAGGGAAGATTTAACCCCTCCCCCCCCAAAAAAAAGAAAATAATAATATAAGTAAAACAAAGTATAACCCAGCTACCCAAACATATTGCCATTTTATATTTTTTAAATAAAATCGGAAGATGGTTTTAACTCCCTCCCCTCCAAAAAAAAATAATAATAATAAAAGTAAAACAAATTATCACCCACCTACCCAAACATATTGCCATTTTATCTTTTGGAAAAAAAATTGGGTGAGGAGGTGGGTAGTTTAACTGCTCCTTGAGCCATCTTATCAAAAATTAAATAATTTATCACCAAGATTTTATAAAGCTTGTCACATATAATATACTTTTTTAAATAAGTATAATGTACTCACTATTCTATTTTAAATAACAACAAACTATGTTGTGAATTAAAATAAAATAACAAGATTCAAGATTTAGAAAATATATATAATTTAATTAAAAAAATTAACATTATTGCGAAATCGAAAAAAATATAGGCAACTTATATGTTATAAAATATATATTTTTCTTTATTTAAAGAGTTTATGTAGAAATTTATTTAACTTCTTAGTTACTATTTTGAAGTAATAAATAATAAACAAGGCAATATTAGTAAATATTTAAAGTTTCTGCTCACACATAAATAAATGAAATATAAGAATCAAAGGTCACTTTTCTATTACCAGAATTCAATATAAAATATTGTTTACTGAAAATCATTGCACGCGTAAGTTGAATTAAATTTTTCGGTTTTTTTTTTTAAACTGATTAAAATAAAACAGAATTTCAAAAATGTCTCAATTTTTAATTAAGCAGAAACATTTTTATTTGAAACACTAACAAGGGGATACAATAAAAAGTAGATATATAAGAAACTATTATCATTATGACCATACTTCCTCAGCTTGAAATTATCATGATTGAGGACGATAGAGATAGCTTTTGTATAAGTTTACAAAAAAGTTATTTTGTATATATTTTTTCAAATGTTTTGTTAAAAAATGTTCCATGGTGTGAAAAATTGAACTCAAAATGTCACTTTCAATAAATAAATAAATAGTATTTAAATTTATAACATTTTTTAAACTTTGGTATACCAATAAACCACTCACAAAATTAATAATTTAAGTGAGAAATTCAATTAGTTGTATAAAATTGCTGAGGTCTAATAAAATAGGTATGTAATTTACAAAGTATTAAAAGTATATCATTATTAATTTGTTTTACAGTCGAAATAGAATGCAGAACAAAAATGCCCGGCAGAAAAATGGTGCAAAAGAATCAATGGAGGTCTATTGTCGAGTTAGACCAGTGTTTAGTCAAAATATTGAATTATGTTTGAAAGTTGAACCACCATCTGCTGTCATCCTGACCCCTCCGTCTTCTTACTTAAACCTGAGAAATGCACCTACTAAAGAAATGCATTATACTTTTAAAAAAGCATTTCAAGAACAAGTCAATCAGAAAGAAGTATTTGAGTCAGTGGCCCTGCCTTTGATAGAAAATCTATTAAATGCAAAAAATGGTTTGCTATTTACCTATGGAGTTACTGGCAGTGGAAAAACTCATACCATGATTGGTTCTGGAAAGCATGATGGTATTATGCCACGATGTATTGATACAATTTTTAACAGTATTGGCATGTATAAAACTAATAAATATATATTTAAGCCTGATAAATTAAATGGTTTTGACATACAGAGTGAAAGCGAGGCTATAAATGAAATGCAGCAAGAAATTATTTGTCAAACACATGCTAAAATCAAGAATCCCAAACTGTAATTATTTCACTTTTTTCAAATTATAATTAGATTTACAGCTTATTTTTTAATTTTTAAAACAATTAATTGATTTTTATTTTATTTTCAAGGGAAAGGAATTTTGACCAAAATTTGTTTAAAAGGATTCCTACGGAAACAAAGATCACTAATATTGATGTTGATAATGCATATGCTGTATTTGTGACATTTGTTGAAATATACAATAATAGTGTTTATGATCTACTTGAAGAATGTCCTGATGATGGGCTTCGTCAAAGGTACTTATATATCACTTGTATATGTATTCATTTTTAATATTTGAATGTTGTAGATTTTAGCTTTATTGCTTTTAATTTAGTCTTTCTAAGTAATTGTGATGGCTTGTACATGAATGAAAAACTTCAATTATTGATCTAACCACCTTTTTGTTTTGGATTCAAGTTAGGCCCCGAAAATAGTAGTTACTTACTCCCCTTTACTTTCCAATTATAAAGTTGTTTCAAATTGGATATTTTATAGTAATTATGTTCTAAAGGTTTGTTTATATAAATACTTATACATTTTAGAGGTCCACAAATTAAAATTATTCGAGAAGATGCAGATCACACCATGTTTGTTCATGGTGTGAATGAAGTTGAAGTTTCTTCAGCTGATGAAGCATTTGAGGCATTTTACAAGGGACAAAAAAGGAGGAGAATAGCTCATACCACCCTTAATACTGAATCAAGCCGAGCTCATACCATATTTACTGTTCGAGTTGTGCAGGTGTGTAAAAATATTTTTAAATGAATCGAAAAACGAATGAATGAATGAAAAAATGTTTTCATAATAATAGAAATTTGTTTATTACTTACATTTAAATTTTCTAAACATAAAAAGTAAATTTATTACTTGATCAATATGTGTTATATGTGATTTGTTAATCAAATAAACATTTGTTCATTGAAATCACATATTTCTTAAAGTTTATTTCACTAGACAGATATAGTTTTAAGAACTTTTTACTTTTCTAGATGATATTTTAATTTAATTTATTTGCTGAATTTAAAACCAGAAAAAATTAAATAATGTCATTAAAAAAATTATTTAAAGCAGAATTTAAAAAAACTCTTACCAAACAATTAAAAGTGTTTATACGTGTTTTTTCTATTAATTTCCAGGCTCCCATTGATCAGCACAGACGAAGTGTTATTAAAGATAAAAAATATTTACAAATTGGCCAGTTATCGCTTGTTGATTTGGCAGGTAGTGAACGGACAAACAGGGCTAAGAACACTGGGCAGAGACTTAGAGAAGCTGGTAATTTTTAGTTTGCCTTTTACTTATATTTTTTGGTCTCCAAAGTACTAACTCTCTATTTAAAAAGAATTTCCTTTAAAAAATGGGGTCTGGTAACTGTGCGGGCTGAAGCGCTTGCAATAGGTAATCAAAGTTAAGCAATACTGAGCATTATTAGCACTTGGATGGGTGACTGCCCGATTTGGATAACAATCCACCAGGGAAAGCCATGTTGCCCGAGATTCTCCCTCCTCTCTCTCCCCCTCCCCCCGGGTATTTGAGGCCGAGATTCCCTCCCCTCCTCCCCCCATGGTATTTGAGACCCTTCAGCCTACTGGAGGCAACTCACACCAACCAGGTACTTAAATGAGAATCGGGATGTGGCCTAGGACACCACATCTGACAGTAAAAGATCTTCATGGTTTGTAGCGTCAACTTAAAAAAAAATAAAGTAAAAAACTAAAAATGACATTTATCATAAAGAACAAATTCATATCTATAAAGAATTAATTGAGGAAAATAATTTGTACAGGTGAAATATGCGAGCAATAAATTGTACTCTTGATAAATTAACCTTCCATGTTGTCACTTATTTCTGCCCAGGAAATAAATCAATAAAGCAGTTTTTATTTAAATATGAATTAAACATTACTTAAATAATTAAACTAAAATTATAGCCTAATTTATTTATTTTTAAATATTATTACAGCAAAGGTAGAAAACATTAATAGAAAAATAATAATTTAAATTATGTAACATTTTGATCAAAGTGAAGTGAATTAAGTGAAACCAGGTTTATTCTATTTTTTTCATTTTTAAACTGTTACTGTAAGGTAACTATTAGGAATATGGAAATACACACAGTATTTAGGGTTATCTGGCTACAATATCCTCCAATTAGAATATTTTGAAAGCTATTAAATTTTTTTTTTAAGTTTTATGTCCATTGGTAGCACTTACCTCATGCATCTGGGGTAAGTGCAACCTCACTCTAGGATCCTCCATAAAAGGCAATATAAATGACAGTGGCAGAAGTGTATTATAACTTATTTTTCAATGATCCTGCCATTATTTTTTTCGTTTTTTATATTAATCCATTTGGGAAATAAGAACTTTTTCATGAGTCAATGCGGGGATGGTCGGAAAAATTAAAAAATCAGGTTTATGTGTGATTTATTTATTATATTTAGCTTTTTAAAGAGAGTTACTATGGGACAAGTTCAACGGGCAAGGTTGCTCCGTTACCCCAGTCTTCGTGGCTGCACTTGCCTTATGTGCAATAATGATGGGGCAAGTATAGCCAAGGCTCTCTTTTTAAAATTATTAACCCAGTAGCAAAATAAGGAATATTTCTGAAACCTATACATTAAACCTTATAAAAATACATAGTTTGGTTATTCTGGGTTGAAAGTCAAAAATACAAAAAAAAAAAATACCAAAGTTTCATGGTCGAACTTTCATTGAATGTGAAAATGTAACAATTTTAAAAAACAATATATATAAACTGGATTTTCTCAGGCTCTTTGGTGGACATTTAAAGAAAATGTTCTAAAATTAAAAACAAGTGTTTTTTTTTCTAAAAAATATTCATTTTTTAGGACAAAAACCAGCCATGGCCATACTTGCCCCGTGCACTTACCCTGCTTCACCCTAGTTGATTTTCGGTTGATTAACTGATAAAGATTTCAATTTTTTATTTGAAATATATATTTTTATAAAATGCTATTTTAGAAGTACATATATAATAATACTGTTATTAATTAAGAACTATAAAGTTATAGTTAAATAGTGTTCAATGAAGTGGTATTTAATTTTACAATAACTGGCATGACTATAGTTTTAAAAACATAGGCAAAATATAGTTATATATTCACTGACTAAATCTTAAGATCTCAGAAAAAAAGTGGTATTAAGCTTTTTGGTTTTATTTTATTATGCATAAGATGGTAGGCCTGCTATGTGTCGGTAACAGGAAAAAATATTAACCAAGCATATAAGATATTATTTTATATATCTTTTTGATTTGTTGTTAAAACATTGTTCATTTCATTCATATTTTAAAACAAACATCTAGACCAATTCTGTTTTTTTTTTTTTTTTTTTCAAATAGTAAACAATTAAGTTAAATTTATTTTTTTATTGCAAATAGATTATTGTTATTTTACTTTTTAGGTAATATCAATAATTCTTTGATGACCTTGAGGAACTGTTTAGAATTACTCCGCCAAAATCAGAAAGGTGCAAATAAAATGATTCCTTACAGGGACTCAAGACTAACTCACTTATTTAAAACCTACTTCGAAGGTGAGGGTCAAGTTTCTATGTTAGTTTGTGTAAATCCACAAGCTGATGATTATGATGAAAACCTGGTTAGTATATTCATCTTAAAATTTTACTTAATATTATTACATTTAAAAGTATATCTTATACAAATATTCTTAAATTTTTTAAAAGTATATGTTAATATTATTGTATTTAAAAATAATCTTAAATTATTATTATATTTAAAAGAATACCTTAAAGATCTTAAATGTATATCTACATTTAAAAGTATATCTTAAAGTATAATTCTTAACTATTACCCAAGAATCCATTCATAATCCTAGTGGGAAAATGCCACATTTTATGCTATACCATAAAAACAAGAAGAAATAATACTATTATATTTTGATTTTTAGAACTTATTTGGTTTTAATTAAATTCCTAATTTGTTTAAATTTCCAATCATTTTATGAGTTAATTAATATGGTTCTGTTATTTTGTGTTATAGATTAGAAATATTTATTGTCAATTCATTAAAATCTAAAAACAAATAGGGTAGTTTCTTGTTTTGCTCTTTTAGTTAGTTAAGGCTTATAAGATAAATATGCAAATAAATGTGGAAAACCCCAAAACTATGAGGATTGGCAGGAAACAAGGAAGAGGAGACAGAATAGTGCACTTGAGTGGAGTTTCTTTGGAACAAGTGAAAACTTTCAAATACCTCGGTGCCCACATCAATGAACATGGATGGATCGATGGAGAAATAAAGAAAAGAGTGAAGTCTGCAGGAAGGTGCTTCAACGCCATCAAGAAGGGATTCTTGAACAAGAGAGAACTGAGTAAAGAGACCAAAACGACAGTATATAAAAATACTTTTCTCCTGATAATGACCTACTCCAGCGAGTCATGGACCCTCACCACAAAGCACATCAGCCAGATTCAGGCCATGGAGATGCGATTCTTGCTCAGGGTCGAAGGAAAAACAAAGAGAGATCGCATAAGAAACTCCATAATACGGAAAAATCTGAACGTAAGATCAGCAAAACTGTGATGGAGGAAAATCGTTTGAGATGGTTTGGTCATGTCTCTCGAATGCCAGAGAATCGAATGGCCAGGATAGTGTTGGAAAGTAGAGTGGAGGGAAGAAGACCTCAGGGAAGGCCCAGGAAGACCTGGGAAAACAGTGTCAAGGAGGCCTTTGACAGAAGGGATATTGACTGGAGGAGGAGGCGGCAGTTGGCTCAGGATCGAGAGTTGTGGATTCGGCTCTACAAGAAGGCTCCTCACACCGCTCAGCGGTAGAAGAGGAAATGATTAAGAAGAAGAAGAAGAAGAAGTTAGTTAAGACTTGGATAGAGTTCAATCTAAAGAAATATATTGTATAATTTATATTTATGTATAAGCTGTGTAATTTCATTTTGAAGGGAGTAATTAATTTATTCCAATTGCTAACTCATTTCTTAATTTTTTTTTTTTTTATAGCAAGTAATGAAATTTGCTGAAATAAGTCAAGAGGTTCAAATAGCATTTCCTTCCATGGCACCTAGAGTTAATTATGATTTTACTCCTGAAAGAAGGAGGGCTAATAATGTAATGTTATTTTTTTAATTTTAATTATATCTTTTATTTATTTTAACAACTCATATAGTAACAATGCTTTTATTTATTTATTTTTTTTTATAGGCATTAAAGAAATTTGAAATAGAAAATGATAAAGATGATCAAGAGGTTCCTCCTTCAGTCAATGGGCTTATGAAAAAACCTGTTGAAATGTAATTATTCTTTTATTTATCTAACAAATTCCAGAAAACTCTAGTTTCTTATATTTTTTTTTCAAATTAGATGGACTATTTAATTTAAATACATAGTTGAACTTCAAGTTATATATGTTTATTGTATATATTTTTTCAAAGGTAGTTTGACTAAATAGAATTAGAGTTATAAAATTATTGTTTTATTTAGACATTAGAAATAAATATTTCAGCCCTCAAGTAGTTTTGCAGATATACCTTCATTGCGTTATGTCTCTATGGGTGATGATTTATCTGTCAAAAGAATGAAAGAATATCTCGAAACCCAGTTGCAGTTATATAATAACGTGACTGGAAACATTAGGGAAAGGTGTAAGTTTTTATACAGTATTGATTTATTTCTACTTTTTATAATTTATATACTATTAATAATTATTTTATTAAATTTTTTATAATTTTCTCACAGATCATGATTTTCGAGAAATGATTTCGAAGACTGAAGCTTTCATGGCATCTCAAGAAATTGAATCAATGAAATCTTTTTATGGAAGAGAGAATGAGAGGGTATTTCTTATGTTAATTATTTCATCTTCACATATTACAACAAATTTCAATTTTCAATGTTTTATTTCCATAACTAATCAATTGAATGTCTATAAACAACTTAAGCTAACCTTATTTCCAATGGATGTCATATTTGGGTACCTTTCTTCTATTTAAGGTTTTGTAAGTTCAGTTGGCTCATGACCACAAAAATTAATATTAGTTGTTTAAAAGCCAGAAAAATCTCCATCTTTCCAAGAAATTGATTTCTCATTTAATCCTGATATTGAATAATTTTATTAGGATTATCCTCTCATCTCATTTTCTTTTTCAGATTTTTGAACATTTGGTGGTGTGGAATAACTTTTTCAGTTCACTAACAGATCCTTGTGAATTAATTATTCCCGTACTAGGATGATTTTTTTTTAGTGTAAAAACTTATTCTACCTAATGAATTAAAATTGTATTTAATTTTGTGTAAAATCTTAGGGAGAAAAGTAAAATTATTGTGTTATATCTAAATTCTTGGCTCTTCTGTGGTTCCAACCATTCCAAGCTTAAGATTACACCTAGTTTTGAATTTCATGTTAACTTAAGTCAAACAAATGATCCTATTAAGATCGTACTATAACTTTTTACTTTCACTTACATGTTTTCAACGGAAATACATGTTTTGGGGTACCCTGATTCCAAATAACCAAGTCCCGAAAAATGGTCTGTGTGTCTGTGTGTATGTGACCACTCTAGCTCAAAAACAAAAAGTCCTATGAAACTGATATTACATGTTTAAGATAGGTATATGCCTTAGATGTGACAGCAACTTTTTCCTTAAAATCGGCTAATCGGAAGTGTCACTTTTTATCAACGCTGAAACACATTTTCACAATTTTCTCAAAAACCGCTGTAACAATTTTTTGGATTAATTTTTGTATTCATATTGAAATGTTGTTAATTAAAATCTTTATTTTAGGGTAATGTTTTATCAACAACTGGACAGCGTTCAGATTAAGTTCAGTGACGTTGAAATTTTGAAACGAAAATCCCTATCATCATCACCCATGAGGAGAAATAATGATTTAGCAAACCATGCTCAAAATGCTTGTTCAGTATAGCATGGTAGGTCACTTCGTTTAAAAAATGTCTTTTTGAATTGTAATTTTTATTGAAATAGAAAATTGTTATAATTTTAATTTTAGTGGTGGTAGGATTTATTAATTTTAATTTACTAACAAAATAAATGAATTTTAATCTATTATGATCTATGTAATAATTTATTATGAATTAACTAAGTTTTTGCGATAAATATAAAGTAATGTGTATATGAATTGTTTTTAAATATTTGAAATGTCATCGATCTTTTAATTATTTATTTTTAAAAATTATAAATAATTGTCATTTTCTTACTTCAAATTGAGATAAGCAAATTACAACCACAATAAATATAATCATGAGCTAAGTATTAATGATTAATTAACACCCAGCTGTTTAACATAGATTTAAAAAAAACTATAAATTTATTTTTATAAATTAATATATCTAGAAACTATGATTTTCAAAGAAATTGTAGTACTTGATATAGCAGAACTAATTCCAAACTACTATATCAACATCCTATGTCTGCAAAATCCAATTGAACCATTTTTTCTGTCCATAATTTTTTTTGTGTACCTTTCTTCACTATATATGAATATTATGAGTTATTTATTAATTCCGATACAGGGGGAAAACACCTTTACATAAACATAAAATACATTTATACTTTTTTGGACAGTACTATTAACTGGGAAAATCCTTCATTATATCTTACAAATCAAGGATATATTACTACAATACATCCAGCAGTAATTGATCGATTCCTCATCATTCTGAATCTTTGTTTATGGAATGCAAATAATTTGATAACTATAATATTCAAGATGTGTAATATATTTACATTGTTCCTTACAGTTACAAAATTATAGTGACTATTGGCTTGTAATGAGATAAACATAAATAAGAGATGACAGTTAGTACAAACATAAAGTAGTTTGAGTGAAGGTATACAATAGTTAGACAAATAATGTTTACAATACAGACACTTGTAATCAATTGAAATGATAAGTAGTACAATATATTATAAAATGTTTTAAGAATAACAATCTGTTGATAAAAATTATTATATAAAGGGTTACATAGTATTAATAGTATAAGTATAAACACATCTGTGCCTGTTTATTATAGTAATTTGTATATATTTATATTGGTGGGTAATTGGTTGACTGGGTGAATATTGAAGAGAAGAATAGTTGGGGTGAGCAGTCAAATAAGAAGGCAAAAATAAACGATAATATTATTAATATTATCATTTATTTTTGCCTTCTTATTTGACTGATCACCCCAACTATTCTTCTCTTCATTGTATATATTTAGCTATCTTAAACCTAGCTTTATATTTAGCTATCTTAAGTTACCTTAGCTATCTTAAAAGAACATCTGGAAAATCCTCCAAGGACCCTTTCACTTACCAACCAAAGTGCCAGTACTTGAATACCTTCAGTGCTGGAAACAAGGTTAGTAGGAGTAAATATTATATTTCTTATAAATTGATTATATACATTATTTAGTTTGTACAACTTATTACATTTTCCATTTGTCTATTTCATGTATCATCCATCACTATTTTTTCATTAATAACCATTACATATCTTCTAATATTTAAATAATCATTATCTGTCTTATAATATTATATCTCTGATTGTACTAAACAATTTTCAGTCCTGATGATGGCCCACATGCTTGGGTTGAAACGTTGGTACTAATAAAAAACATTAAAAATGACTGTGTCCTGACTGTTTAGCACCTATTATATGTAGAACAGTTGATTAATTTTCTTTAAAAAAAAATATTTCAATGTAATTTTTGGTTCTCTTGACCTTGCCTAAATTACTGATATAAAACGTTTTTTATTGAGTCGGCAAACTTTAGGTTGCTCCTCATAGCAAGAATTATATTTCTGGTCCTGATTAGAAGATGCAGTGGCGTGAATAACACCAATGCAATGGATGTGATGCATGCATTAGGGTGCAGAGTCTGTGGCTTATGTTGCATACTTTTTTATAAATTAAAGTAAAGTCAAATTCGCCGATCGTTTTAATTAAACTCACCATAATGGAACTTCGTAAGACGATATTCACTTCCGGACGTCTCTCTAAATCTAATTTACTAATTCACTAGTCACGTAATTAATTAATAACAAATAATTCATTAATTCATTTTTAGAAAAAGGACCTTTTATGTCTAACACTTAGAATCGGGTAAAAGAAGCGTTTTTGTGACCGCACCCATCACACCGCCCATGCGACGGCCCTGTAAGACTTCCTTTGGAAAAGGGAAGCGCACCAAATAGGGTGCGAGGTTGCCGAGCAGGCTAATGCTTGTGCACAATACGCTTTGCCTATAAACTGATAAACCAATGTTTAAATAATAAAATATTAGGCGACTTTAACGTCCAAATTTTCAAAGAAGCAGAACTCAGGCCTAGTATCGAAAAGCGCAGCCTCCATGACTGAACAAATGACAAAATTAGAATGGCCTCAAAATCATTAAAAGATAATGAGCACTGTGTTCCCCCACAAAGACATCCATTGAACCAAATTGACTATATTCTCATTACAAACATGCACAGTGATAGTGTAAGTGACGTCATATCACTCAGAGCTCCCGACATAGTCTCAGATCACTATCTTGTGGTAATGAAGATTAAACAGCGCATTAAAAACAACTCAAAAGTGAACAATGGAGTTCAATATGGAATCTGAAACTCCTAAAAGTGGAGGAAGGAAGAAAGTTATTCTAGAATAGAGTCCGAAAAGGGTTAAAGCAAATTCCAGTGGAGGTAGAAAAAGGCAAGAGCTTAGAAAGAAGATTGTCAGATATAAAGAAAATAATGATCAAGACCATAAAAGAAATATATGGGGGGAAACCAAGATATCATCGGAACTACAGGTTTGATGCAGACTATAAAATCGCGGTAAGCCTGAGAAATTTTAAAAGAATGAGACGGCTGGAGAGAAATATTGGAACGACTATATTGGAAAACTACAAAAATGCTAGAGCCGCTGCCAAAAAAATGGTGAAAAGGAAGAAAAGAGAGTTCATAAAGAAGGAAATAGAGGTAATAGAGAATACCACAGCAAATAACGAAACCAGAAAATTTTTCAAGAAAATTGATAATGTCAGGAAACGTAATATGAGTCAGAGAAGCACTATAAGGAGTAAGAAATGAAGAACAGTAATAAAGGAAGGTGCGCGAACCAGATGGAAAGAAAAAAAAAAATTTTAAATGTAAGTGAAGAAGCGTCAACAATAGAATTTCCAGAGTAGAAATAGAAGAGATTCCACTAGAAAAGTATGAGGTCGAAAGCATCATTGAAAAGTTGAAAAATAATGAATTATCTGGTCCGAATGGAATACCGTTTTTTTTTTTAATGTATTGTTTAATGTTAAATTTGGTGTTGATCATTTTATGGCAAATAAAAATGTAAATGTTTGATTGTTTAAACTCTTAAATCTCAGAAAGTTCTTAACCCATTGCCTTGAAATTTTAGCTAGTTGCATTTAAATACGCTCGTTGTTTAATATATCTACTATTATAAAATATAAGGTGAAACTATAAATATTTATTAAAAACGCACCATCAGTTGGATATAAAAGCAACACATGCGATTTAAAATATTTTACGATACTGTTTCAGTTTTAAAGATTTTCAAATATCAATCCTGGCAATGCATTGAAATTGTGCAATACCATTTATCATAACGTTCATTTCGTGTGCATTAGAGCTGCCTTCCACCTTCCTCAAAAGATTTCGCATACCTCTCCTAAGATAGTTAGTTGATTGCTTGCTTCTTCTTGATAACAACTTGATTAAATATAGAGTTGTACAAATTGTAGTGGAAAAATAAACCATATTCATGAAAGAAATCCTACGGTAAAGGGCACAACCTTATTTCAACATAATGTTAGAAAAGAATTTATTAAAAAATAAAATAAACTAAAATCAATAAAAAACTGATTTCTAAAAGGTACATAAACGGTGATAAGTATTACTCAAAAGTTAAATATTTTTAAATAATAGCAAATCAAATATTTGAAATTTATCAAACTATTTCCAGAATACTTTGGGAGGAAAATAAAAAATGAATATAATGAGCGTATAGTATTGACCTACATAAGGAGAATCATATCACGTCTTCAAATGATAATTTCATTACATTACACAATACTGTAGTAATTATAAAATTTTCGATTAATCAATAACAAAAAAAAAACGTCTGCCAAGTAAGGTCAGTATAGCTTCCTCACCGTTTCCGTTGTATATTACAAGGTATACAATTTTTCGTATGAGAATAAAATCTCTGAGAGAAGCAGAATCGGAATAGCCGATTACAGTTACCCTTCAACATTCAACAAAAGAGGATCGTATTTGAATATTCCATAGTTGATTATGCTTAATAAAAAAATAAATAAATAAAAAAAAATGCATACTGAACATGAATTTCAATACTGTTAGTTCAAAAGGTCTTATGTATAAATTTATTTATTGTTTTACAAGAGTGCATAAAAACTCAATATTTCATTATGCTTTATTAGAATAATTTCATATTTTATTTTCATCTGCTATTTTCCATAGTAGCAGACTACTTATATCAGTTGCAGACTACAAAATATCACCTTTAATACACATATAATTAAAGTTGAAAATTATTACATACGAACTTATGCTCTAATAATAGTATGTACATTACCAAATCGAGATTTAATTTTGGAGGAGGGGCTTCAGCACGAAAGATTTATATATATATATATAATGATAATTAATTTGAAAAAAACCACTGCAAATTATTTCTCTTTGGTATATTATTTCCAAACAATTATACATATAAAGTAACATTAAATTCCTAGTTATAAAGAAAAATAAATAAAAGGTGATTCTAATTATTGGACTAAAATTTTTTTTAATCACTAGTAATATGCTAAAAAAAAAAAGCATTACTTCAGTAACACATTCAGAAATAAAAAAAAAAGATAAACCTTTTGCAATAGCACATCTAAAAAAAAACTAGAGACCATATCTTTGCTCCTAATTGTCCGATTTTGACGAATTTTTTTTTGTTTTTTAGGAAATTCCGTAAACTTCTAAAAAACCATATACAATATTGACATAAATGTGTATACTTCTTGAGTTATTCGGAATTTAATTTTAGCAGCGCAGGTTTTTCGGCCGCCATTTTGAAACTAGAAGGCGGATAGTAATGTCGTTGAAGGAGGATGATCCGCGGGTGACCTCTGATTTTATATCCAAATTCGAAAAAAATCGGTCTAATAGTTTAAAAAAAAATGCGCGGACGGCGGACGGCGGACTAGTAGTGCACATATAAGAGAAAGTGTTGGACACAATTCAATGAAATTGACACTGCATTATTTTTTCACCAAAGTCTACCTTTTATCTAACTTTGAGCCAAATCGAACGAGCCCTTTCTGAAATATTGGCATATCTAAAAATATACGTTTGCGCGTGCGTAAGCGGAAGTGCTAGGTGGAATTTGATAAAATTGATATGGGACCATCTAGGCACCAATCAGCATAACCCCTGAAAATTTCAATAAGATTGGATGAACAGTACTAGGTGATATGCCCGTCACATCGATTTGACTACAGACAGACAGACAGACAGACAGACAGACAGACAGACACCGAACCAAATTTGATCCTTGATGTCTGAAACGTAAAACGCGAGTGAAAATTTTCGATTCTGAGCAAAAAATTTTTTTTAATCTCTCGCACGAACACAATGCTTCCCTACCTTCGGTAGTGAGGAAGCAAAAAAAGAAAAGGAAATGGCATTTTCTGAAGAGAAAGCAGTAAATGTTTAAAACTATCTAACTGCAACGAATCGTCCGATTTCGATGATTTTTTTTTTATTTTGTAGGAAATTCAGGAATCTGTCAAATAAATATGTGTATCATTCATCAAAAATTGTGTACTTTTTTAGTTATCGGCAAATAAAATTTTGAATTCATCGTAACATTTTTGCAGCTTGTTTTCGGGAAAGTATGTTATATAAATAAAATAAAAGGGTTTCAAGGGGAAGACTTTAGCCAAGTTTCGTTAAAATCGTTACAGCCGTTTTGGCTCTCCAGTTTATAGCGGCACATTTTTTTGCGGCTTTGAACAAAAAACATTTAAATTTTTATTTTTTTTTACATATTTAAAATTATCGTAAGGCATTAAATAATACGCCAGAAACCTTCGCAGCAGTGTACGGAACAACTTCCCAAAATTTCATGACAACCGGATAAATGGTTTAGTAATGCATACAGGAAATATAGGATATTTGACGATAAAATTAAGGATCCTGATGTGGAGCATGAGTTGTTATTCTACTACTTTATTGTGAATTATCAACACCGATGTTACATGACTACGTTCTGCTTGAAATAATAATAATAATGATAATCTTTTAAAATAAGGACTTAATTGGCTGTTTTAGGAATATGGTGGGATCCTCAGTCATGCCTCTAATTTCATCTTGATTCTTGATTTACTTTCTAGACTACCTCCTCTATCTTCCCTGCTATTCGGTCATGAATTATTTCTTCATCACTAAGCTCTGGTTTCAAGACTTCTCTTACGACGACTTTCAACTAACTTTTCCACTCGACATACTTCCAACAAAAAAATTTCATTCTACTTTTCTCCACAATTCTTTCAGACCTTTCTTATTGATAGAATTTTATTCAATGGAGAAGCTTCTTATCTACCTGTTTGTGAAATTCCAGAGTCTTTTGATTTTCTGAAGCAGACCTCGTTTATATTACATTTAGACTCCCTATGTGGATTGTCAGAAAATATTGAAGGGTGGAACTCAACAGGTATTTCGCAGGCCCTTGTGTTCTGCCCCAAGTTTACCTGCAATATTATGCACTGGCTATTTTTTTCCTTCACTACACCGACTTTCTTAATATTTTAATTATTTAAATATATTACAATTCCCACATCACCATCCTCGATACATAGCACACAACTCGATAGTAACAGTTTTGTGAAGCTGTATTATTTTAAATTGGGCTTTATAAAAACTATATTTTATATTTGACAGGCTACCAAGAATGAATTTATGACAATAAGTGGAGTACTTAGATCATTAGGGACTCGGGGTTAGATTATTTTTAAAGACTCCTGATAACAACAACAAAATAAACAAATAATCTGTAATTACCAATAACCTTTTATATCAAATAAAAAAAGTAATTTTTTTATGATTTTTATCTAATGGTGTGTTTATTTTTTGAAAGGCTAGGTTGGATATTAGCCCACGGAAAATATATAAATTAGGCTCTTTCACTAGCGGGTCCAGGATTTCATTTTGGGGAGCTTAAGTCGGAAAGATTTTTCTTTTTTAATTTATCACGATAATTACTATCGAAGAAAAAGAAAGAAACTAACCACGGGCGGATCTACGGGGGGGGGGGAGCTTTCGGGCTGAAGCTCCCCCAAAATGGTAAAATATAGGCATGTTTTATCGAAAAAAATATTAAAAAAGAATCTCTGAAAGTATTATTGTTTGTGTAATTATATTTAAAATGGCTTTAGGAATCACTTAAACACCATTTCATACAGGTAGTTAGTTTCTTTCTTTTTTTCCAAAGTAATTATCGTTATTTTTATGAAAAAAACATCTTTCGGGCTGAAGCCCCCCCCCCCAAAATTAAATCCTGGATCTGCTAGTGAAACTAACTAACCATACGAGATAGTGTTAAAGTGATTTTGTAAGTCCTATGCAATGTAATTACACAAAAAATAATATTTTTAGAAATACTTTTTAAATATATTTTTAATAAGCCATGGTAAAATTTTACCATTTTTGGCTGGGAAGATTCGGCCCGGAAGTTCCACCCCACCCCGTAGATCCACCTGTGGGCTTTTTTTTTTTTTTTTTTACATATCAATAAGTAATAACGTTTTATCAAGAAAAAAACGTTTTTATAATTTCGCAAGATTAAATGTTTAGTTTACTAAATTTTAATCATTTTTTAAAAATCTCCTCTGGATTAACTAGAAAATCCAGGTCGTTTTAGAGAGACTGTGAAGTAATTTCTTAACGATAAATGATGTAAGAGCATACAGCTAAACAAAACTTCATCTATCCATTATGTATTGTTTTCTTTTTTGTTTAATAATCTCTTAGTAGATTGTGAGGGAGTGAGAGGTAATTAGAAAGAATAATCGATGAGTTTATTCATCGTTAGTAATATATTGATCAAAATTCAACAATACTTACACATAAATAGAAATATATTAATTTTTACTAATAAAAATTATGTATGAATGTGAAAATTTATGTATTTCAATTGGGGTTATTTCAAATATATCGATAAGCGAAGTAAGAATCATTTGATTTATCAACAACATAATTTTATATCGATACATCGAATAAAGTTGATATCGTATTAAGTTAATGATATTGTGTAGTTGTTATCTCTTAAGTGTGACGTGACTTTACTTCAACGTATAACTGTTGGTCAATTTCTAAATGAAAGAAAGATGAGTGATCTTGGAACTTGGTATAGATCAATTCCTACATTTACAAGATACTGGCTGACTCTAACAGTCGGTTTTACATTAATTGGAAGATTTGGTGTATTTAAACCTTACCAATTAGTATTATTGTATGAGCCGGTTATACATAAATTTCAGGTAAATAATTAATTTATACTTCTTTAAGTTAAAATCAACACACTTGTGGTTATAAATAATTTTTATTTCTGTTTTGTCTGTATGCATTCACCGATTTGAGATATCACAGTGTGAGAACATTAGATATCCATTTCCTTCCTAACATTTTTAATTTTGTAATGTAACATTAAATCTCGTTGGTAATAACTGTGGTTGTTGTCACGTGAAAAATTCTGACTGCTCCAATTTTCAAAATATAGTTGGGCCTACTGATTTCTGTTACCCTTTAATGTTAATTCTAATAATGTTATGTACATATCCTCGACTCAATGATACTAATAAGTTTGATTTTAAATGTGTCCAAACAATTATGTTCTAACTCAATCTTTGGTTCTTGGTCTTGGTTCTATAACTAATTCACTTATATCATGTCTGGTAGAAGGTAGTTGGTTTAAGATTATACTACGCATATAGTAGATGGAATTCCAATTGTAACCAAATGTCTATGTTCATGGGTGGGCTTGCCACACTCTTAAATGATAAACACCAGGACCACCAATAGATCCTTCTCATTGAAGTCATTGCCTTGCTAGAGATTAGTAGCTTTTGTTAACTTTCTAACACATTCTGCTAATTTCAGGGTTTTAAATACAATGTGATCTATCAGATCTCTACAGAACTATTCCGTAGCTACTTAGTCCACTAACTTAATAGAACTTAGTCGTTGACTAAATAAGTGCAGATTTCTTTTATCATATTTTTAAAAAAAGTTTATGTGTTAAGAAAAAATCTAGTTCATTTTTTAATTGTTTACCCCATCTAGCATTGCATCAGACATGACTCAGCAAGTTACCAACTAATATATGATTTTAGATTTCGCTTATATATTTTTTGAAGATTTGTTAGAACTTGTGCAATCTTTATTAATTGAAGAGAAGTTGTTTGGTGTTCAGTCATACAAGTAACAAAGTAAAAATAAATTATATTTGTTTTTGCCGACATTTCAGCCCAAGGGTCAGGCCTTCATCAGGGCTAAGAAAAGACAAGATAACATAGATATGAGAAACTAGTAAACGGTAAAGGATATAGTGTAATAACATATAGTATTTATTTATTTTTACTTTGTTACTTGTTCGACTGAACATCCCAACCATGTTCTCATCAATATATCTACGAAATTCAATTATTAATCCACTATCATGAATCTTTATTAATGTTGTTGATATCATACATTACTGATAATCACCATCTTGTAGACTGATTACAATGATCACATTTTCCATACTGGACACTTGATTTCTTATAGTGATTAATTGGTGTTTCCTTGTCTGTTAAAGTACCTGACATTTTTGCTCATTTTTTAAAAATTGAACATATTCCTTGTTCTACAATCTCTTGTACTTTGAATATGGGTTGCCCTATTTATAATTTTTTCAGTGTTCAAGATAAGATGGTAAAAACTACAAATTTATTTAATTAATTTTTGCTTCCCTTTGAAGAATTGAATCTATCCTGATTATAATTCTGTCTTCTTACATTTTTATCCCCTATATTGTTTCCAGTTTAGAGGCTAGTCTATTTCAATAGAATTGAATATATTTATACACCAGATTTATTTTTTATATATTTAGTTATTAACTAGTAAAGAGAATAAAGGAAGTTTAGTTGCCATGTATTATCTAAGATGAGTTTGCTAAATCAAATAGCCTTCTTCTGGTGCCTTAAATACACTTAAGGCTCATTTACACATGGCACTTTGCATGATAGAATTGTCAAGACTGTGAGAAAGAACAATGCCTATGTTTCACTAAGACATCAAACCTGCTATCAGTTGGGTGATCCAAACGTCTGTTTTTATGTTTACTTTAGCAAAGAAATCTTTTAAATGATAATGAATGAACCCAGAAAATTAATTTTATTAACTTAATTATTGTTGGCTAAATAAGTAAAAATAAATTTATATACAAAACTGAAGAAATTTAAAATGCTAAAAAAATTAAATGTAATCTACACCTTTTCTTATGTTAATCATTGTAATTGGTTTGTTGAAATGTTTATTAATTGAGTGACATACAAGTATTGTAAGTGACTATCATTATAAATAGTTGATAATTGATTGCATTTTATAAATATGATTTAAACTGACCGATTTTAAAAAGAAGTAAGTTGTTATTCATTACCAAGATTACCTAGTCATGTTCGTCTGAAGCATCTGTGGTCTGTCTCATGCTTCTTTTACATGTCACAAATTTCTTGAAACATCCAAGGAGCATATATAAATATAGTTAATGTAAACTTGAAGACATGATGGCTGAGCACTTTGAGGTATGGGTCTTATAAAGTGCCCGGTTCCGATTGTTGTGGATTTATTTTTAAAGCTGTTAGTTAATACTTATTTCTTGGCGTCCTCAGGAAATGAAACTTGACACTCACATTTGGTAAGTATGTGGCGGCAACCTCTAGATAGCTGTTAGGGGTTAGGAAAAAGGACTATTAGGCCCACTAGTTTTCCTGCTGTTGGACTGGCTTCCTCCTCCAGCATCATTATCAATAATCTAAACCAGAAATCTCCAAATGTTTGATCCATGGGCCACATTGAGACCTCCACAAATTTTCCAGCCATGACTCCATGGCTTGTGAAAGCTTATTTTTATAAGTGAGTTTTCAGTTGTGAAATGAGCTTTTTAAGAGAAACAATCATGCAATAAATATTGTAGTAGCTTCATGCTTGTGTTATATACTAAATTTTACATTATTTAAATAGTTTTTAAAACTTTACCATGTAATCAAAGAAACTTTCGCTGGCCAGATTAGAGGTGCTTGCAGGCCATAGTTTGGAGACCTCTGATCTAATCTTAATTTAATTATTATAGAAATATAGTGGTTCACAATTATAATTATATTTCTTTATTGGCTTATTGAATATAATTGTTGTAGATATGGAGGCTACTGACTGCAGTTTTTTATTACCCACTGTCACCTGCTACTGGCTTTCATTTTCTTATCAACTGTTATTTCCTATACAGCTATTCAGATCGCTTGGAAAGAGGTATGAATTTTTTATATTTTAAAATTTACATTACCATTACTGTAATTAATTTAAACACATAATATAAAACAAGTTAATATTAATAAGCATTTTAAATTCCCACAAAGGCTAGATAGCCTCCAGGTGGCTACGTATTAAATTATAATTCTGAAAGTGAAAAGAAGGTCTCTTTTAGTAGAAAATTTATTTATAAACACCATAAATTATGTTGAAAATTTCCTCATTATTATGATTATAGTTGAGAAACAATATAATACACAAACAACCAGAAAAACTACAGAAAAATTATTAAGGATTATATTTTATATCTTTATTTTCTGGACCTATTTTTTAATTTCCTGTTTTAATCTTTGAAATTTAGACAAGTGTACTTGTTTGAGGCGGTAAACTGTTTTAGACTGATTAAAGAAGTATGCATTTATCCTAGTGTAATAATAGTCGTCGTAACGTCTATCCCACGTATCCACTTTATCAACCTAACATATGTTTTATTAATAAATAATCAAAATCAAAACATTTATTATTGATGTATACAATTTAGACGAACAGACTATAAAAAGCTCAATGAAATTTCTAAATAAATAATAGACTATAGATAATTAATAAAACTTAATCTAAGGAGTAATCTAAACTTAACTATTTATAACTAAACAACAAGAACTTACGGACTAATCTAAAGCTGTTATAAAATTTACTAACTAATATAAATCTGAATAACGTAAAAAATATACCAAAGACTTCATCCATATAAGTATGCTTCTTCCAGCAGTTACAGAGATAGAGAGAGAAGACAGAACTAACGTTTCCTCCAACCCACGTAGGTCTCTTCACCTTTTCCAATCACTGTTCCCTTCAATCTCCTAAAAACATCTGACTCTCTCTCTCTCTTTACACTGCCTTAATGGCGCATTCACTGCCACATAAATTAACTCTTTTGTTTTGTGCACTACGCTAGTGTCTAATTTTTATAAGTAATTTGAGATTACATTTACTAAAGAATTTACCAGAAAATCTCAGATTGAGTCAAGCCTCAAAGACTGGAGGGAAGGTGGAAGGACTCGATGGACGAGGTCTTAAGAATGATAGGCATAGCTGGCAGACAAAAATCTTAACTAAAATGATTTGAAAAAAAGCAGTTGGGAGGACCTAGGGTAACTTCAGCTTTATGGGCCTTGTGAGCTGATACTTATACATACATTGATTTTGTTTAAAAGAGCCAAGATTAGTTGTACAGGCTGCTCAACAATTTTTGCTGGTTTATCAGTTAAGTTGGTTGTTGCTGTTGCTACAAATGCTGTGGAATTTACTATTGTATAAAATAGTGGTGATTAGTGGTTTAAATCTTGTAGAGATTTTATTTTAAGATCTATCTTCAGTTGTTATTGCTTGTTAAAGGCCATAAGAGTATTTCCTTTCCAAAGGTGTCAAATTGCCAATTTACTTCTTTAATCTAAATGGTGGTATGAAAAAAAAGGCTAAAAATGAACTTCTAAAGCAGGAAAAGTTCTATTTGTAATTTTAACATCATGGCAATTTGAAATTGAGGATGCTGATATAGGGCATGTTTAGTTATTCAACTACTTTATGGATTGCCATCACGGATATTATTTGAGTACGTTCTGAATGAATGCTTTGATTTAATTGGTTGTAAGAATATGATGAAATCGTCAGCTACTTCCTTCTAGTTCCTGTCACTACTCTCATCTTGAAGTACCTATAAACTGTCTGTTCTGTCTTCTCAATCATCCTGGCATCAAATTCTTTATTTTTCACTTAGCTCTTTTTCCATCCTCCTCATACAACTTCAACTGATTTTTCCGTCCAAAGCAATTCTCCAATGGACTTCCCTAACCACCAACTCTCTTTCTTTTCCCAAAAATATTTGTATCAATATTTCATCCCGACTCCTTTTTAGCCTTTCCTGATGGCCAAATTTTGTTACAGGGCGAGACTATCCCTTCCTCTCCTTTTATTTAGCTGGTTATTGTTAATTTGTATATAAGTTGGTTGTTCACTTACAACATTTGTGATGACCTATTATTAAACTTGTTTCTAGCTTTTATTTAAATTGTTACTTACTATACCTTTGAAGTTGAACATTTATATTAGATAATTTGTAATACTTTTAAGAAATAATTATATGCTATAATTTTTTAGGAAAATTTGATGGAAGACCAGCGGACTACTTGTTTCTTCTCACATTTAATTGGTTGTGCTCTGTCATTTTAGCTATTTTGCTAGAAGTTCCAGTGAGTTTCTTATTTTTTATAAAAAATTATGTTTTATTTTTAAATAATAACCTGTACGTTCATTGTTGTAAATGCTTGTGTATACCTTTCCATAGCATAGTAACTCTTTAGATCAGGCTTGACCATGGCCTGCCTTTGGCCAAAAAAGTTTCAATATTTCTCGTATTCATACCAAAAAAATAAAGAAATATTTCAATAACTTATGTTATAAAAGGTAAAGGTGACATTTATTATCCACTTATGTATTTATTACTGTAATTACTTATTAAAAAAAAAAGAAATAAAAAATAATCAACTTCTTGTGTTAATAAATAAATTAATTAATAAAGGATATCAGTCATGGAATAGGCCAGTTTTGTGATGGTTTTATAAAAAGAAAAGTGAAATTCCAAATGTTGATAGCTACTGAAGACTTGTGCAGAAAGGATTTTTAAAAATCATGTAATACATCTAACTTATTTATTTATAATCATTCTTTTGTTTTTTACATTCTAATTAAGTAATTAATGTGGATTTTATTTATTTACACTTGAAATCATTATTTTGTTGAATTTTGGAATTGCTTTTACTTTTGACGAGGCATTGAACCTTAAAAGTAAGAATTAGCTAACAAATTTTCATTATAAAGGAAGGAGATGGTTCGGGGTGAGGGTCTTAAATAGGCTAAGTAGTGGTAAAACTATTTTATTAAAAGCCAACGTTTCGATCCGACTTTGCAGGTCTTTTTCAGGGCTAGAACGGACAAGATACAAAAAGATTGAATTGTGGCAGTTACTGTTCTAGCCCTGAAGAAGACCTGCAAAGTCAGGTCGAAACGTCGGCTTTTAATAAAATAGTTTTACCACTATTTAGCCTATTTATGACCCCCACCCCAAACCATCTCCTTTCTTTATAATGTAACGGTCAACTATTAAATATTAAAAATTTTCATTATGTATTTCATTATTTCTAATGAATACAACTTTTATGGGGATACAACTTTTATTCATTCCGGTATTCTCTATCCATTCTCAAGTTCTAATTGTACAGTTTATAAGAAGCCAATCAAAACCATTCTATGGTTCTGATTTGTTGAAAAATTGAGCTCAATAAATTTATGAAAAGTGCCTTAAATTTTATACTTCTGTAAAAGTAATTTCTTTGAGAGCCTTGAATTATGGCTGAATTTATGTATGGTATATTGCTCTGGGGACCATGAAGATAGCATACCATCAGTACTATGTTAAATCAGTATAAGTCAAGCATTGGTTTACATCAAATATTCTATGGTTTTGGAGGGATATAAGAAACTACTGAAGTTGCAACTATATTGTAATATTATGTTTGATTTTCTATAGGTCTGTCTTCTAAGAAATTATAGGTAATAAAAAAATTCAAACATTGGTTATAGCATTAATAAACTGAATCATTTTTACCAATAGTTGTTGATGGATCCAATGGTGCTAAGTGTACTCTACATTTGGTGTCAGTTAAACAAGGATGTGATGGTCAACTTTTGGTTTGGCTCCAGATTTAAGGCCATGTATCTGCCTTGGGTTCTTCTTGCCTTCAATGCTATTGTTATGGGAGGGTAAGTTTATACTTGTCATTGAAGTATTATAATTTGTTTTCTCTTTTATTTTCTTAGTTCTGATTTGCTTTTGCCATATCCAAAATATATTATAGTATTATTGTGAAAAGTTCGCTATAATCTTGAATTGTTTATCATTTTTTATTTCTAGAGGTATCATGGAATTGCTTGGAATTGTGGTCGGTCATTTGTATTTCTTCTTGATGTTTAAGTATCCCCAAGAGCTAAATGGACCCCAGCTAATCTCTACACCAGAAATATTGTGAGTAAAATGGACTTAGTTTATTAATTATATTTATATATTATAGGAGCAGAACAACCCACAATATTTTATTTATTTATTTAATTTTATCCACAATCTATATCACATGTAAATAACATAATGTGTTCAGATTATTATTGTTATTAAAATATTGTGTTGATTAGAAAAAAATCTATAATTTTCTTTAAAGATATTTAATAAAGTTAATCAACCTTAATTTAATCAATATTACTACTTAACAACTAGTAATATTAGTGACCCCGACGTGATTAATAACTATAATGCAGAGTGGAAGCAACTTAGATATTCCAGAAATGACTGGAAATCAACAATCAAAAGAAAAATATCTTGAAGTAAGCAAAGTCTCCATTAAAATACCACCATTTTGGCACCATCAATAAGGATAAAGTAGCAGAAGCCCAAGCCAGTGATCCTGAATTTCTGTCACTGAAGAATGGTAAAATATCTGTGGAACTTAAACCTTATCAACTGCCAGCCGAGTGGAAACAGTATGTGGTGTGACATTTCTACTGAATCTGTAAGACCTTTCATACCTCAAACATTTTGTTGATTGTTTTCTAAACAAATTCACAATTTAAATCACATAGGTGTAAAAGCCACTCAAAGTTGGTGCTCGTTTTGTTTGGCCAGATCTTAAAAAAGATGTACGTGATTGTGCAAAATCGTGTGTAGCTTGCCAAAAGTCTAAAGTAAGTAAGACACACAAAACCATGATATGGAATATTTCTACCGCCAGATGAGAGATTTTCTAATGTACACATCAATCTGATTGGCCCGTTACCTCATTCAAATGGTAACACCTAACTACTGACTTAGATAGACCGTTTTACAAATTGGATGGAAGCCATACCACTTGCAGAAATCAATACAGAAGTTGTCACCAGATCATTTTATGACAAATAGATTGCACGCTTTGGCGTTAATTGGATGGCGTGTGTATGTTATCAGTCTAGCTCAAAAACGAAAAGTTGTATGAAAATGAAATTGCATATTTAAGGTTTTTATAAGCTTTCGATCTTAACACAACATTTTCTTCAAAATCGGCATACCGGAAGTGCTACTTTATTTATAATCAATTTAATAACTGCTCAAACGATTTTGATTAAACTTCGTATATCAGTGTATTATTAAGCAGTTTTTTAATATAATGTAGGTTTTTTTTTCTCATTTATGTTCTCAGGGCTTATATTATTAACAGGGCTTATATGGCTAATTTTCAATATTACCTTCTCTAAAGTATCTAATTTTTTTTAATTTTAAATAATTAACCATTTCACATTAATCTTTGGTACAAAAAATAGTTAATATAAAATATCGAAGAATTTGATAATTAACTAAAGGAGATGTAAGAGATCCTCATGGATATAGTTTTAATGGAAGAATCAAAGGAATATGAGCGCATCTGAGCTCACCTGAAAGAGTACAACAGGCCTCAATACGTAACATGAGCTTAATATAATATGAACTCTCACAATATTATGTATAGGCAGTTTTCATAAATGCTATCGTTGGTATTATTTAATATTTAATTGTATAGAATACAGTGATAAAAAATTAAAACTTGTCTATATAAGAGTATTTAAACACATAAAAATACCCACAATGAAATATAAATAAATATAGCATCTATAATTTTTACTTTCACTTCCCCTTTGTCTGAAAATACTTATTTCTGCTTAGAAGAGGGTGGTTAGTGAAAGTCGTATGATGCCCGCATCAGATTTTTATTGTTCTTTTAATGAATTTAAACCTTCTCCCTTTGATTAGATTAGGTTGGTTACCAGTAGAATAACCTGTCCTTCCCGTAATTGTGCCACTTAAGGATTGTTCACTTTTATTTTTCAATCTGCACCTGTTGATTACATTTATTAATAAGATTAAGGACGGGAAACCCGAAATAAAGAAACAATTATATTTAAAATCTAAAGTTTTCATTTTTTTCCATTCTTAACTTTTCAACATGACTCTGCAACTTGATTTCTATAACTACCTTTTTTGTATCATTCCTCTGCTTTAAATTTTCATTTCTAACTTGTCATTCAAACTTTTAATATTTAAAAGCTGGTTTTTAATAAGTATGGATTGCGATTTGAGATTACTAGTCCAGAACTAAAAAAAAAATGTATGTTGCAGTTATAGTTGGTTCCCAAACCAGAACAGCAGTCATGGTTTTGGTGCTGCACCAACGAGGAGGACCGAAGGTGAATCATCAGGACCTCGAAGGCATGATTGGGGTGGTCGTGGTCACGTCCTTGGTCGTGCTGACTAATTCAAAGACAAAAAACATTTTGTGATCAATATTGTGGCTATACAACTATTTGTAGGCCAACTGATTGAAGAATATATCTGTCTTAAGTATTACTGTTTTGTATACTTCTATCGTTGTCATTATTGGTACACTGACATAATTGTATAGTTAATGTTGTTTATAGTTGGTTGTCTTTCACAAGTGTTGACTGACTATATCTATTTTTTAATTTACATTATAACTCCAATCAATGTTTTACTGTTAATGTATCTCATGTCTATAAAGATGTTCTTTTTTAAAAATAACTTAAAAAGTTTTATTGTATACAGATCAGAAATATTATGTGCTCCTTATTTTGATAAATTTACATGGTTGTAAATTGAATTATAAAAATTTAAACTGACCAGATTGTATTATTGCTGAGGTCTATTTCAAATCAGTAAGTGTTTGAAATATTAATTGAATTTGTATAATTGGAATAGTATGTTCCTTTAGTATTAAGATACTTTAATTCTTTTTCACTTCATATTTTTAGCAACCAACATTTTTCCTGTTGTAACTTTAGTTACAATCAAAACTAATGCAGCAAACAATATCTCAACCATATCTTTCATTTGTTCTACTTCTTAAGTGACTTTTCATCTTTAATTAATAATAAATAAATGTTATATCCTTTTCATATTTGAATTTGAGAACAAAGGTTCCATTCAAAAATCAGTTTTAAACTGATACAGCAATATGCATATTTATTATTGTTCTACAATATTAAATGGAGCATTTAATAATACTTCTATGTTTGGAAACACAAGCAAAATTACTATTTTTGAACTGCCTCTGATTGAATTAAATGAAAAATTTATTTTATGTTTCATTATCGATATCAGGAGTCTCTTATCTTTTTCTATATGGAGGCACAGTGTACTTAAACTAACCTTTTTAAAGGTAAATGGTTATCTTATTATTGTTTATAATATAAAAATATGATATAGAAGACTTAATTTATAATTCAAAGAGCCAAGATTAAAAGGTGCAGAAACGAAACAAGAAGGGAGTTAAGATAGACAGAAAAATACTGTTAAACGTAATGCTTTAAATATGTAAATAATATCTATTTTTCTCTTTAATTGATATTTAATATTTTTTATTGTGTTATTATTTTAGATAAATGATTATTTGTTACTGATCCTTATATTGTTTGTTAATATATTATTTCAGTATGTGTTACATCAAGATGATTCATTTAAAAATTTATATACCTGACTGGAAAACAAGAGACAAAAAACTATTTTCAAACAAATATACTTATATTTCTAATTAATTATTAATATTTTATGTAACATTGTTTTAAAAACTGGTGGTGGAACAGCAGTGCACACTTTGATGGCCCACAACAGTTTTGGATACCAACTATGGTACTCCTGGAAACGTGGTTGGAGACTCCTTGTCTATAATGTAGTGCATGTTAATTTTTTTGTATACTATTCATGGCTGTTCATATTAGCAAAGATAGAACTGAAAAAATAAACATTTGGGATCGGATCTATAATCTCAGTAATTTAATTTACTTATTTATCTTTATAGATATATGTGTGTAATAAAATGAAACTTAAAATCAATATTGTTTTGATCTGAAATGGTAACTGTAAATTCAGAATTTTTATTGTTTGTTGAAGAAAATTCCGTCATTGAATTAACATAAATACATTAGTGATTTGTACAATCACGCATTTTTCTTTATTTCAGGAAGGATTTAATATACTTATTTTTAAGTAATATAATATGGATTATCCATAAAATTATGTTAAGTGCTTTTTTTTATTGTCCATTTTAACTGAAAGTTCTTAGTTAAAAAACTTGGTATGTCATAACTGAAATTAATGTTATGTATAAAAATTTTCTAAGTATGATTGTTTAAAAAAAAATATTTTTATTTTATTTTCATGTAACTCGGTTAACATCAAGCATACAATTTAAGCTCATTTTTATTCAGTTCTTTGAAAATAATGTTTGATTGATTAGAGCACAATAAAAGGACCTTCTATTTCCTAATTACCCCTCTTATTAGTTGTTTCCCCTATATGTTTATTTTATAGGATTTATTGGCTTTCATTTTTTTAAAACTTTTATCATGATTTATTGCTGGCTTTTTTGGAATCAGTCAAGGTGGATTATAATAAAACAGTATATTTTTAATACAATACTGGCCCTTTATGTAGCTTTCTAATCAGTTGTGCCCTGAATATGCTTCCCTGTTTAGTCAAGGATTCCAAGTAGAAAAAAATTATTGAAAGTTGAAATAATAGAAGTTTGTCAGCATAAATATAAATTACAGTCAATAAAAGATAGAATTTTCTGTCTGTCCAGTTATTCCAAAACTGTGCTTAGACAATTTTGTTTTATTTATTATTTATTTTACGATTTATAATTCTGCTTCAAATGAATAATTAACATATATTTGGTACAGGTCTAGGATTATGTTCAAAGATGACAATGCAAACACCAAAATGTTTTCCAACTCAGCCTTGATTTCTCAAGATATTTGGCTTATTGACTTATTTTATGTCTGCTAAAAATTTCTTCATCGTTAACTAGCTACATATATAACCAGCGAAAATGGATATCTGCCAAATAACAGCTACTGAATCTGCTGGCAGAGGCTATTCAAAATATTTGGTGTTGGGCTTCGAAAACTATTTATTGTGTACTGAATGAACTTCTATAATTTAAAAGTATACAATATTTTAAAGCATAAAATGCACATCAGTCAACAACCAGTTGTAGGTCTGATGTTTGTTGAAAAATATTACCGTTCAGTCAGAATGAAACTAATAAAAAATTGAGGCTTATAAAAATTGTACTTTATGCAATTTGCCATCAATCATAGGTTAAATATATAAGTTTGTTGATTTTCAAATTTATAGTTCACCTAGTATGTACAGATGAAAGAGTGAAGGAGACAATACCCAAATATTTAATAATGGTGAAAAAAAGGTTGATTGTAGATAATGTGGTTGGGTGTTGCAATCAGAGAAAATTTAAATTATTTTATACCAATGTTGGGAGGATGTCATGTCTTTTTTTTATTACTTTCACTTACCTATATATGTAATATATAGTAAGGGTAAGTATTGCGATCGTGAAAATTTTTGAATCTGAGTTTTCAACGGGAATACACGTTTTGAGGTCCCCTGAGTCCAAATAACCAAGTCCCGCAAAATGGTCTGTGTGTGTGTGTTAACAGTATAGCCTAAAAATGAAAAATCGTACGGAAGTGAAATTGCATATTAAGGTTTTTATATGCTATCGATGTTACAGCAACTTTTTCGCCAAAATCGGCTAACCGGAAGTGGGACTTTATTTATTGGACTAAACATATTTTTACGATTATTTCGAAAAGCGCTCTAGTGATTTTGATTAAATTCATCATACCAGTGTAAAATTAAGCTGTTTTAAATAAAATGTGGTTATTATTCTGATTGATGTTCTCTAACAAAGTTAAAATGGCTCATTTTCAATATTAGCTTCCTCTAAAGTACCTTTAATTTTTTTTTTTTTTTTTTAAAGAAATGACCATTTCACATTAATTTCTAATATGAAAAATGGTTAAATATAAAATATGGAAGAATTTGATAATTAACTAAAGAAGAAATAAGAGATCGTAACGGAGAAGAGTTGTAATTGAGGAACTGAAGGAATACGAGCGCACCCAAGCTCGCCTGAAAGATTAGAACACACTTCCATAGGTATCATGAGATTAATATAAAACAGACTATGACAATATTATATAAATATATATATATGTGGTTTTCATAAATGCTATTGTTGGTATTATTTAATATTTAATTGTATAGATTACAGCGATATAAATATTAAAATTTGTATATATGAGGGTACTTATACAAATAAAAATACCGACAACAAAATATAAATAAATATAGTTTTTAGTAATAGTTACTATAATTTTTACTTTCACTTCCCTTTGTCTTAAAATACTTATTTCTGATAAGAACCACCCTCTTCTTCTCTTCTTAAGTTAAAGTTGTGTAATGTGTGCACCACACCAGTGACTGCTATACCCAACTAACTTCGCTACAACAATTTTTTTTTTTTTTCATTAGTGCATAATTATATGAGAGCCAAATACTTATAACAATCACAATATGTTATATTTTAAAATTATAATGCATGTGCAATACTTCAGTTACTGAATGTAACCGCATGTCAAGAAAAAATTATATTAATAATTTAACTGTTATTAGTCCTATAAAAAAAAAATTACATCTCTGCAAAATTCAATTTTGCATTGGCTACTGCTTATCTGATTAAACTTAGTTATGTTCAAATTGTTTATGTATAATACACTCATTTTATTTCACCTTCATATAACAGCAATAAATGTAACTATAATAAGCTTGAGAAAAATTGCTGTGAAGAAGTTGGTAACTCCACAGATCTGTTGGAGACCTTAAAAAGATTTTGAACTGTGGGGTTACCAACTTCTTAACAGCACACAGAAGGCTGGTCTAAGATGTTCACTACACTTATAACACATAAGGGTCATTTTTCTAATTATCAAATTACTCCCTCATATACTTAACAACTGCTCACATGGTGGCATATTTGGAAATGAAGCTCAAACCTCGCCAGAAAGAAAATAAATGGGACCATAATGATCAATCTAACAACTACCACTGACTTGAAATGATAGTGCATAAAAATGTGATACCTAATGAGAGGCCTGGAACCACCATTTTGCGATACATCCAACACATCACTAACAATGAAACACATTTTAACAACTTATGGACTATACTCTGACACCAGAACAAACACAATATATCTTAAGCACTTGCAGATGATGAAGACAAAATACAAAGTGTAATTCAAAAAGGAGAATACAAATACAAATACAAAGGAGAATTTAAAAAATTGTAGATCATCTACAGTTACCCTTGCTGTGAGGTCATGCTGGCAGAGTAAAATAACCTTTAACATATGACATCTGTTTGAATCTAGCTTGG